AGAGGCCAGCGAGTGTGTTGGATAGCTCATCAATGATCTTCTTGATCAAGCTTTCCCACTGGGCAATGAAGTCTCGCGATGAGGGCGCCTCCTTGGGTGTCATATCACAGAGCTGGGCCAGCGACATGGCAGGACGCATCCCATTAATGCTGCCATTGCTGGCTCCATTGGCTATGTAGGCGGCTGCATTCAGGCTGCGATTGCCAGCGGTCTTGTGTACGATCTCTGGTTCGTTGCTGTTGATATAAGAATGAAAATTCAATGAGAATCGAACTCCTTTAAGTAAGTTATCTAGCACTTGCCCATTTATATCCAACTCCTGGGTGGACTGGGCATTGCGCAGTTTTCCGGGTCCATAGGAGTGCTCCACCTCAGAGTCCTCATCGTCAATCTCGTCCGCATCGGCCTCGTCTGTGCTGAGCTGGCTGGAAACAAAAAAAAAAACGTAAGATCAGAGGATTCTTGAAAGCCTTGACGTGTACTCACAACTTGTTCAGCGAAGCCTTCAGTGTATTCTGCCTGTTACTCTTGTGCAGGCGCTTCAGCTCCGCCTCGCGCGACTTGAGGCTCTGCAGCTCCTGCTGGATCTTCTGCTCGACGCAATGGCCTGCCCTCTGCTGGTGATAGGGTGACTGTGGTACTGCCCGATGGCGAGTTGCCGTTCTCCAGGAAGGCCAACGCCGTGCGTGTGATCAGCTTGAGGGTGTTGCTGTTGACTTCCATTTTAATTGCTCCCTGAGCTGCTGATGTTGCCCAAGGGCAACACCGAAGGCAAACTGACGCTTCTGGTGCAGGTCGCTGCTCCTGGCGGGTGACCACGGTCAGCTCAAGCGGCGGCTGCTGCACTGCCGCCGGCCGGGCTGTGACCAGCACCCTCTAGTCTTGATCCAGCTCATCCTGATCCTGTGGCTGCTCCTGAGTGCATTCACCATAACCCAAAACGTAGGATGTCAAAGCTGCAAATGGTTCCATGCCAGCAATCGATAGTTAAAGCTGCGTATCGTTGTATGTCAGCAATCGATAGTCAATGCTGCACATCGTCACTGATCGTCGCTGTTGCACATGGCTGCAGGCAACCAGATGAAAGTCAAAGCGGTCACACTTCCTTGTATAAGTAGGGAAACATGAGTTGACCACACTGCAAAAAGCCGTTGATAATGGATATGGTCTCACCTTTTTTAAAAGTAGTAATGGCCGCCTTAACCGTTCCATTCGCGGCATTCTTCTTGATCAGGCTTTCCCACTGGGCAATGAGGTCCCGCAATGAGGGCGCCTCCTTGGGCGTCGGGATCACAGAGCAGGGCCAGCGACATTGCCGGACGCATCCCATTAATGCTGCCACCGCTGGCTCCATTGGCTATGTAGGCGGCTGCATTCAGGCTGCGATTGCCAGCGGGCTTGTGTATGATCTCCGGTTCGTTGCATTGCGCAGTTTTTCGGGTCCGTATCAGTGCTCCACCTCAACGTCGTCCTCATCGGCCTCGTCGTCTGTGATAAGCTGCCTGGACACGAAAAACGTATGATAGAGGATTCTTGAAAGCCTTGACGTGTACTCACAGCTTGTCCAGCGAGGCCTTTAGTGTGTTCTGCCTGTTAATCTTCGGCAGGCGCTTCAGCTCCGCCTCGCTCGACTTGAGGTCCTGCATCTCCTGCAGGATCTTCTGCTCGACGCAACGGCCTGCCCTCTGAGTCCCGCTCGGTGGTTGCCGGTGACAGGGTGACAGGGTGACCGTGGTAATGCCCGTTGGCGACTGCCGTTCTCTAGAAAGGCCAACGCCGTGCGTGTGTTCAGCTTGAGGGTGTTGCGGTTGGTGTTGTTGTTGCTGCTGACTTCCATTCTGATTGCTACCTGAGCTGCTGTTGCCCAATGGCGAGGCGCCCTTGGTAGAGGCACCACCGAAGGCAAACTGACGCTGTTGGGGCAGGTCGGTGCTCCTGGACTGGAGGTTGTTGTTGCTGTGCGAGGAGGCTGAGATGACCGAGTCATCAGAATACGGGTCATCGAGGCTATTCCCCTTGGCGCTGTTCACGCTAGAGGCCAGCGAGTGTGTTGGATAGCTCATCAATGATCTTCTTGATCAAGCTTTCCCACTGGGCAATGAAGTCTCGCGATGAGGGCGCCTCCTTGGGTGTCATATCACAGAGCTGGGCCAGCGACATGGCAGGACGCATCCCATTAATGCTGCCATTGCTGGCTCCATTGGCTATGTAGGCGGCTGCATTCAGGCTGCGATTGCCAGCGGTCTTGTGTACGATCTCTGGTTCGTTGCTGTTGATATAAGAATGAAAATTCAATGAGAATCGAACTCCTTTAAGTAAGTTATCTAGCACTTGCCCATTTATATCCAACTCCTGGGTGGACTGGGCATTGCGCAGTTTTCCGGGTCCATAGGAGTGCTCCACCTCAGAGTCCTCATCGTCAATCTCGTCCGCATCGGCCTCGTCTGTGCTGAGCTGGCTGGAAACAAAAAAAAAACGTAAGATCAGAGGATTCTTGAAAGCCTTGACGTGTACTCACAACTTGTTCAGCGAAGCCTTCAGTGTATTCTGCCTGTTACTCTTGTGCAGGCGCTTCAGCTCCGCCTCGCGCGACTTGAGGCTCTGCAGCTCCTGCTGGATCTTCTGCTCGACGCAATGGCCTGCCCTCTGCTGGTGATAGGGTGACTGTGGTACTGCCCGATGGCGAGTTGCCGTTCTCCAGGAAGGCCAACGCCGTGCGTGTGATCAGCTTGAGGGTGTTGCTGTTGACTTCCATTTTAATTGCTCCCTGAGCTGCTGATGTTGCCCAAGGGCAACACCGAAGGCAAACTGACGCTTCTGGTGCAGGTCGCTGCTCCTGGCGGGTGACCACGGTCAGCTCAAGCGGCGGCTGCTGCACTGCCGCCGGCCGGGCTGTGACCAGCACCCTCTAGTCTTGATCCAGCTCATCCTGATCCTGTGGCTGCTCCTGAGTGCATTCACCATAACCCAAAACGTAGGATGTCAAAGCTGCAAATGGTTCCATGCCAGCAATCGATAGTTAAAGCTGCGTATCGTTGTATGTCAGCAATCGATAGTCAATGCTGCACATCGTCACTGATCGTCGCTGTTGCACATGGCTGCAGGCAACCAGATGAAAGTCAAAGCGGTCACACTTCCTTGTATAAGTAGGGAAACATGAGTTGACCACACTGCAAAAGCCGTTGATAATGGATATGGTCTCACCTTTTTAAAAGTAGTAATGGCCGCCTTAACCGTTCCATTCGCGGCATTCTTCTTGATCAGGCTTTCCCACTGGGCAATGAGGTCCCGCAATGAGGGCGCCTCCTTGGGCGTCGGGATCACAGAGCAGGGCCAGCGACATTGCCGGACGCATCCCATTAATGCTGCCACCGCTGGCTCCATTGGCTATGTAGGCGGCTGCATTCAGGCTGCGATTGCCAGCGGGCTTGTGTATGATCTCCGGTTCGTTGCATTGCGCAGTTTTTCGGGTCCGTATCAGTGCTCCACCTCAACGTCGTCCTCATCGGCCTCGTCGTCTGTGATAAGCTGCCTGGACACGAAAAAACGTATGATAAGAGGATTCTTGAAAGCCTTGACGTGTACTCACAGCTTGTCCAGCGAGGCCTTTAGTGTGTTCTGCCTGTTAATCTTCGGCAGGCGCTTCAGCTCCGCCTCGCTCGACTTGAGGTCCTGCATCTCCTGCAGGATCTTCTGCTCGACGCAACGGCCTGCCCTCTGAGTCCCGCTCGGTGGTTGCCGGTGACAGGGTGACAGGGTGACCGTGGTAATGCCCGTTGGCGACTGCCGTTCTCTAGAAAGGCCAACGCCGTGCGTGTGTTCAGCTTGAGGGTGTTGCGGTTGGTGTTGTTGTTGCTGCTGACTTCCATTCTGATTGCTACCTGAGCTGCTGTTGCCCAATGGCGAGGCGCCCTTGGTAGAGGCACCACCGAAGGCAAACTGACGCTGTTGGGGCAGGTCGGTGCTCCTGGACTGGAGGTTGTTGTTGCTGTGCGAGGAGGCTGAGATGACCGAGTCATCAGAATACGGGTCATCGAGGCTATTCCCCTTGGCGCTGTTCACGCTAGAGGCCAGCGAGTGTGTTGGATAGCTCATCAATGATCTTCTTGATCAAGCTTTCCCACTGGGCAATGAAGTCTCGCGATGAGGGCGCCTCCTTGGGTGTCATATCACAGAGCTGGGCCAGCGACATGGCAGGACGCATCCCATTAATGCTGCCATTGCTGGCTCCATTGGCTATGTAGGCGGCTGCATTCAGGCTGCGATTGCCAGCGGTCTTGTGTACGATCTCTGGTTCGTTGCTGTTGATATAAGAATGAAAATTCAATGAGAATCGAACTCCTTTAAGTAAGTTATCTAGCACTTGCCCATTTATATCCAACTCCTGGGTGGACTGGGCATTGCGCAGTTTTCCGGGTCCATAGGAGTGCTCCACCTCAGAGTCCTCATCGTCAATCTCGTCCGCATCGGCCTCGTCTGTGCTGAGCTGGCTGGAAACAAAAAAAAAAACGTAAGATCAGAGGATTCTTGAAAGCCTTGACGTGTACTCACAACTTGTTCAGCGAAGCCTTCAGTGTATTCTGCCTGTTACTCTTGTGCAGGCGCTTCAGCTCCGCCTCGCGCGACTTGAGGCTCTGCAGCTCCTGCTGGATCTTCTGCTCGACGCAATGGCCTGCCCTCTGCTGGTGATAGGGTGACTGTGGTACTGCCCGATGGCGAGTTGCCGTTCTCCAGGAAGGCCAACGCCGTGCGTGTGATCAGCTTGAGGGTGTTGCTGTTGACTTCCATTTTAATTGCTCCCTGAGCTGCTGATGTTGCCCAAGGGCAACACCGAAGGCAAACTGACGCTTCTGGTGCAGGTCGCTGCTCCTGGCGGGTGACCACGGTCAGCTCAAGCGGCGGCTGCTGCACTGCCGCCGGCCGGGCTGTGACCAGCACCCTCTAGTCTTGATCCAGCTCATCCTGATCCTGTGGCTGCTCCTGAGTGCATTCACCATAACCCAAAACGTAGGATGTCAAAGCTGCAAATGGTTCCATGCCAGCAATCGATAGTTAAAGCTGCGTATCGTTGTATGTCAGCAATCGATAGTCAATGCTGTACATCGTCACTGATCGTCGCTGTTGCACATGGCTGCGGGCAACCAGATGAAAGTCAAAGCGGTCACACTTCCTTGTATAAGTAGGGAAACATGAGTTGACCACACTGCAAAAAGCCGTTGATAATGGATATGGTCTCACCTTTTTTAAAAGTAGTAATGGCCGCCTTAACCGTTCCATTCGCGGCATTCTTCTTGATCAGGCTTTCCCACTGGGCAATGAGGTCTCGCGATGAGGGCGCTTCCTTGGGTGTCAGATCATAGAGCTGGGCCAGCGACATGGCCGGACGCATCCCATTAATGCTGCCATTGCTGGCTCCGTTGGCTATGTAGGCGGCTGCATTCAGGCTACGATTGCCAGCGGTCTTATGTATGATCTCCGGTTCGTTGCTGTTGATATAAGAATGAAATTCAATGAGAATCAAACTTCTTTAAGTAGGTTATCTTACACTTTCCTATTTCTATCCAAATCCTGGGTGGACTGGGCATTGCGCAGTTTTCCGTGTCCATAGCAGTGCTCCACCTCAACGTCGTCCGCATTGGCCTCGTCGACTGTGCTGAGCTGGCTGGAAACGAAAAATTGTATGATAAGAGGATTCTTGAAAGTCTTCGCGTGTACTCACAGCTTGTCCAGCGAGGCCTTTAGTGTGTTCTGCCTGTTAATCTTGCGCAGGCGCTTCAGCTCCGCCCCGCGCGATTTGAGGTCCTGCATCTCCTGCAGGATCTTCTGCTCGACGCAACGACCTGCCCTCTGAGTCCCGCTCGATGGTTGCCGGTGACAAGGTGAGCGTGGAAATGCCCGTTGGCGAGCTGCCGTTCTCTAGAAAGGCCAACGCCGTGCGTGTGTTTAGCTTGAGGGTGTTGCGGTTGGTGTTGTTGCTGCTGACTTCCATTCTGATTGCCACCTGAGCTGCTTATATTGACCAACGGCGAGACGCCCTTGGTAGAGGCAAGACCGAAGGCAAACTGACGCTTCTGGGGCAGGTCGCTGCTCCTGGCGGGTGACCACGGTCAGCTTGAGCGGCGGCTGCTGCTGCTTGAACTAGAGGTTGCTATTGCTGTGCGAGGAGGCCGAGATGCCCGAGTAATTAGAATGCGGCAGTAGCGAAGTGGTCTGCACTGCCGCCGGCCGGGATATGACCAGCACCCCCTGGCCTTGACCCACCTCATCCTGATCCTGTGGCTGCTCCCGAGTGCTTTCACCATAACCCAAAACGTAGGATGTCAAAGCTGCAAATGGTTGCATACCAGCAATCGATAATCACAGCTGCGTATGGCTACATGCAAGCAATCGATAGTCAATGCTGCAATGCTGCACATCGTCACTGATCGTCGCTGTTGCACATGGCTGCAGGCAACCAGCTGAAAGTCAAAGCGGTCACACTTCCTTGTATAAGTAGGGAAACATGAGTTGACCACACTGCAAAAAGCCTGTGATAATGGATATGGTCTCACCTTTTTTAAATGTAGTAATGGCCGCCTTAACCGTTCCATTCGCGGCATTCTTCTTGATCAGGCTTTCCCACTGGGCAATGAGGTCCCGCAATGAGGGCGCCTCCTTGGGCGTCGGGATCACAGAGCTGGGCCAGCGACATTGCCGGACGCATCCCATTAATGCTGCCATTGCTGGCTCCATTGGCTATGTAGGCGGCTGCATTCAGGCTGCGATTGCCAGCGGTCTTGTGTACGATCTCTGGTTCGTTGCTGTTGATATAAGAATGAAAATTCAATGAGAATCGAACTCCTTTAAGTAGGTTATCTAGCACTTGCCCATTTATATCCAACTCCTGGGTGGACTGGGCATTGCGCAGTTTTCCGGGTCCATAGGAGTGCTCCACCTCAGAGTCCTCATCGTCAATCTCGTCCGCATCGGCCTCGTCTGTGCTGAGCTGGCTGGAAACAAAAAAAAAAACGTAAGATCAGAGGATTCTTGAAAGCCTTGACGTGTACTCACAACTTGTTCAGCGAAGCCTTCAGTGTATTCTGCCTGTTACTCTTGTGCAGGCGCTTCAGCTCCGCCTCGCGCGACTTGAGGCTCTGCAGCTCCTGCTGGATCTTCTGCTCGACGCAATGGCCTGCCCTCTGCTGGTGATAGGGTGACTGTGGTACTGCCCGATGGCGAGTTGCCGTTCTCCAGGAAGGCCAACGCCGTGCGTGTGATCAGCTTGAGGGTGTTGCTGTTGACTTCCATTTTAATTGCTCCCTGAGCTGCTGATGTTGCCCAAGGGCAACACCGAAGGCAAACTGACGCTTCTGGTGCAGGTCGCTGCTCCTGGCGGGTGACCACGGTCAGCTCAAGCGGCGGCTGCTGCACTGCCGCCGGCCGGGCTGTGACCAGCACCCTCTAGTCTTGATCCAGCTCATCCTGATCCTGTGGCTGCTCCTGAGTGCATTCACCATAACCCAAACGTAGGATGTCAAAGCTGCAAATGGTTCCATGCCAGCAATCGATAGTTAAAGCTGCGTATCGTTGTATGTCAGCAATCGATAGTCAATGCTGCACATCGTCACTGATCGTCGCTGTTGCACATGGCTGCAGGCAACCAGCTGAAAGTCAAAGCGGTCACACTTCCTTGTATAAGTAGGGAAACATGAGTTGACCACACTGCAAAAAGCCTGTGATAATGGATATGTTCTCACCTTTTTTAAAAGTAGTAATGGCCGCCTTAACCGTTCCATTCGCAGCATTCTTCTTGATCAGGCTTTCCCACTGGGCAATGAGGTCTCGCGATGAGGGCGCTTCCTTGGGTGTCAGATCATAGAGCTGGGCCAGCGACATGGCCGGACGCATCCCATTAATGCTGCCATTGCTGGCTCCATTGGCTATGTAGGCGGCTGCATTCAGGCTACGATTGCCAGCGGTCTTATGTATGATCTCCGGTTCGTTGCTGTTGATATAAGAATGAAAATTCAATGAGAATCAAACTTCTTTAAGTAGGTTATCTTACACTTTCCTATTTCTATCCAAATCCTGGGTGGACTGGGCATTGCGCAGTTTTCCGTGTCCATAGCAGTGCTCCACCTCAACGTCGTCCGCATTGGCCTCGTCGACTGTGCTGAGCTGGCTGGAAACGAAAAATTGTATGATAAGAGGATTCTTGAAAGTCTTCGCGTGTACTCACAGCTTGTCCAGCGAGGCCTTTAGTGTGTTCTGCCTGTTAATCTTGCGCAGGCGCTTCAGCTCCGCCCCGCGCGATTTGAGGTCCTGCATCTCCTGCAGGATCTTCTGCTCGACGCAACGACCTGCCCTCTGAGTCCCGCTCGATGGTTGCCGGTGACAAGGTGAGCGTGGAAATGCCCGTTGGCGAGCTGCCGTTCTCTAGAAAGGCCAACGCCGTGCGTGTGTTTAGCTTGAGGGTGTTGCGGTTGGTGTTGTTGCTGCTGACTTCCATTCTGATTGCCACCTGAGCTGCTTATATTGACCAACGGCGAGACGCCCTTGGTAGAGGCAAGACCGAAGGCAAACTGACGCTTCTGGGGCAGGTCGCTGCTCCTGGCGGGTGACCACGGTCAGCTTGAGCGGCGGCTGCTGCTGCTTGAACTAGAGGTTGCTATTGCTGTGCGAGGAGGCCGAGATGCCCGAGTAATTAGAATGCGGCAGTAGCGAAGTGGTCTGCACTGCCGCCGGCCGGGATATGACCAGCACCCCCTGGCCTTGACCTACCTCATCCTGATCCTGTGGCTGCTCCCGAGTGCTTTCACCATAACCCAAAACGTAGGATGTCAAAGCTGCAAATGGTTGCATACCAGCAATCGATAGTTAAATCTATTTATCGTTGTATGCCAGCAATCGATAGTCAATGCTGCAATGCTGCACATCGTCACTGATCGACGCTGTTGCACATGGTTGGAGGCCACCTGCGGAAAGTCAAAGCGGTCACACTTCCATGGTAAATAGTGAAAATTAAGTTGGTCACACTACAAAAAAGTTCCCACAGTATAGGGTTGACAAAGTAGCTATTTCCTAGCATTAAGCTTTAAGCTCTAAGCTTTAAGCTCTGCTACAATATAGCTAAACGGACAACTCTAATTTGAACCTCTTGCACTAAAATTAATCAGCTTTCTTCGGTTTCTGTTCGCCTGGTATTCCAGGTCGAGAATTGGATGGATTTTTGCCGATTTTTGACCAAATCGAAGACTTGGTTTTGTCTACAACAACAAAAATAACAACTCTGAATTAACAAAAACAAATACAATATTTTTAGAACAACAACATCAATTTTTGTCAGCCAAAATGTATTGAAGCGCCTCCTGTCAGTGTTTTGCTAAACCTACCTAAGATTTTCGAACCACCCCTGCAGATAGCGCCACTTGCCGAGTTGTTTCCTGGTTTCGTCATAATTAACTGCTTACCAATTTAAAAATGGAAAAAAATAATGCTAATTTCTCCCTTAAAATTAGTTCAATAAATTTTACACGTGAAAATTTATATATCTCCTTTCCAGAGTGGCCAGCAAGCTCAGCTCCCAGCTAATGGATCTTCTAGATGCCAAAATCAAGCAACCCATCGATTAACCATCAATTTTTACTACAATCAAGGACATTTGCCTTTTACGAGATTGATTAAAATGTGAGACAAGATCCTTCAGCAAATTGTAAGTGTAGTATAAATTGAGATATGGAAACCATTAAAAAATAAACAAAATTAATGCGAACCCAAAAGTTAGGGGGCTTATATAATTACAAACCACATTTTACAGCTAAGCGTTCAATTCCTTTGATTTGAAAAACACTTCCTTGGCTTTTATCGTTTAATTATTCTCCAAAAACTCAAATCAAATCAAATTCATCAGTTTATACACAGGGTATTCCTCGCTTATCCACTACATAACTTACAATGTTTTAGGGGTTTTCAAACTACAAACTAACTTAGGCAATAGGCTCGCACTTGAGTTCGACTTTCTTAACTTACCTTCAGCTATGCGTTAAGTTAGGGTGTGCTTCCGTTTCCATTTCCGTCTCTGTGTGATGTCAACAGTGGCTAGCCAGTCGAAAGTTAAGTCTGATCCTTCATGGTTAAGTCTATAAGCTAAAACTAAGGCTAGGGCGATGCATGTGTGTGTCTGTGTGGGTGTCCTCTCTGGAAATGTGTGTGTGTGTGGGGGAGTTAAAAAAAAAGTACAATAAATAGGTTGTTGTTTCCATCTCGCAGCGAGGTTCCGCATCCCCATCCCCATACCCTCCAACATCCTCATCCACAGGGCTCAAACGAACGTCCACGTGGATGGGCGGCTGAATCTCAGAGGAGGTTGGAGCAGCTCGCCTCCGAAACGGCACAGTTTGTGGAGCGCGGCAAGAACTGGATGTGCTGCCAGGTGGCATTGAAGCTGCAAAGGAATAATATATATAAATAATAAATATACAAATATAGGAGGGTGTAATGCCTACAGATAACTCTCTGCCAACTGGCTCTCCACATGGGGCTTGATCCTGGGATAGTCCTTGTCCGCAATGGTGGTGCTGCAGTGCTGTTGCATATAGGCCAACGTGAACAACTCATTCTCGTTAAAGGAGCGCAATCCGGGCACTCTCAGGCGCCTGGTCAGTCCCAAAGCCTCATAGGTATTGACCTGATCAATACCCGATCCCTGGATGGCACTGCCCGCGTCGATGGCACTCACAAAGGTGCTCAGGGCCCTCGCCGCCGTCCTGGCAGCGCTCAATGTCACATGGAAGCCCTTGAGGGCATTGCTCGACAGCTCGCTTAGTTCGTGAGCCAATCGAGGTGATCCTCCCTCTTCCGATGCCAGGCAATTGACATCCGGCTGGGCATACTTGATCTCCGGCACGGCGTCACTAATGTCCGAGCTCTGGGTGTTGAACTGCAGCAGGAAGACGGAGAAGTTATCGATCAGGGCCTCCAAGATGTCCGTGCCAATGCGGGCGAAGTTTACGGCTCTGCGTGGAATAAAAGAGAGGCGATGAGATACGATTTTAGATTAGAAAGAGACGGATCCCGCTTTCCCTTTGGGGTTTCCATAATTTAAAGAGAATCATTATACGTACACGGGAAATCTATAATCGTAGTAATTGGAGCTGATCAATATCTTCGAGACGAGCAGCATATTCAGCTTGTTGGAGTAGCTAATGGCCTGTGGATTGTCCCTTGTGTACATCTCTGAAACAATGCTGTCAGCGAGAGATCGAAAGCAAGTTAGAAAGCGTTAGAAAGCTGATAAATCAATCGATCGATCGTGAGACTTACACATCCAGCATGCCCAGCGTGCCCAGCTTCTTCTCCATGCGCGTCCGCCGGAAGGTCCAAATGGGCTCCAAATGCTCCACAAAGTACAGATTGTTCAGCATGAGGTCCGAATAGTATGCCTTTAGGTAACTGGGCTGATCCAGCACTTCGTCCGGTATCCCAAACTGCAGCCGCATCTCGTTGAGCTTCTTCTGAATGAACTGCCTGGCCGCCGGATCCAGCCATTGGGCCTGACCCAGCGAATCCTTCAGCTGATTTCGCAGACTGTAAAACATCAGTCGAAGCAATTCCTCATTACCATGGGTCTTATTCCAGCCTAGGGTGGGCGAGGCGGTCGTTTCGAATTGCTGCCTCGGTGTCTGTTGCTGCAGTGCATCCACCGCAAAGGGTAACCAATCCCGCACCATCTTGCTACAGACAAGCCAACGCGGATAGCTGGCAGTGCGTCCGTACACGGAATGATCAAAGTTCTCCGCCAAGGTGCGATACTCCCTGGACAGGTGGGGCAACATTTGGCGGGCCAAAGACCAAATAATAAAGTTGTTAATGGGCCTGGAAGATGGTAGAGTTATAAGATCAAGTTTTAAGCTTCAACTGGGTATTATTTTAATCAGTTTACTCACTTCTTGTCCGAGGTGGAAAGAAGAACTGAAACGGCATGCAAAACTTCGACATCGCGGACTAAAACCTCGGTGTCTTCGGTGATTTTGGTCTTGGGAAATATGGCTTGCAGAGACTCCAGAATAGGCAACTGTGGAAGAAACAGAATTAGTGTTTGGAAAGCTTGAAAATTAAAAAAAAAAAAAAACTATACTAACCGAAGGTGCCTTTGTCTTTAGATCAGAGAGACTCATTAGTTTATTTAGCTGCCGATCTCTGCTAGCCTTGGCATCCTCAATGTGATTGACAATGCGTCGTTCGTAATGAAAAATATCATCGGAAAAAAGGTCAGCCTCACGGGAAACAATTCCTAAACAATAAATATATAAAATACATTAAATAATCAATTAAATAATAAATAATATTTATAAAAACTCACCCATATTGATGGCAAAATCCCTGAGGAGCAGCTTGTAGCCGCGTACCACTTCCTCGTCGGCATCGTTGCCATAAAAGTACTTATCCGGCAGCCCCACATCACCCTCGTCCAGGGTGATCACATAGTCATGGGGATTGCTATATCCATTCTCCACGCTGACGCGATAGTAGGGAAAGATGCCATACTTGGCCTGGAGGAGAACCAGGAACCGCTTGTAGTCCCAGGACTGCAGTCGATTTGTCTCACGAAATGCCTGCCAGCCACCTGCGGGAAATATATTTAAAAATCAAGACAGACTGGTTAGCTATATAATCATTATATCCAAATAATGTCATGCGACAGGTTCGAATTTGAGTACGGGTTTGGATTTGGGTTCTTTAAAGGCTATTCTGGTTGGAAACCCCCAATGGATGGGCTGTGCGCTAATAGAAATCCCCCCCAGCTGCATGCACACATCATTATGGCATAGATCCGTCTATATAACATACATTAGCTAGCAGGTTGATATGTGTATGTATTTGTCGATCGATTTATGGCAATTAAAGGCGCTAAAATGTTTGGCTGCTTGAAATTTTCAGGGCGCTCAGTCCCGTCTTTGCTTGCAAGCACAAAATATATATATTGAGCCAAAAATGAAATAAAACAAACAGAAGAGAGTTATAGTTAAAGCGCTTAAAAGGAGGGAATTGTGAATGCTCTTCTTGTGTTTTTATTCATGTTTTTATATCTACATTCTTATTTTTCTTTATTTATTTATATTTCTATATATAAATTTTAAAGGAAGAACCTCAATAATCAATTTAAAATACAAACAAATTGAATCAAATCGAAAATCGATCATAAGTGAGCATAAAATATTCGCATTTGCATCAATATTTTAATATGAAAATTTTGTTCAACAATCCTAAGTTTCAAAAACTCATAACTAAGCCAAAATCATTTCTATGCTAGTTTTTACTAGGTTAACAAATCTGCATTCTCAATTTAAAAATTTTAAAAATTGAAAATTTAGTCCATTTTTAAAATTTAGAAAAAATTGGTTTGTTTTCTGCCTTAGATGGCTAGATCGATTCTCCTGTTGATCCTGATCAAGAGTTTATATGATTTATAGGGTCGGAAATGACTCCTTTCACTTTGATCTAAGCCTCTGACTTAAATTAAAATACCCTTTCAAGGGTATACAAATACGAAGAAATGTAACCCACAAATAATATTATTAATAATAATATTAAATAATATTCTTTAAGCGAAACCCAACCCCAAAGCACACTAGGAACCTCTTCAGCAAGAGCGCCATTACAAGGCATTGTTTAGGGAAAGATTCTTAAAGGGATTTAAAAACCCTAGTAATTATACTCAAAAATATCTAAAGAACTCAATTATATCACCAAGGTCTAGGCAACTATTTCGTAATACAGTAAATAATGCACATTATTTCCCACAAAACAGACTCCTCTCATCAATTGCACTTATCACACATATTATGGTAACGATTGGTAAGAGGTTAGCAACTACGGTCACATAGACATAATTTACCCCAAGCAAACATATGATCCCACTATATCTGGAGTGACTTCCTTGCCGCCCTGGTTTCATAATATTGCACCATGAAAGCCGAATCATCGACACCCTGCAGACAGACATAGAAATCGTTTGTTCCACGGATTGTTTTGTTGACTCTGGCAATTAGCACTTGCGGTGGCAATCGATACAAAATAAAAAACAAAACAAAATATGGTAAAAAGATGAAATACTCGTCGGTGGTAATCAAAATGCCAGCCGTGCTAGCCGGATTTGTAGTTATTGGATGGCGGCAGAGTGGGGATTTTTGAACTTGGATGGATCTCTTGGGTGTTATAGTTTTTTAACAATTTATTGCAAACCACTTTAATTAACTTCAATTAAAGGCGCCTCTCTCTCTGGGAGGTATAAAAGGTGACACTGCCGGCTGTCTGGCATATCAAATCAATCCAACACTTCAACAGGGCAGGACAGTAGCTCCTCCTCATCCTCCATCCCAGCAACTACCCAGCATACTCAGCATGAAGCAGTTTGTGGTAAGAGAAGCCAGGACATCGGCAACCCCCAGTGACTCCAGTGTCTTAATTGTACTTCACTTTTTAGGTTCTGGCCTGCCTGGCCTTCATCGGTGGCTCCTGGGCCGCTCCCCGTCCGGATGTCAGCCATTTGGCCGGCTATGCCTATCAGGCTGGTGGCTATAATGGCAACCTGGTCACCAATCAGGTGGTGAGCGCCCCGGTGGTGACCACCTCCTACCAGCCCACGGCTGCCGGCACCAACTACTTTAGCTCTGGACCAGCCATTGGCCAGCTGAGCAGCGGTGGTGGTGTTGGTGGTTCCAGCAGCAGCTACCAGGTGGGTTCTGCCGGCTCCTCGGGCATTAGCTACCAGGTGGGCTCATCGGGCTCTTCGAGCTCCTCGGGCTCCCTGGGCTACCAGGCCGAATCCTCTGGCGTTTCGGACAGCATCGGACTGGCTGGTCTGCAGCCCGGGCCCACCATTAACTACAACGAGCAGGAGTCCTACATCAGCCACCTGGCCAACTTCCAGCCTGCCCAGATCAGCAAGCACTTCTACATCCACAGTGCTCCCGAGGACCACGATGAGCAGCAGATCGTCCGCTATGTGAATGTGGGCAGGCCCCAGAAGAACTACCGTGTGGTGTTCATCAATGCACCATCCTCCACCACCAGCAAGGCCAAGATTATTGCCAATGTGGCTCCTGTTGAGGAGAAGACTGCCATCTATGTGCTGTCCAAGAAGTCGAATGCTTTGGATGTCTCCGCTGAGGTGGTCACACAGCGACCAGTCCAGAACAAGCCAGAGGTCTTCTTTGTCAAGTACAAGACACCCCAGGAGGCGGCCCATGCCCAGCAGACCATTCAGGGTGAGTATTTGTGACTCTTTTTCTTTAGTTTTCATATAGTTTTGGTAGAACATATTCTTGAGTTACGAGTCTGGGTATACATTCTTAAGATATAATATCTTTTACTCAATGTATGAATTATTTGCTAGGTTTTTTCGTTACAAATTCCAGTTCTAAGCCTTGGTTCTTTGGCTGGCAGGAGAAAAGCAATTTATAGATTTGTTTATCAAGAATATAATCTTCTAACTAGTAATTATTAAGATCAATGCCTAAATTCATCGAAAAAGTATTTAAAATCATCTAAATCAAATTATTTGAGATAATATTTAGAAGTAGATCTTAAACTCATCAGTCAGATCTTTATTATTATCTTAACTCTGTTATTATTTAACCAAGTTTAAGATTTTCCCTTTCATTTGGTAATTAATACTAGAAAATGAGTAATTATTTAATACTTCAAATGATTCTCCCGTCTCCCCCATATGTGAATCCCTAACTATGTTACTTTTCCCTTTTAATCCCCCTCAGCCAACTATGATGCTCTTGGTGGAACCTCGGAGACCAGCAATGAAGGCGTCATTGCCACCTCTTCGGTGATTGGTAGCCTGGGTGATAATGGTGCCTCCGGTGTGGTTACCGATGCCAGCGGCGGCCTCAACATTGTTGGAACTGGTGGTGTGCCCACTGTGGATGCTGGATTCAATGCTGGATACAATGCCAATGGAGGCATTGCCTACGATGGTGAGGGTAGCCAGCGCCAGGTGATCAGTCAGGTGATCTCTGGCACCAATGCCCAGGCCACCTATTTGCCCGTGAAGCCAGTGCGAAAGTAGAATCCCCCTTCCATATATTATATCACCCATATATCATCTGCATACGACAACACTGCCAAGGATATACACTCACTGTTGGAGCCTCGGGGAATTTGGACTGGATGGAAAATCCCCCTTGGGTTTGGGGTCCATTACAGTGGAATTTCTCCAAAGGAAACCTTTGCGATTTTTTTCCTATTTAGATATTTGCACTATGTATTTTTTTTTCGTATTAATAAAATTTAAGAGTTTCTCAAAAATGTAATTAACAAAAGAGTTTTGATTAAGGTTCTTTGCTAAACATTTTTGTCACTGTGGAAAATCCAATCAGCAATCGCCTAGATTTGCTGCAACCTGTTTAGGACCGCCCTGCTAGTTGCATAATCATAATGACGGAAAGTCCAATGATAACCAACGCCTCTCAGCGTCTGGGCCAAGTATTTGGCAAGCTGCCTTTAATTGTTCAACCCGAAAGACTGGTGAACTGGCCAACCGGCGGTAACCAACTCGACTCACAGAAAAAACCACTCGACGGCGGGCAGGTAAATAAATTAGCGACTTAAAAGATACTCCACTCGGGCAGGGGAATGTGTATATGTATCTGTATCTGTATCTTTAGGCAGGTATGCAGGTCGTCCAAGGTCGTCCTATGCCAATGCAAGTCGCATTAAAATACCAAAGCGTATTAAGATAAAAATTAGTTATACTTTAAAATGCAGCAGCCACGCCCCGTGAACTAATTTGCCCCATCAATTACCAAATAACACAGTTGTACCTGTTGTACCTTTGGAGGTATCTATCTCCCCATCTGATACTCTGAGTATCTCAGTAAGCGAATCTAAATCTTAGTCTCGAGATATCTGCATATCAATGGCCAGCCAAGATCTTTTGCATAAAGATAATCACACCTACTAAATAAGAGAAGAAAAAAAGACACAAAATGAAGAAGCGCCGACAGTAGCTGGCCCTCCGCCAGATTGAGATCGAAAGATCCAAAAGATTCAAGAGCTGGGCGGCAAGCGATTTGTCCCTCGATTCGATTTCTATATTACTGTCATCATCAATAAAATGTTACATAAATTTTCAGCACAGCGAGCGGCGAATGCCAGATGCCAAGCGATGCCATGCTCTGCCAGGTTATAAATATGGAATGCCTAATTGATAATTATCATTTTGTCCAGTTTTCCATAATCCGCCGCTATATGCGATATGCGATCTGTGATCTGAGATCTCAGATACTCGCTGGCTAATGGCTAATTTAGTCCGAATCAAAGTCGGAAACACTTGGCATATGCATTACCATTTTGTCAATCAGTTTTATTCGTTTATTCGTTTATGTGTGGTTCTGTCGTTAATCCACCTCTCTAGCCCATAAATCCGCTCAAAGTCATTATTCAAATTCGGTGGCATCTTCTTCTATATAAATGCATGTATATGTATATATATAGCCGATAATATGATCAAATTATGCTTTTTATGATTTTATTTTCGCAATATTTACTGCGGCCTCCAAAAGCAGGCAAAAGACCAAGTGAATGTTTATCTTCTGGGCTCGAATGACTCAGAGATCGATAGATTTAGCGGTCACCACCATTTAGGGTGACAACAAAAAATAAAATAAAATAAAATAATAATCACAAAAAGACACACAGCACCTAATTTGCTGGGAAATTCCAGCCATCGGATCGGATACAAGAAGGCTGTTATATATATCTATATTATAAATATATATCGGACAGACCAAGAATGGTATTTTTTTGTGCAACGGAAACATTGAAATGTCTTCGAAACACTAGACCTAATAAGGGTTTAATATAAAAATGTAGTATATAAATACATATAAGGTAAATATATATTCAATAAATATATATTAAATGAGTATGTACATAAACACAAAATATATATATAAAAAGAAATAATTGTAGCCAGCTAATAAAAGTTCAAATAGCAATTGAAGCTATTTTTTCCATTCTATTTAAACTTGTCTTTGAAGCACCTATATTAATAACTGCCTTGAATTTTAGCTCTACTTATTTAATTCATTATTTTTATTAATTCAATAAGCAAAGTTCAATTTACAAATTCATGAAGAAAAAATATATTTATATTTTAACATTTGAATTATAAAATCTGTATCGATATTTTATATTTAACAAAATATCAAAGTTTAAAAACCTCATAACTAAGCCAAAAATACATTAATTTTAAATCGGAAAGCTGTTCTGTGCCAGTTTTTAACAGTTTAACAAATCTGCATACTGAGTTCACAAATTTAAAAAATTTAAAAAATTGTCATTTTTTAACAATTTTAATGATGTTACAACCCCTTATAAAAATTTAAAATTTTGCAAAAAAATTTGAACGTTTTATTTTGTACCGGACATCGATAGAACGATTCTTCTGTTGATACTGATCAAGAATATATATGACTTATAGGGTCGGAAATGATTCTTTCGAGCGTTACAAGCTTTTGACTAAATTAAAATACTCTTGCAATGACTATTATAAAATCCTAATTTTCTCTCATCATCTCTTAGTTTACATAGTAAATATTCCTTTAATTGCTTTAATAAGAGCCTCAAGTTACCTATATCTAATCCCCATATAAAAAAGCAATATCTTAGCACCACAACAACATAACATATACATATAATTTCAGGCCTAAATTATTCACTGATTAAGCCAACTGCTATAGATATTTGCCAATTAATTGATGGCCGAATATGCTCGAAACTAATGATTGAGTGAAGAAGACGACGACAACGACTCTGAAGACTATGAAAGGAGAAGAAAACCCCATGGAACGTGTTTGCTTTCTGGCCAAGATTGATGCGCCGCGTGAAGATGATGTGATGGTGACAACGCCGTGCCGTTTAATGAGATTCGCTGGACCAGGGGAGGGGTCTATCGATGCTGATGCCGATGCTTCTCCATTCAATAGTTTTCGCATCTACATGGATTTTGGTAAATTTAGATATTTGCCAGAGTCAGAGACATCGCTATCGCCATTATCAGGGTCATCCATGGAGCAGTCAAGTTCAATGCCAACCCCCAACAAAAAAGACGACTTAAAGCCAACGTATTCGTTCTGATTTGAATAAGTTTTAGGTCACTCCGAGTGCCGATTGAGCGCCAAAGTCAGAGCATAGGCTCTGCGATCATGTTGGATGCTGTGGATAGGTGACATTTGCATAAACAGCGACGCCGGCAGAGAGTTCAGATCCGATCCGGAGCATATTTAAGACAAGTGGAGCGGCCCAAAATGCAATCATTGACTCGCAGCAGCCAACGAACCAACAAACGACAGCTACCCGTAGGATCACAGAGGATTATCTTGGATTTTTTTTGAGTGTCGGTTAAGAAGAGCAAATCATTCATCATGTTCGTTCAGCAAGTCTTGCTCGGTTGCCTTGTCCTGGTGGCGGCCACCCAGGCTCGTCCTCAGTATGGATACGAGCATCCGGTCGGTGGCATCGGCTCTCCGTCGGACATCTTCCTCGGCGGCGGTGGCGGTGGATCGAGTTCCTCTGGCCATGGCATCGGTGGCTCTGGCATCCATTCGGGCTCTGGCTCTGAGCCCAGCCTGGTAGCCATTCAGCCACATCGCGGTGGAGACAAGTACCTGCCTCCGGCTAGCACCACTCAGGCACCGATCATCAACAAGAAATTCTATCTGGTTTCCGCTCCCGAGGATCACAGCAACGATGGCAAGGTCAAGCATCTGGTGCTGGGACGTCCACAGAAGAACTACCGTGTGGTGTTCATCAAGGCCCCGGCCGGTGATAATGCCAATGTCAAGTACTCGGCCGAGTTTGCGCCACAGGAGGAGAAGACCGTCATCTATGTGCTGAGCAAGAAGGACAATGATCTGGATGCCAGCGATGTGGCCACTCCGGCACCCACGCAGCCCAGCAAGCCCGAGGTGTTCTTCATCAAGTACAAGACCGACGATGAGGCTAAGCAGGCCCAGCAGGAGATCCAGGGACAGTATGACAAGCTCGGTGGCACCAACGAGTACCAGGAGGATAACAATGCTCCCATTACCTCGGTGATCGGTAGCCTCGATGGCCTGAATCCCGATGGTAGCTACAACTACAGGCAGATTGCCAATCGTCCACCCAGTGCCCAGTATCTGCCCAGTCTGCTGAAGCACTAGAGGATTAACACCCACCCACCCACAACCACCACACCACCAAAATACCCACAAACAATATCAAAATCACCACCCAAAAAACGCCCAAAAAGAATTTCCATCCCAGAGACCCTTGTTGTGTTGCGTAATTTTAAGAGATCTTTACTATTTTTTTGTGTTTTTTTTCTGTTAATTGTTATTTTGTTGCTAATAAAGTTTATATTTAAAAAGAAGAATTTAAAAGTTGTTCCTTATAACAGGGGATTTTCATGAAAATGAAAGAAACTACAAGAGTGGAAAGAGATGCTAAACATTGGTGAATGTTTTTGGAGTAAATGGTAAAAGTTTGAGAGCAAAATATTTAGACACAAATCCTTCTTTTTAAATAAATGTTTAAAGATCAAGTAGAGTAAAGAATCTTAGCCCCTATAGAATATACAACAATTTCAACAATTACAACACTAAAAATGTATTCAACTCCAAGCTTTTTGACATATTTATCATTTAAAGAAGTATAAAAAACAAGAATAAAAACAACCTAAGGTCGGTCAGTAATTTAAAACAAACAAAAAATTAATAAAAATCCTATAAATTGAAATGTTTCTTCTGGCAGTTGGAAATTAAAGAAAATTCAAACCAAAGTCAAAGTCAAAAACAAATCGAAGCAGCATCGAGTCGAGCAGAAAGAGACATTTCATTTGATATTCGGTATTCAAATCAGTTCAGTTCACATTTCAATATGTCCAAATCCGAATCAAAATCAAAATCCAAATCCGAATCGAAATAGGAATTCAAACAACAGAGGGGCTGCCGTCAAAATTTCCAACAGAAATTAGCTTAAATGAAGTGAGAAATCAAAATAAGCTCATCAAATTTAATTAAATTGTGGAGCTTTATATATATATATTTATTTTTTCTTTTTAGCTCTTGGTGTGGTTTTTAGTTTGTTTTTGTTGCTTTGATTGGACCATTAAACTGACGCTGCATAAAAAGAGACCGAGCCAGAGCCTGAGACAGACCCAAGAGCAGTCAATGATTAATGTTGAATCGTTAAATTGATCCCAACAAATAAAACATTAGCGTACAGATCCATTTGGGTATTGGGGAAGTCAATTCTTCTTTATTTAATTAGTATTAATCGCTGTAATTTAATTAATTATATTGATAGGCAAAGTATAGGGTTAAGTGTTAATATTATTGCTTTGATTTTTAATGAATGTAAGTATGTGAATTCATTTATAGCTTATGAACTTGTTAAGAGCAACTTTCTTTAAAAGCAATATATGATTTTATAGAAGAATGAAGAGAACAACAAATAAAAAACTGAATGAATGAATTAAGAAACAAATATATTTAAATGAAATGTTGATATAAGAATTTCTCTTATTTTATTATTACTATTATTATATTATTATCTTTTATTTTCCGTTTTGGTCGTGAATAAAAATACATAATATAAATAGGTATATATACAGCTCTTATAGAGTTAAATGCCTGAGATCTGTCGTATCAAATGGAGAGGACTTAATCTATATAAATAAATATATTAAAAAGACTCTTTTTGATAATTACAATCTTTTTCAGAAACCACCAAGTTAAAACACCCTTATTACTCATAAATCTTAAAAATATAGAAAGCTAAAATAGTTCCAAATGACATCTCTTGACCTCCCGCCCCAAATCTAAACGATATATCAAAGATATGTCAAAGAGGTCGATGCTAAGGTGACATCTTTATAATATACACATCCAAAAGCATCTGGCCAAGATAATTTTTCTTAATAAAGTCCAGCATAAATCAAATTAGCTGTACCATTTTGCTTAAATGCGACATGAAAGTGTGGGAATTACGCCTTAATATATGCAAATCCCATGCACACACACAATCGAACCAGTTTCCAACAACAAATATAAAAAAGAAGGAAAAAACTAAACCATAGCCATTGTTGATATTTTAATTGTCTCTTGTTGACAACTAAAAATGAAAAAATTGATAGAGAAAAAATAAATGAAAAAGCGCTGAAATTAATCTACTAATCAGCATCGAGGCTGCGTCAAACCAAAAATAACTGATTTCGAATTGGATAGATATCGAAATCGAAATTGGCCGAAATGCAAGTTGGTAACTGCCAGCCAGTTGGCCAAGATCATTAGTCAAAGGCGAGGGCGTTGAATGATGCTCCTCGCGATATGCAACATCATTTTAACGCCTAAATTTCAAGTCAAAATAAATGATAAATGATCTGTAATCTGCACAAAATATCTGTGAGATCTGTGAGAAGAGCATAACGAAAGGTCGTGTCAAAATCGAAGATAAAACAAACCAGAAAGGTAACTAACTTTGGGAAGCTTAAGTTATATATACTCTTTCAGTTAGCAATTGAAATATGTCATTAGATTATAAGATATAGTATGAAATTCTAAACTTAAATTATTAGCATTCTTTGACTGAATAGTTAGTGATATTTTTATATAAATTTTTATCGGCAACTCACAACTAAATTAAAAATACATTAATTTCAATTCAGAAAGCTGTTCTATGATAGTCTTTTCCAGGTTTACAAATCTGCATACTAAGCTGACAAATTTAATAAAATCAATTTATTGTCAATTTTTGAAAATTTTAATGCTACGATGCTACGCCTTATAAAAATTTTGAAAAAATTGATCAAATTTTTTTTTCTACCTGAGATGGCTAAATCGATTCTCCTGTTGATCCTGATCAAGAATATATATGATTTATAGGTCGGAAATGACTCCTTCACGTTCTTTTAAGCTTCTGACTGAAGGTGCAATTCCATTTTTAATTGATATTAATAAATTTTTATATGAGCACTATTTCGACAAATCAAAATGTAAAAAACTCATAACTAAGCCAAAAAAGCATTAATTTCAATTCAGGAGGCGTTCGTATCTTAATTTTTAACAGGTTAACAAAAAAATTTGAATATTTGGACGATTTTTGAAAATTTTAACGATGTAACCCCTTTTTCTTTTTTTTTTTTTTTTTTTAAATTAAAAAAATTTTATTTTTTACCGGGCATGGCTAGATCGATTCCCTTGTTGATGCTGATCAAGAATAAATATAATTTATAGGGTCGGAAATGATTCCTTTCCTGTTTTTTAAGCTTCTGACTAAAATTAAAATATCTTTGAAAGGGTATAAAAACGAGGCGGCTAGGGGAAGCGACTGAACACAAAACTTAATTAATTTGCTTTTTAAATCTTATAGTTGAGGGATTTTTCCGACTTATTCGAGTTTTGTAACCATTAACTGAGGTTATTGGGCACTGAACTTGTTGGGTTAAGGAATGAATTAACTTGATTCTTCTAATTTCCAGAACGAACATTAATTTGTTTCAAGTTCATAATTTAGCTTAGGGGTTTTTTAGGGAAGCTGTTTGGTTTGTAATTAAAAAGTTTTTAGGTTTAGTTTCTCAGTTTTTACTTAATGACTTTTTGGTTTTCTTTGTCAGCTTTCGACGAATTTTCTGGTATTATTAGAGAGTTTCTGATAAATTTTTCCATATTTTCTCAAATTTTTCGTAGAAGTTTTTCATAGGATTGTTTAACATTTTGTCTGGTGTTTCTTGGAAGTTTCTTCTTCTTTTTTACAACAATATTTAAATAAGTCTTGTTCTTCTTTTTGTTTAAAGGTTTTTCACCAGTGTTTTTTTTAGGATTTTTTTGATTATCTGATTTTTTCAGTTTTTTTTCTTTAATAAATTAATATTTTTCTTCACATTTTCTAAAAGACTTCACTACTTTAATAGTTTTTCTCTCAAATACCTTTCCTAAATTATTTCATTTTCAAGGTTTCTTTCCTGTAAAACCCCATCTTACAACATTTTAAATCATCTAACAAGCAAAATGTGATAGATTATGAAATACCGAGACCCTGACCAAAACTTACATCAATATTGAAATACGTTTGGCAGCTTCTGTTCCCACATTTTCACGCACAATTAATTTTTCATCTGGCACGAGTTTGTTGCCTAAGTCTTTTGTTTTCGCAGCTTTTAGCTAAGCAATTTGCTGGCGAAAAAAAGAAAATACAAAATAAACAATAAAGATTTCCCAAATTTGCAGGTTAATCAGAGTCCAAGATCTAACTAGATCTCTTTTAAAAGTGAAACTAACCCAGGGGACCGAAAACAGTTGTCTGCTGAAAGCCGCGAAATGTTGAACTTCTTCGGTTTGGTTTCCCTCTCGTTAGTTAGTCTGTCGTGGGCTCAGGGATTACCATCGCGCACCTATTTGCCTCCACCGGTTACAGCTTCAGCTGCCAATCCTGTCATGGAACCCATCATAACCAAGCAATTCTTCAGCATCTCGCCGGCGGAAGATCCCGAGGATTTGGAGCCAAGGAATAAGCATTTGGTTATTGGGCAACCTCGACGAAATTATCGTGTGATATTCATAAGGGCACCGACGGCCAATAGTGAGAGATTGAGATACACAGCGGAACTGGCACCACAGGAGGAGCGTACGGTCATCTATGTACTCACCAAGAAGCAACACGAACTGGAGGCCACGGATATTGTGACCCCACGGGAGAAACCCCAGGCGGAACAGAAACCAGACATCTTTTTCATCAAATACAAGACGAACGAGGAGGCTGTCGCTGCCCAAAAGGAAATTCAGACGCAGTACGATCAGCTCGGAGGGAATAGTGAGATAGCTGCACCCTATGTGGCACCTGTTCAATCAGTGATTGGAGCTCTCAATCCTCAACAGACAACGCCCTATCAAGCTCCCTCCCCCAGCTTCCATCAGTCACCGCCAAATCAATCCCCTGGCTATCATTATGATAGGCCATCGCCACCTTCCACGCTCTTGGCGCCAGTGGAGAGGTCGTACTGAAGCCTAAATATCTTATTCAGATAAATATATACATATATATATATATATATATATATATATATATATATCCGTTGAATATTCCATGCTATTTGCATATAATTGATAAGCCATTTCCATTGGCAAACGAATTTATCATAAAACTTGGTGAACGCGTAAATAAAAATGGTTGCTTTTAATTAATTTTTTGGTTGTATAATTTTTGCAAACCTTTTTTTGCTCTTTGTTTTTGTTTTTATTTTTTTTAATTTTTTTTTCCGGTGATATCTGATTTGCAAAAGTGCTTTGACCCTGTGACAAAGGAGAGGAATTTGGAGGCAAGTTTGTGACGGGCTTATTGGTTAAATAACAAAATAAATCAAATTAAAATGAAAATTAAATTAGCAAATAAAAAGCTTAAGCAAGGCTTGTTAAAGATACAAAATAATAACACAAATTTAATTAATTTAAAAGTTTGGAATTGTAAATTGGATTAATAATAGAATATTTAGTAAACATATACAACAAATTGTGAAATATCAACATTTAAGCCAAAATTTTTGTTAAATATATAATAAATATTGTTAATAAACATAACATGTGCATATGGCTGTCTGATATCGTCATAATCAGCAAATATTGCTAACTATGTTCAACGAAACAAATATAATATATGAATCAGTGGTGATCCAGGCTAGACAGAGAAATTTATGACTAAATAAATACTATACAGAAAACAAATCCTGCTTATTAATTAAAGATCGTCTTATGAAAATAGTTTAGTTACCCAAAATATATCTAATATTTAAACAAATATTTTAGTAAGGGGCTCCGAAATATTGACCAAATAGGTTTGTGGCCAAAAATAATTAAAATCTGCATAAATTTAGCAAATCGCAACCGAAAAAAGAAGAAACCGCAAAACGGCAATGCAGTTTTTTAAGTTTTTTTTTATTATTATTATTTATATTGAGGTGTCTCTGTGGTCCTCTGTGGCCACCAGTTTATCTTCATTGGATTTATTATGCATTTGCATTTAATTAATGGATGGATGAATGTTTTTTTTTTATTTTTATTTATTTTTGCAAGCCATTTTTGGGCATCAACTGGGCGACCTTTTTTTGATTGGCAGCAGCAACAATTTGGCAGCAATTAATCTTTGGGTTGCCTGGCTGGCTTTTGCCAAAAAAATACAAATATATAAAATTTGAAACAAAGAAAGATGTTTGGCAATCAAATGAGCGGATTTTCAAGGTCCCTTAGCGAAAATTTTAAACTAAAAAGTTGGATTCTAAGCCTATTATCCCCGCACCTTTAATAATTCCAATAATATTTATAATTCCAAGGTGGCCAAAATGCGTGCATAAATCACACACACACATCATTCACACACTCGCGACTTAATGGCCCTAAAGACCTGGCCCTGCCCAAAACGCATTCAAATTATGGCAATTATATTGAAATTTGTTCATCAACAATACGCCGCAGAGTCAAAGATGTGGAATTTCGCCTTAGTGTCTTTTGGAATTTCTGCTTTTAGTGGCTTCAACTAAAAATAGACCATGACAGACGGCAGACATAATCTATGCATACAACTCGGTGGATACCCTTTTGTTGGGCCTCAACCAGAAACCAGAAATGAGACTTAAATGTGGCTTATTTGTGTTGTAATACAAAAACTAAAGCAAATTAAATTTAATAAATGCATAAAATAAATATATAAATAAATGGCATTTTGGCAAAAGTGAGGCAAGGGTATCCTTTTTGTTGCTTTGCCGCAACTCATCAAAGGCTAAATAATATAATTTATAACACAGTCAAAGATAAAAGAGGAAATTTCAAATAAAAAACGAATAAGTAAAGTCTTAGAGTATACAAAATTCAGATTTTGCAGCAATGCCAATAAGTGGCTGCTGCGCCTGTGGCAAAATAGTCAAGAAATAATAGAAATAATAATCCAATGCTCTTAGCAAATGCTGCTTCTAATGCCTTCAACATAATTAAGCTCTTGTTAACAATGGCTTAATACGTCAAACTAAAGTCCCCCTCATAGCGGAAGCAGGTTCTGTTCTTAGAGAACCAAACACAGTCAAGAAATCACAGAACAAGAAGTCAAGAAAGAAAAATAACCGCAGAACCCACAAGATTCTTCCAAGAATTTGTTTGACCATCCAAGCCGGACAGACAGATAGAAAGACAGCAAACAAATTGCGCCCATCAATCAAGCTTCGTTACACTATCGCTTAATAAAAAAATATTTATTTATAAAAAGATGTTGAAACCAAAGAAAGAAAGAGAATGGCTGAAGAAATTGAAAGTTTTGGCGGGATAATAATTAAAGCGATGAAACAAAGGCATGAGGGAACGTCTTTATTAAAATAGAAGCATTATTGTGGAAATTTAAATAATTTTATATACGTCTTAATACTCCTTAAAATTAATAAGAAAAACTACAAAATAAACATCTGAAACGGCGGATTGCTTGAGATAATGTATCTGGGCTAATGTTGACAGACAAATTATGTTAGTAAATGTTTCTAGGTTGCTAGGATATGTTTCTAGGCAAAATTAGCTAGGATTATGTTAGACAACCCCAGTAATGGAGTCAATTTATTAATAAAATCTTACGTTAAATTAACAAAAAGAAATCTACAAATTATGTATCCAGCAAGGCGGAGAGCAGAAGGAAATACGACTGGGCAAAATGTTAACAGGAACGATAAGTACATAAATATTTGTTGCCAGGCGAAAGTAACTAGGATTAAGTTGGAATCTTTTATTAGAACTCCTTCATTGCGTTTTACTCTTCTGACTGAAATTATAATTGGTATAAATAAGACACATGAAAATGCTTCTAAACAAAAGTAGATAAGTCTACCTCTGTCTTTACCTTGTTTTTCATAAGTACAATGCATAAAAAATGTATTATAACAATTATTGATCTTCTTTTTCCTATTACTCAACAGGATTCAAACATTCTAAGTTTATTGAAGGAAGCCCAAAAACGTGCCAACTTCTCAATGCTGATCAAATTAAGATATAAACGCGTTTCCATATATATCGTCATATACACTTCGAATACCGCTAAAGATCAATCAATCAATTGAGGATTTTATGCAAAATTTTTGCATTCATCTTGAAAATTGGCGGAGAGATATATATAATAATAATGACGACAAACAATGCGACAAAATGCAACCGTATTTCATGAGAGGAGTCTTTGAAAATTCAAATGGAAATTGATCCATGGATTCGCCGGCGATCAAGTTGCTCGAAACGCCGGCGAATATTCGTCTATGATTTATTATCACCCCAAAATAAGAAATAAATAAAAGCAAAAACAAAACATAAACCAAAACCGAAATCAAAACAAAAACAATAGCAAAACGAATATCGATGGACAACAGGTCACATTAAAGGAAGCGTGAAAGAGACAGACAAACAAGTCAAATGTCAGAGGTTCGGCATAGTCAAATAATTGAGCAATTAATAAAACCGGCGAGAAGGAAAAAAAATTATAGAAAAAAATCAATGAGAAGCGGAGGAACCAATATTCGGGGTATAAAAGGCCAAAGATCTTCAAGGGGGAGCATCATTAAGCCAACAACTGAAAGCCAATCAACATGCGTCTATTTGTGGTAAGAGGAGGGATAAGGATAACCTGAGGATTATCTGATAGATTACCCCAAAGATCACACTGCGGATTACTTAAATACTAATTCAAATTCTTTGCAGACCCTTTGCACTCTGGTGACCCTTAGCCAGGCCAAGCCCCAGGGCTATAACTATGGCAGCGGTGTCTCCGGCTCTCTGTCCTCCGGTGGCTCCAGCTCGGGCGGCAGCTCCGGCGGTTTCCTGGCTGCTCCCAGTCACTCACAGAGCTCTGTGGCCTCGTACGGTCCTTTGGGCGCCTTCCAAAGCGCCAGCGTTGGCTCCCTGGTGAGCAGTCCCTCTGCCCTCCAGTCGGTTAGCCATTATGGCGGCGGCAGCAGCGGCGGTCATGGTGCCACCTACAGCTCTGGCGGTTCTGGATCCTCCTCTTCCAACTATGGTGGTGGTGCCTCCAATTATGGTGGTGGTGCTTCCAACTATGGCTCATCCGTATCCAACTATGGTGGCAGTTCTGGCGGCAGCTCCTTCACCGGCTTTGGACCATCGCCGAATATTGGATTCGGCGGACTGGCCGGCTACCAGGCACCCACCTATCAGCAGCAGCAGGAGCAGGAGGTGCAGCGTGGCTTCCAGGAGCCCATCATCCACAAGCAGTTCTTCACCGTCGCTGCCCCCGAGGAGCACGAGAATTTGGAGCGTTCCAAGCATCTGGTGATTGGTCGTCCCCAGAAGAACTATCGTGTGGTTTTCATTAAGGCCCCATCTTCGAGCAATGCCAACGTTAAGCTGTCGGCCGAATACGCCCCCAAGGAGGAGAAGACTGTCATCTATGTGCTCAGCAAGAAGGACAACCAGCTGGAGGTCAACGATATTGCCACGCCCGCACCCACGGTGCCCAGCAAGCCGGAGGTGTTCTTCATCAAGTACAAGACCGATGCCGAGGCCTCTCACGCCCAGCAGCAGATTCAGGGTGAGTTTATCTTGAACATATTGTGGTGATTTCTTGTTTACATTCAATCAATCAATTTTCTGCAGCCGAATACGACAGAATCGAGGGAACATCGGAGCACACCGATGGCGGAGTGGCTCCAGCTCAATCGGTGGTCGGAATCTTGGATGGCGGTGCTATCGGTGCTGCCAGCACTGGCAGCTCTCACTTTGTCGGCGGCAGCTCTGGATCGACTGGTGGCTTCAGCACCGGTTCCACTGGTGGAAGCTACACCTCGTCCTCGTCGTCGGGCGGTATCTCTGGTGGAGCCACCGGAGGCGCTACCGTCATCGCCACCCACAAGAACGCCCAGAGTGCAACCTATCTGCCACCCAATGGCAAATAAATGGTCACTTTCGAGTGAAAGGATCGAAGGATCGAAGAATAGATAGCAACAATTTTTTCTGTACAGTGATGCCAATAGTCAAAGGTTTTTTTTTTTGTGAAATCATAATTAAATAATAAAATAACGAAATAGAAGAATAACTCAAGAGGGCTTTTGCTTTCATTGAATTAAGTTAATTAAATAACTAAAGTCGATGGTGAGTAAACAAAACAATTAATTGGATTGCAGTCTTTTTTAACCCTTTCACGGCATTATAATTTTAGTCAGAAGCTTATAACCTTGTGATGGAATCATTTCCGACCCTATAAACCATATATATTCTAGATCAGCATCAACAGGAGAATCGATCTGGGCATGTTCGGCAGAAAAAAAAATTTTGCTAATTTTTTTTTAAATTTTAAAAGGGTGATGATCATTAAAATTTTTAAAATTTACAAAAATTTTGTTTTTTAAATTAAAATGCAAATTTATTAACCTCATAAAAACAAACATAGGAAAGCATTCCGATTTGAAATTAATGAATTTTTGACTGAGTTATGAACTAATTTAACTGCAAGGGTATAGAAGTTTCCAATCGGTTTTCAGACGGTCTAATTAAGATCCTTGGGAAAACCACGAGCTTCTGGTAATGCTCTACCATATAGAAATACTCTAAGCATATATAATATATATATTTGATCAATATATGGACAACGATTTATGACAATTCGTTATTTTTACAATCCAACATTAAAAAATATGACTTATACTCTTGTTTCTTGAGTTATAACTTTCTTTATTTGTTTTTCTTGAGAAAACAGACAAACATATTGTACTCGAAGAGATTAGAACTCTTTAATTTAATCAAAAAAAGAAAGCAAATCAGAGAATTAGACTTATTTGTTATTCATTATTTATACCCATTATCGCTTGTCACAACAATATTCCTTAGAATGCTTTGGATGGTATTGTTTAAAATACTTAGTACTTAGGACTACAAGTCCTGGTTTCTTATGTACTCTTTATGGTTAATAAAATAAGAACAAATACAAGAAAGCCTTTGACTTCACAAGTATCGCCCTAAATTTGAAAATACCAATCTTTCATTGCCTACTTTAAGGCAGAATTAATTTGTAAATACAAATCTGACACTGCCTACTTTTAGGCAGAATTCAAATCAAAGACATTGACACCTAACAAATTCCCTGCTGGATTATATCAAACATTATTGTTTATCTATTTTTCTACATATACCGAATATACCTTTGAGAAAATGTTGCCTGGATAATTGAAGATTTCAGGAAATGAAAACCACATGGAGTAAATACAGCTTAAACTCCAATATATAAATCCCAACAAATAAATTAAATCTGGACTTACCGACAGCGTTAATGGCTTGTTTCAGGAGCATATCCGACTGACTTTTGTCCAGGGAGTCGATCTCGCGGCAGCTTCGATACAAACTGGTCACTGTGGACTCGATGGAATAGGCTCCCTCGCCGGTATTCGGCAGCATGGAGATGAAGCGATTCAGTTCGTTAAGTTCTGAAATAAACAATCGAAATTAATAAACAATTCTCTACGATAATTAAAAGCTAGAGATAAGCCAAAGTTGAAGCTTACCCTGATACTCATTGTAAGTCTTGTAGTTCCACTCGCCCCGCTTGATCACGAAGTAATCGTGGTTGGCATAGTCGCTGGCAAAGTTACCGCATGCCCACTCATATGTATCGTGGCAGGGACTCTTCGAGGTGTTGGCCCAGAGGAGGAGCTGACGGCTACTCTCCACACACTCCTTATCCAGGCAGAGTGGTGCCCTTAGATAGAAGGGAACCTCGGGCCAAAAGGCTAGCAGCAGGATGATGATCAGCAGAAGCAGGGCACAGAGGCAGGCGGTGGTCACATACAGGATGCGGCGCTTGCGGGAAAGACTCATAAGCGCATCGAAAGAACGCCGGCCTGGAATCAGCAAAGCTATCAACATGGAAAGACATGGAAAATGAATGAAATGGTGGATGAGCACAAGGAAATGTAAACAATAACAAGTGTAGGGGAATGATGATGAGAAATTTATCATAAATGCTCACCTCTCAGTCCATTGGCCGAGGGATGCGTAGAGTTGGGTGTATTTGCCGTCGGTGTCCTGCCCCCGGCTCCACCTCCACTGCCTCCGCCGCCAATTTCGTTGAGTGCATCTTGGCGTGCCGCCTCCAGATCCTTGGGCGTCAGATGGGAGCCATCGTCCATGTGTAGCTTCTGCTGATTGGTGGTTAGCGGTGCCGTTTCGCTGCCCTCGATCTGCTGCAGCTGCTGCTTGCCCCTGATCTCGTCCTGGCTATTGTGCAACTTGTAGCTGCGGTCGTCCACCTCATCGATTGCGCAGATCGTGGGCTTGTATTTGCCCTGATTGATGGCCATTTTGGAGTTGGATATTTTGTGCTGCTCCTGTGACTTGACTGCTCTTTTGGTTTGCTCACGCTCAGTGCTGGTGGTTCTTCATTTTTCTGTTGTGTTTTTTCCTTATTTTTTAATCGCAAATTCTCAAGCTCTCGATTCTCAATTAGCTCTGTAGATAGGTAGGAAGGAAGAGAAATTACAAAATCAGTCACAATTGCCAAGAAAATATAGCGTTGATCAAACAGTGAGAAGAATTTCCAACCGGCTTAACCGACTTGATTATCAAAAGATTACCTTGAGACATGATATACTATGTCATGTACGGCTATATATGTTTTTATATACCTCAGGCCAATAAAGAAACCTTTTTCGCTATGTGGAGCATCAGAGATAAGTGAAAATTTCCGATTCCTGAGATAGTAGATGTACAACTGCGGTCAGCCAAATAAGACTAAAAGCTCATAGTTATAAATGAGTTATTAAATGTATCTTATAATCAATTAAGTCTCTGATATATAAAAAAAAAAAAAAACTGAAATTGTTTTGAATAAGTCTTAGCTTTGTTCATTTCCTTATAGTAAACGCCTAGCAATTGTTTAACAGACGCAACTCATAAATACTCATAAGATCTGCGGCTATATTACTGTCTTTACTTGCATATGTGTATGTATAGGGATGTTGCATGCTCAACATTTGACTTCTTTTCAATTTTAAATTGACAACAATTGCCAGCAATTTGCACTGTCTTCGACTGGCGAAAATGTTGCAAATAAGTGGGAGTGAGATCTCCCAAGGAAACGAAAAGAGACAAACAGACGTTGGTCTGTGACTTTATTTAGCGACATGCATAAGCTGTCATTGAGGGCCGTGCAAATAATTAAAAATGCAGCCAAGTGGGCTCAAGAAAATAAACTGGGTTAATTGCTAATTGCTATAAAAAAATCTAAAAGTTTATATAGACTTCTTTAATTATGATAATGAATCTTTGGGAGCTATGATTTGGTTGAAATTCGACAAGAATTAGGCAAGTTTTTGAAAAGTTTTACCCTTTTCAAGAAGTTTCAGTTGAAGCCTCTTAAAAATTCCTCTGAATTCTTTTCCAAATGATGCGAAACTTTGTGGAGCTATATACTATGTTACTAAAAGGTGTTGTACTCAGTTTGAACGCCCATTGATGGGTTTTATCAATGAATAATTGTATGATCTTGAAATGGAACCTATTCGTATAGTTGGTTAGTTTTAGTTGCGCTTCGCTGACCGCCAGAGGGCGTCACTTGCCTTTGTTTCTTTGTGGTTATGCTAGTTTTGAAATGGTTTTCTGCTTTTATTTTGTTATTTTTTTCCAGGTGAAATCGTATAGCGCATTTGTCATTTAATCTACGAGGAAAGCAACTAATGCACCCACACCATAACTGCCGGCAGCAGGTTAATTATGGAACTGCAATGTACACACGCGAGTTTATGAAGCGCAATTAGAGCATTGTCTCAAAGCAGATGGGTCTATTCCTATTCCTATTTATATAGGGTTTCTTTCGAATTTTAACCTTGCTTTTTTTAGGAAAATATTCACCCATATTTACTCATATCTTTATGAATCAGAGTTTAAATTTAATTAAACAAACTCTCAGCGCAATGGCATTTCCTAATTACAGATATTCAATCAAGATTTTCATATTCCAAGCCTTTGCAAATCTCTCGAGCGCCAAAAAAGAGCGATAAGTTGCGGTCAGTTTGGAGATTTGGATGGTAAAGTAAAGTAAAATAGAACGGAGCGAAAAAAATAGAAACGCAGACTGGCTTGCTTATCTTATCGAGTTGAGATTATTGCCTAATACATTGCTCATTTCTAGGCGCTGCTACTAAGGCCTTTTGGCCAGCCCGCCCTTTTTTAGCAGCCGATAAGTCTCACTTTTATATTTCATGGTTAGCATAAATCAAAAGTGTAGCATTCAGCAAGATTAGTTCCGTTAAATTGCCCAAGTGTTTAATTGAAAAAATAAATATAAAATGTAGTCTTTGGATGGAGGAGGAGAAACCATAACCATAACTATTATCTCTTAGTATCTCCGACTTTATCTGTCTACCAAAGGCCCTATATGGCCTAGGCACTTTAGAAACCGAAGGTTTCACATTGTTGAGTAATGATGATGGGAGGGAGAACGAATAGCACTTGACTTAACTTCTATGGAACTATATTGCAAGCGATAAGATCTTCAAAAGAAGTCACATAAAGATAAAGAGGATCTGAAATGGCCCAAACACTGACAGGTAATGCCTTAATTAGTTTTATTTACTGATTAAGACACTTTTGGCAACTTTAATTCTAAACATCTCTGAGCTGTCCGACTCACTTTCTGTTATTTACTCGAGCTTCTGTTTAATGTTTAAATTCCGTATTCTCAAGACGCATTTTCCGTTCTCATGGAGGGTTGAAATCCCTTGTTAGTCATCATGTTCTTTATGCTGAGCTGTGTTGTCAGTCATCCGCTTGTCTGTTCTCTGTCCAAAATGAATTACATATTTATTCACCAGTTTAATGGGTCGCTTTTGCCAGTTCAAAGAACCTTTGCGACTGTGGCGAAAAAATAACAAATCGGCACACATATGGGAGCTATAATATGCTGCACTTGCAGCAGTAATACAAGCCCCAAGCACACAGCTCCATTTCGTCGGTCGGTATCAAGTTGCAATCGCTTTGATTTCTGATTTATGCTTAATAGGCTTGATTCAATGATTGGCTTTAAGGGGGGTGATTCTAAAGTGGACGGAAACTGAAACTGAAGCCCAGTTATCTCAGAAGCGCAGTATCTAAAGAAGCTGCTGATGCGTCATTTAGTTTGGGGTGGATTCTGCAGCCTGTCCCATTATTATTATTATTATTATTCTTGCGAGAAGCGCAATTCAATGCTAAGTCGCAGTTCGATGAATATGGGGGATGGATGTGAAGGACTTATGTGGGAAGTGTCTCAAAAGGCAAGGAGATAAGCCGATTGATAAATAATTAATAAAAATGCAAGGCAAAGGTTTTAGCTCTAAGGTTTCAATACCGATTTCGAATGTTTACTTCTCCTTAACCATGCCATGAAAAATTACTTTAAATTCAAAACACTCATCGAAAATTAGACTTCTTCCTCTAAGCACCTTTTAAACACAAATAATGAAGCAATAATTCTTTCCAAAATTAAATAAAGACATTTCCTGTGTGTAACATAAATCAAAGAGTATGAGGTATTGGTATATTCATTGTAATAATTTTCAACTTTATATTTCCGCTTTCCTCCTTCCACAAGCGTAATCGGGTTTCTTTGTGTGACCAAAAAAAGAGACATGGCTTTCCAGCAAAACCTCAACATCTTCTTCCCGTTTTCCCCCCTCTCAAATATTTCCTTTCGAGTGCGGGTTACCATATTTGAACATGCCGCGCATAAATCACAAACAGACCTTATAAATCTCATAAGATAACAACAAAAAGATACTGATAGAGGCGAGGGAAGCCAATAAATATGCTGACCAATTTTGACAGGCACTAAACAATTATTAGCTGTTGCCATATAAATGTAGAGAAAATTTAAAAATCATATATTATAAAAAAAGAAAGAAATCGGATATGAATTGGTAAGAAAATATATACAAATTTGTAATTTTGACTACCTTTCAATGTCTTTTTTTATGGAATTTAGTTGCTGAAAGATCAATTTCTATCAATTTCTTATATGAAAATATAAAGACTCTGAAGACGAAGATTAAAAAAATGCGGAGATAATTCCCTTCTTTTTCCATCAAGCAAACCTTAGTACTTTATTCTATTTATCAAATTAGCAAGAGCATATAAACTTCGACTAGTTATAGATATCTTCCCTTATACCATTTACTATTTGTGTTGACAATTTTGACAGCTATTAGGCTGTAGGAAATAATACAGGGAATTAGAAAATCAATTTGACTTTGCGGGTAATTGAGTGTGGCGTTTTTTTGACAGCGATTAGCGCACCTGTCGAAAGCTTGTTGCCCTGATTTACAACCTTTTTTGTTTCTATTTTTTAGTAACGCTGTTTTATTTTTTTTTGTGCTCTGCTGTGCTATTGACATTTAATTTGAGCTAATGGCGCAACGAACACGTCGCTTGTACTATTACTGGTATCAAATGTGTTGATTGCGGCCAACAGCAATTCAATAATTGCCGTTTGTATTGGCCGGCTTTTGAGGCGGATCCCAGTGGGACTTTTGGTGCGGAAAAAAGTGATTAAGAATTAATGGAGGATGAAGTATCTAAGCTAGGGGTTATATTGATAATAGAACCCTTCGATGCAACACTTAGTTGCAGTTGAATTTGTCCTTATTCTTGCATAAATAATAAAAGATTGTTAACCTGTATAATCAAGACTTTTATTATTTAAAACAAATAATGTAGCCAAAATTGACATATATTGCATTATTTTTGCACTCTAGTTTGTGTCAGTGGTAAGAGTAGTGATATTTTTCATTCGAGTTGAGACATTTTTCTTCTGATTAACTGATAACCTTGTCGCTAGAGCCCCAAAGCACAATCAGTTGTTAAATGTGTCAACAATTTGTCGTTGTTCTAGTCAGTAAAAGTCACTAAAAAGTTAACAAATTGAGAGCTCCAAGCGCTGCAGAAAATGTTTGCTTATGCAACTTTGCTTTCGAGGGAACAAACACACTCCAAACATGAAAGTGTAATTAATTGAGCTTGGCAAGAACATATTAAAGGTAAATATGTTCATACCAGAAAATATACATATATTTTAAAAAATCCTCTTGGGGAAAACTATAATTAACTTATTTGACTTTTTTTAAAGATTATTTTTTTGCTGATCATAGTAATTCATATCTAGCGAGCGAGTCTTGCTACCATATGCAAACCACTCAGGCGTAAAGTTGTATCCGTATATAAACTGTAAAACGTTTAACGGAAAAAGGTGCGGTTAAGGTTAGCTTTTTGAGGGGATTTGTGTTGTATTTGCTGCCTTTTGTTGTATTTTTTAATGCAAAAGCTGCAACAAAAAGTGCGTAACAATGGAAGAGTGACAGATGCGGGCGGCAGAGGTGGAAAACGTGAAAATAGGGGGATTTTGGGGATCTTAGTCAGCGGAAAATAATTCGTGCGTGAGCGTCACAATGCACAAGAAATACATCAAAATATATATGTACATATGTATATATAGTTGTTTATGTATTAAGTATAGGCATAATAAAACAGCGGGGTTCACTTGCAGATGCTTAACATAACTGTAAAGCATAACAGCAAAAAAGAATTTGGTCAGAAAGAGACTGAAATAGGAAGGAAATAACTTAAATTATAACACAAATCTTCAAAGAATTAATATTTAAATGTATTAACATTTAGATATTAAATAAATCAATAAATAATAGACAAGCTTCAAGGAGGAATTAAAGGGACTTATTGAATAATACTCCACTACATTTATATACATTCCTACATACATTTGCATGTACACATGTAACTGCATATGTAGATCAAGGTTATCTTACTGTGTTTTCAATGTCACCGGCTTATCATTTGTGAATTGCGATCTGTTGGTGTTGTTGTTGGTACGTGCTGCCCTGCACTATTCCACTGCCTCTGGCTCCGACTACGTCTACGCTATTACGCATTAATTATGGGAATTTTCGGAAATTGGGAAACCAAAATAAAAGAACTGACACGCAGGCGCAACAACACACACTAAAAACACACACGCGCAGCCGCCAATGCACCGAAGCAATGGGAAAAGAGAATGCCAAGAAACTGGCAGAGCGAAAGAGCGTGGTGTAGAAGATAGTGGGAGGAAGAGAAAGAGAGAGAGCAAGTGAGGTGTGCAGCATCACACGTTTATGCGTTCGTTTGCGCGACATAAATTCATGATATTCATTAATCGTCATCAGCTTAATGTAAACAAATGTGAATATTAAAATTTGAAACGACAAACAAGTGTTTCAATTTTTTGTCTATAAATAATTTCAAATTTTGTGAGTTTTCTGGAAAATTTTCCAAGCAAGCCATGAAAAATGATCGACTATATGGCACGTTTTACAGTTGCACACGAAGATTCATGAATTTGAAAAGCAATTACATGTAATAGGTGGGATATATTTAAATTATTCGAAGAGGAAAAAAATCCCAAAAGACCCGAGATTTACGAATTCCCACGATCGGAAAACATTTACACAAAGAAATGGTGTTTGCACACCATTAGCCGCAATGAGGCAACAAATATTCTCCCGATCGTGATCCCGATCGACGTGGGGACGAATACATATCTCTGGATCTCAAGCCAGTTGTTTTTTTTTTTGTTTTTTTTTCCTTTTTATCTTTTCCTTTTTTGTTTTTGCTTTGGCCACTTGCTGAACCGGTTCTGCCGGCATTTTACACACACACACACACACACTGGGACACTTTTCCACCTTAAAATGTACAAACACTCATGTATGTAAGAATGCATAAAAAAAGTGCGCTTAGGTGTACGCTCCATATTTTCGCTCCCTCCCTTTCACACGCACACAACACAACACACACACATTCACGCCAGTGGGAATTCTTGAACAGCAGAAATAAATCGCTGGCTTTTACCTTTCTTGTTTATAGCATCGCACTAATTCCTGGCTCGTTAGCGTTTTTTGCAAGGCGCCACCGCTAATACATTTATTGTTTATTAATCTTAGCACTCGAAAAAAAACCACACACACGGGAATTTTCGGTTTAGATTTGCGCGAAACCGTTATGTCGACCGACTCAATGAAACTCGAGTCTTATTTACAGTTAGTCCATATCACTTTACCGATCCTCAATTAAAAACGCAAATCACGCTCGCGGCACTACTGCACGGAATCGGAAAAACACATAGAACGATGCAGCCAAAGCCAACAGGTTTAAACAACTCTTTCGTTTAAGTCTTTTGATTTTTTAATTCGGAAAATTCCAGCAGCACAACCGCCTTCGTCGAAAAATTTGTTGTTTTTGTTTTTTTTTTGTGTTCGAGATTGCGGTTCTTTTGGATTTCTTTTGATGTTTTTTGCTATATTTCTTTTGGTCACTCTGAATTCCAAAGCTGTTGTTTAACATTTTACATTTTGCACGCCTACAGAGGCGTTCTACACGTTTATAGATACATGGGGTCGAATTCTCGTGTAGAAAGTAAAATTCGTAGCATATATATTTTTTCTGGTCACCCTGAATCCTGAAGCTGTTATTTAACATTTTACACGTTTACATAACTTTTTACCCGTAAAAAGTAAAATACATTAACAGCGCAGCTCTCATTAACAGTATTCTCTCTCGTTGGTATTTTTTGATATGGTCATTATGAGTTCCGAAGCTGTTATTTTACATTTTACATCTTACACGTCTAAAAAACAATTTTACATACACAATACCAAAACATCGATATATCGATAAAAGACCGGGAGAGCAGTTAAACTGTGCGCAGTCTGGCAGCTCGAGTTCTAAGGCTGCCAGAGTGTGGATAAGTGGTTGTAAACATTGATCTTTAAATTTGAATTTAAAAATTAAGCAAAATGCTTATTGTCAAGGAAATACTTTACGCTTGAAGTTCTCAAGTAGAATTGGTTCAATTTCATCTGCGAAACTGTATAATAAAACACGTTTCGCCACTTATTTAATTTTACACAACTCGACCGACAGTTTTATTCGTATCTTTTTATTATAAATCATTAAATGTAATACAGAAATTAGCAAAAAAAAAAGTAGTGGGAAAGTGGGGGGCAATCAGTAATAAGTACAGTTAATAAATTAAACATTAGCGTATAATTGAACTAAACTAAACTGTGAGCAGGGGGAGGGGCGAAACTAAGGTTTAGTACAGGGGGTTTATTTCGAGAATACACTGCAAGAAGTCGGTCAGCGCTTCTCCCATTGTAGTTTGGAAATAAATGCATTATTAATTTAAATAAAAACGATTTAACTCTTCTCCATTCATTTCATTTCGTGGTTTCTTTTTTAGTATATACACAAAGAGTTATAGTTAAATAATTACATCGATTAATCCAATAATTTGTTGTTTTTTCTTATTAATTTTTTGTTGTTTTTGCATTTTCAACACATTTTGGCGTTGTAATTTTCTTCTTTCGCGAACTTTGAGTTTTGGCAAACGATTTTCCACATAACAAGGTATTATTTTTTAATATTTTTCTTAATTTCAAAACGCCAACAAAAAATGCTCAAGAAACTTGATAATAGAATTTAAACATAAGAAAAAAAAAAAATTTATATTAGCACCTCTGCTTATCCGCCTCCCCGCATCTGCAGTTGTCTAAGAAAAGGGGGCATGGCAGTACTTTTAAAGGACCAACTTGACAGCGCGGCAAGGCTCGCGAGACTTGAATCATTTCTCGGTCTCTGAATTCTGATATTTCCGAGTTTCTATTATCCTTTTCTTTTCTTTTCTTTTCTTTTTTTTACTATCACTCACATTCGCTCTCGCACACACAAATATTCACCTTCTCATACACACACAATCGCTCACTTCATTCACACACACTTAGCTTAGGCTTCTACCTTTTTCCTGCTTTTATGTTTTTTTTTAGTACGGGCTTAATAATAGCACTTGCTGAACTTTCCTCGAAATAAAAATAATTAAAAATAATCAATCAAGTAAAAAGATACCTTTACGCATATTAGAAAGTTCTTCATGTCGTGACTAGGCAAGTTTAAATGTGTTTTCTTGTTGTATTCGCCTTTCAAATATTCAAAGATTTATCCGCCGGATAACTGATCGATTTTCGTATAACACGTTTCGGTTTGGAACCCAAATTTCAGTTCCCCTTTCTTAGTACGCCTTTTTTTTAGTACGTTTTGGTTTAGTGCGATGTTAGAAGTACTTATTGTTCGTGGCATGTCGTGTTATTAGTTGTTGCGTTTTTCTGCTATCATTTTCCTTTTGGAAAGGATCTACAGATGTTCGTCGCCATGGTAGCCATTCCGCAGTGGCTGTCGCTCCTGAGAGTGATCAGTTGGCCGGTTGCGATTGAAGAACCCACACTGTAGAACGCATAAATAATTTAAAATCAAAATATATTACAGTTTGTATAGTTTTTCTGTTAACTCACCTTGTACAGCAACCAAACGAGCAGTAGGAAGATGAGGGCACCAGCACAGGCAGCCAGGACAACCACCCACAGGGGCACAACATCCGGCACCTGTTGCGGTTCCGGTTCCGCCTTGTAGAAGATCTCGTGCGTCTTTTCGATGGGATCCTTGGGCGGCCCAATGAACGGCAGCAGGGTCACGTTGGCCACCGCCAGCGTGGACACATTCAGCGGCACATTTGAGGCCAGTTTCTCCATTGTCGTGGCCACCATGCGTGCCCGTATGGCCACAAAGGCGGCATCACCATCCTCCGTTCCCAGGTTACTGACCACACATCGAATGGTCTTGCATTTGGCCGACTTGCACGGAGAATTCAGATCGATCTGGCGGGGCTGCTGCTCCTCATCGTCCTCTGGCGTCCTGCGCAGGCGTCGCTGTGAGCTAGAGCTGGAGCTGCTCCAGTGACCCGTGGCAGCGGGCGTGGCCTGTTGAAGATTATCCTCGTCGTAGTAGTCCTCATTTTCCCGGCCATAATAAGGCTTGCTACCGCCGGAAGAGAAGGTCACATGGTGAGTCTGATAGCCACCTGGAGCGCTACTGAACTGCGTCTGTCCCTGATAGGAATGGCTGGGACCCTGGAATTGGCCCTGGTTCTGGCCCTGGTACTGTCCCTGTCCCAGTCCCTGGCTCTGCACACGGAACTGTCCCTGGCTCTGGCCCACAGTTTGGCCGGGATAGTGACCACTGCTCTGGCTCCGCTGATACAGCTCATTGTCCACATTGCCACGGTTGCCAAGGGTGCCCAAGTCCAGGGTGCCGGCATGGAAGTTGCCTGTCCGGCCGCCAAACTGGGACTTGTCATTGAAGCTGCCTCCTCCACCGGAACCTGCTCCGGCCAGAAGGATCTGCTGCTGCTGTTGCTGTTGATGATGCTGCGGCCAAGCACGATAATTGCCCGAGCTGCTGGACTGCTGGGCAGGTCCGGCTATCTGGATGTGTCCCTGGGTGCTGTGGCCACGCAGCTGGGCCGAGGGGGATCCCGATCCCAAGCTTCCGCTGCTGGTGGAGAAGGTGGCGAAGCTGGATTGATTGATGCGTGGTTCTTGGACCTGCACCGCCGCCTGGGTGGCGCGATCTCGGTGCACAAATGAGGCATCACCGGGCACCTCCAAGGTGTCCTCGTGCTCCAGTTCCGCCAGCTGCTTGGCGGTCAGACGGTTTTTGGCCTCCGTCTTGCTGACCAAGACAGCCTGACCGGAACCACCGCCGCCCTGGGATATCTCCAGGTGGCCGCCGCCCTCCTTGGCCGCACCACTTCCCGCACTGGATGAGCTGGAGGAGGAGGAGGTGGATTGCCCTCCGACCAGGGCGGAGTTCGAAATGGCACCCTGGGCCTGCAGATACGACTTCCGGGCCAGCTTCTCGTCCAGCAGCAGGTTATTCTCATTGACCAGCACCTCGTCGCAGGTGATCTTGCCGCCAGTCTCCGGTTGATTCAGGAGATACATGAGGGGATCACCCACAATGGTCTCGTAGGGCAGATGGATGCGTACTTCCGCTTCCTCGATGATCGAGGGACGATTATTGCGAATCTCATAGATGTGCACCACCTGGGGTCCAATCTCATCCTCCTTGGTGGCATTCTCCAGGGTCGTATAGTCGTCCGCCTTGTATAGCTGATAGTCGGGCAGGGAGGTGCCCTTGATGTCCAGGTCAGTGTCCACCCAAATGCCAACGCTCTGGCGGATTTTGTTATCGAAACCGGAGCCCTCTTTCTCCGGGTTCGTGGAGTTGGCCTCCCAGTAGAAGTCATAGCTGGATGAGCTGCCGTACTTTTCCTCCGGCACCAGGCTAATCTTGAAGTGTGCCTAAGTGGGGATAAGGGAAAAGCATTAGGTGTTGCTGTTTGGGGGGAAATCCCCTTGAAACTCACAATCTTTCCAGACTCCAAGGGATTGCCAATGTCGCACTTCAACGTGTGATTATTGGCCGGCGTGGGCGGTGAGCAGGTGATGGGTGTGTCCTTCTTCTCGCCCAGCTGCTGCAGCTTCCGGAATTGCAGATCCGGCGGAGTGAGCATATAGAAGGCAGCCTCAAAGGCATCCTCGTTGTTGTTCGAAATCAGAACCTCAATGACCAGGGGTTCCGGCGAGCCAAATAGATACTTGTCCACAGTTCTGGTTGAAGAAAAAGAGAGAAACGGAGCTTAGACAGGGAATCTATCTTTGAGATAACACTACTTACTTGACCTCCAGCTTGAGATCTGGCTCACAGATGTTGTCCGGACCACAGTTCTTTTGTATATTGATGGCATCCCTTAGAACAATCTCCCGATTCTGATCAATTATCGGATCCAGAGTGCTCCTCCTGCGACGCACCTCCGGCTCGAGGGGTCGATTGCTGCGCAGATTATACCTGGCTTCCACCTCCAGAGGTGTAAGCTTGTCCTGGACCTTGTCCATCAGATACACCGTCTCATTAAGGCAGTACTTTTGACCATAGTTCAAGCGAATGGTTTGATTCCTAATGTGTTTGCCCTCGTCGCGGAGGAAGAACATGCGTGGATTGGGCAGCTTCTTGGCATCCAGCAGCCAGGATACATCAAAGTCCAGCTGCTCAGGCAGATAGCGACCCGTGTAGCTCCAGCAGGTGGTGAGGAGCATGCAGGGCACCTGCTTGTGATCCCGCTGCAACTGGCAGCTCCTGTCGTCCAGGCTGATCAGCTTGGAGTTGCTGACAAAGTTGGTCTCCGCATTCACAGCGGCCACTGGTCGTGCCTTGAAGATGAACACCTGGTCGGAGGTGTAGGCACCCACAGCCAAATCTGGATATGTGTTGCCATCCATGTCGACGCCACCGGACAAAGAGAAGCCAAAGGTGCGCGGATAGGGTGCTCCTTCGACAATCTGCTCTGACTTGATCACTTGCGAGGGCTTCGCCAATGGACCATTGCTGGATCCATGGTAGATGTAGACAACACCACGACCCTCGGGTCCGTCATATGGTGCACCCACAGCAAAGTCACCATACCCATCACCGTTGACATCACCCAGTGTGGTCAGGGCCAGGCCAAAGCGTCCCTTACTGTGGAGTCCATCGCGGATATGCTCAATGCTCCAGCGCCTGTCCTCAGTCTGGCCGCCCTGCAGCAGGATATACACTCGTCCCACATCGTACTTGCCCTCAACATTCTCGGGATCCGTGTACATGGGTGCGCCAATGATCAGATCGTCCAGGCCATCGCCATCCACATCGCTGGTGGCCAAGGAGTAACCGAAGTATTCGCCAATTTGACGACCGGTGATGTTGAAGATATTCGCCATATTCCAGCTATTGACTACGATTCTGCCCACAAGATTGGCGCCTCGGGGCATTCCTATAGCCACATCCTCGCTACGATCGCCATTGAAGTCACCGGTGATCATTGAGTAACCCAAATAGGAGTCATCATTGGCCGAGGAGCTCTCTGAGGTGGAGAAGACCTGGTTCTCCGGCCGGGTAACATCATGAGAGCTGGCCTGACCTGTGGATGGGGTAGTAACTGGTTAGGAATAACTCTTCTTGCAAAGCTTCTTTGAGATTTTTGAGGTTTCTTTCGGGTGAACAAACGAATATGGGGTGAGTTCTTGTTTTGTTTTTTGGAGCCACAGCTGCGGTCAAATAAATAGCAACTTGGAGAGAGATCGTTAATATATAAAAGATATATCTTTTTATTCAGTTTTTTTCCAGTGCTATTCCTTGGACTCCCGCTGTGACATGAAGCTTAATCGCTATGGACATGCTGGACAAGACGACAACGATAGTATATATATCAACGGTGAGATGGTAAGATGGAAATCATGGAACTCTAACTACTGGCCACAACAACGACAATTACCACAGGATACTACTACTTTTGCTTGGTTTAGTTCTTCAATTATGGGGGCACTAAGTACTACTGCTATACCATGCCACATGCAACAATTTTCCAGGGATTAGTTGTTCAAGTTAGTACAGTCAACATCAGGATAAAGCTAAAGGATTAGGCAAGCAAAAACATGCATATACGCTTATAATTAAACAGGGGCTAAGGATCAGACTAAAAGATAAGAATCGGGCAGAAAAAGAGGGTGGAAAATAGAGAAAAAGATATATAGAAACATATTTGATTTGTTCCAAAATATTTGAGCCTGGATTTACTATAATTTTATAATACAGCTTTAAGAAAGGTATTAATTACCTTATTCTTTCCATGATAATGTTACACAATTCTAATCTTTTGAAATCTATATATTGGAAAATTTCACATTAGTTCAAAAGAAGCTGCTTTAGATAGACAAAAAGTAAAGCTCTTAATAAATAACTCCTCAGTCTTTTTAGATAAATATTTCTATACTTCTTCTGCAACATAAACAAAATGTTGATGTCCCACTAAAATCGAACTTTGTTTAAATCCTCTTAAAAATCATTTAAATTACACTTTAAAATCCTTCTCTGTCGTCCCGTGAGTCCTTTGTCTAAGCCAGCCCCTTATATTTATAAGTAGAGAAACCGCAATCAAATGAAAGAAATAACCATATTCATGGTTTTAATTCAAACATGTATAGTTTTTCTTTCATCTATTTTGAACCAAGAAAAAAAGGCAAAGCCGCTGGCAGAACCAAAGATAATTATATTAGATTTAGCAAAGCTATTAGAAGACCTTTTCCTCCTCCTGCTTGGAAACCCATCGAATCAAATCTATAAAGTTTGCTTTATTATCGATGGGAGGAAGATCTAGTATTTATATATTTTGTTTAATTATGGTTTTGGATGATGTATATATATTTTTTATTGGGATGATCAGACACCGTTAATGGGAGACCCTCGCTAAAGTGGATATTATGTATGTGTGTGTGGGTGTGGCTTTAGGTACTTTTTGTTTTGAGTTGCGTTAATGTTCGTAGGTACAGTTTCGGTTGAGTTTTGAGGCAGTGGCAAGTGGTGAAAAGCGTAGTTAATAGTCTTTGTTTTGTTTTGTTTTATTTTTTTGTTGTATTGATTTTTTGTTTTAATTATTATTACCTCCAGTGCCGAAGGGCTGATACAAAGGCGGCTTAAATGGAAACTCGGCATCGGGCGGTATTGAGTAGGTTTGTCCTTTTTATGGTATTTGTTTTTTTTTTTTTTTTAGTAAATCAGGGTTTTTTGTAACAGAAGTTGTAGGGAGGATTCGGTTTCGGTTTCAGGATTTTTGATTTGATATATTTTTTTTGTGATCGAATGGTGCGGTTTTGGATTTGGGGAATCGGTACAGAATGCATATATTTTATTTTTCACAAAAATTTTCAAATCGCATGCATTTTGCCCCGATACAAAAGGTTTGGATTGAGAGAGTGTAGGTGAGCCAGAGGTGGAACGAGGAGCAAAAAATATAAAGAGAAAGAGAGAACATCATTTGGATTAATCAGAAGAACATGACGCGTTATACGGTACAGGTACAGGTATGGTTACAATTACGGATTACAGATTACAGAATACAGTTTACAGTTATAGTCCAAATCGTGTATCAAATACGGTACAATATGCAGCTTACTTCAGTTTTCGAGGGTTAAATGGTATACATTAAAAGTCGGTTTTACAATAATTACGAATTACGAATTACGAATTACGATTTAAGGTTATATTGCTGCTGTTGTTGCTGTCGAGTTGTGGTTTTTAAAATTTAGTTTTAGGTACCAGGTACCTAATGGTACAATATCGCCCACGGTACAATATTGTTAGGTTCCTGGGCAGCGGCGGAACAGCATTGCGACATGTGCGACAAATGAATGAATATTAGGCCAATTGGGAGGGGTTAAGCAACTCGACAACACAATAAATATATATTAATATAAATATATAAATATATATAGGATACTATCCGATAAGGTACTTAGGCAACACTACTTATTCGATAACGATAACTGTGCATTTAAACAGGGTACTAGATTTGGATTAAGCATAGCGTCTTATAAATTTGTTATTATAATTTTAAAACGATAAATATACCAAAATGTCTCTATACTATTTTTCAATACTATTTTTTACAATTATAATAATTAAACCATAATAAATGCACAATTATCGATTCGTTTCTTAAAGAAACAAGATCAAATATACGAAATCCGCGAATTTAGCTTAAATTAACCAGAATGTACCCTTGGGTACGTCTAGGGACAACGGTACAATGCCACATGCACGAAATACATCACACATTTTGTCTTAGTCTACGGCTCAATACAGCATACAATCTTCTACAGATGCTAATATTGGATGATATGTAAAGCCCCCTTGGGTCTACAGATCGAGTGTTAGAAACTTGTAGGTAGGTGGGAAAGAAAGGGAAAACCCGTATTAAATTATCGTGGAAATTACTTAGGTTATCAAACTCTCTCCAAAGGAGACAAAAAATTTAAAAACACACAAAAAGATAAGATAAACTACGGTAGGTTTGGGGAGATACATAAATTTAGATGCAATTTACTCTTTTGGATATATTTATACATCGGAAGGAAGGAAAAAAGGCAATCAAAATTCAATCAATTTATCGTATACTACTAGGTTCTAGGTAAGGGCAAGGACGAGGACAAGGACGAGTGCTATATAAGTGATGAATGGAGTAGGGATAACGAAAATTCAAATTTCAAACCAGTTAAGTGTGTCTGTGTGTGTGTGTTTGTGTTCGTGGCTGTGTTTCTAAGGATATAGGATATCTTAATGATCTAATTTAGCTATGACTAAATAGTACAATTTTTTTTGGAAATAATGTCAGACTCCTCGCGGAGGTGGTACGAGATATACTACTAAGTTCAAGGAGTGGCAATTCAAATTCATACATACAGTAAAAGTAACTATCGTCTTGCGACGACAATAAATTATAATAAAAAAAATGTAAGGTAAAAAAGAGGTAACACACGTTGGTGGAATAGAAGTAGAACAACGGTACACGGTACATGTGGGAAAAACGTGCACTTACCTTGCCAGTACCAACTGCCAGGTGCGCCAATGAACAGACGCGAGCCATTCTACAACAGATCAGATACAAAAAAGAGGTTACCAATATATGTCTATATATATATATGTATCTATATATTTGTGTATACAAATGGGTAAATCGAATGCTGGATGGGCATGGAGATGCAGATGGAAATGGAGTTGGAGATGCAATTGTAAATGCAAATGTTATGCCACGATCCCAACGAGGTGCCAACTAAACGTGCCCACGTCCATACGTCCGAACGTCTTTCAAACGATTCTCTGCATATAATAACTCAATGAAACCCACAAAAAAAAGGAAAGAGAATGATGGAAGACGAGTCTGTAGACTCTAGAGACTAGGTAAGGTTTTTAAAGCTTAGACATAAACTTGAAATCATTGATTCTGAAATTTTATTTGAAAATTATCACAAAATGAACGATTTAAACAGGGATATATCTAAAAATTAATAATTTCAATAGCCCTATATAAATAAAATATTGAAAATGTAGTATTTAAGACAATGATATAATAAAGATATCTGTTTTGACAGCTAATCTTAACAGGAAAGGGAGCTTGCTTTGTGGACCCAAAATTAATATGCTTTTGCAAACCAAATCGGTCATAACTAAGCCAAAAATGCATTAATTTTAATTCCAAAAGCAGTTTTATGCTAGTTTGTTTTAGATTAACAAATCTGCTTGTCGAACTTACAATTTTTAAACATTAAAATTTTTCTTCAAATTTGTACAATTTTTACGATGTAACCCCTTGTAAAATTTTGAAAAAATTTGAAATTTTTTTTCTTGCAAAACATGGCTAGTTGGATTCGGCTGTTGATGCTGATCAAGAATATATATGATTTATAGGGTCGGAAATGACTCCTTCACTTCATTGCATTCATCTGACCAAAATTATAATACCCTGCAAGGGTATACAAATCTTAAAGAAAGTCGAAGTAAGTTTCATAAATTGCAAAAGGTGTTGGATTTAACTAACAAAAATTGACTTTAACTTAGCAATAACTATCTATATCTTTGCAAATTATATAATATAATTAAAAAAAAATTAAAATAGAATTCGAAAGCGCCCCAAATATATGTAAATGTAATGTCTATGATAGGGTATCCATGAGTGTAACTGGTATATAAGTACTTACCCCATTGATAGCTGCACTGAATCCCGCCTGACACGAGCCCTGGCGATGATAACCCCAGTAGTCTGCAAACGAAAAGGAGAGGATGGAAATACATAGCATAAGTGAGTGATTGGGCAAAGAGACAAGACGGGATGGGATTGGATGAGACGGGTGTGGATGGGACTGGAGGAGAGTCACTCACTGTCAGTCACAGTTGACCATTTAGGCGCAGCATTGTGCAACTCCATCTCCGACTACGACTAGAGCGAGTCCGATTTCCGATGCCATCATAAACGATCGCATCAGAGATCGGTATCCCGATCCAAAAAGGGGAGCAGTGTGTGGGACAATAAATTGCAAATAATTACCGAAGCAATGCAATAAATTGCTCGATGGAGGTGGAGTTTGCCAGGCAAACTTAAAAGGATTAGAGCGCGCCAGATCCTCTCGCCTGCCAACCGATGGACATTGAAATGAAAGCACAACAATAATGCCACAGAGTCCGAGACCGAGCGGCAAACAAAAAGATCAAGACGAGGCCCGAAGTGGAGACAGCTCAACAAAATAAAAATAAATAAAAAGGGGGAAAAAAACATCCGCACAAGCATTTACATCCACACATCCTTTTGTTGCTGGCCCCGCCTTTTGTTTGTTTGTTTGTTTGTCCGGCAAAGTGTCTGGCGAATGTTGCCTTGCTACCAAATACGAAATCACGTAACTTTAGCAGAAAAGTGCCATAAAATGTGGAGAACAAGTCGAAGGAAGAGATACTCTAAGATTGTTTAACTACTAAGGTGTAAATGTCCTTTAGGAGCTTATTTACTAAGGTGTTATTGTTCTAAAAGTGATTTCTAGCTCAGGTGTAAATGTTTAAAGTCTGACTGCGGTTGGAAATAGAAAATTTAGAAAAAGTTAAGACCAACTTTGGCTTTAAAAACAACAAACATCTTTTAATACAACATGGCGGCCTCGGGTGGGCTCTCCGTCATTGTTTCTTGTTTAAGCTTACTTAAAACTTAAAAAGTTTGTGCTTAAATCAATCATTTTTTTATCCAATAATAATATATATTATAACACTGTTCAACATACATATATTTCAATACATCCTCCTATGGTAAGCCACAACATGTTACTTATAAGGCACTTCTTGTCAGGAATAAGGGTATTAACCAGGGACAAAAAACAGCTTTATGTCGCAGGCTCTGAAGGGAAACCGCAGCGACAACACAGACAGAGACAGTAAACCAGAGGAAGGAGACAAAAAACAGAGAAATCAACAGCAGATCGTGCGTTTGATCAAATTAAACGATAACAATTTGTCTCGAAGTGTTTCAATTTGAGCGGAGAGACATGTTGCCTGTTGGCTGTTGCCAGCGGCAATCGCATAAGTCAACTTTTTCGAGAGACAGCACAGGTAAGCACAGGTAGAGGCTTTACCATGTGTACGTGAGCATACCCAGGGCATTGTCTTTGCAGTTGTAGTAATTCCCATAATAAAATCGCCTCGTCTTGAATTACAATTAGTTTTTTAGCAAAAAGGGCAGACGCAGAGGACTCACCAGCTCTGCGCCGGCTTCTATTCCCCAGCTTTTTGTCATACAGCAAGAGAAAATTATGATGGATTTAGGGACTTTAATATTAGCTGTATAATAATTACTGAAAATAAGAGAGCGATATTTTTGATATTGAAGATTTAAAAGTTCTCGTATTTTATAGCTTACCACACTTTTAATGGAATCAGAAATCGATAATAACCAAGCTTAAACTACTCTCATTTTTCGAATCGATATTTATAGATATTTTTATATGAAAATTTCTTCTACAAATCAAAGCTTAAAAAACTCATAACTACGCCAATAATTCATTAATTTTAATTCGGAAAGCTGATTTGTGCTAGTTTTAGAAGGTTTATAAATCTGCATACTCCATTTAATAATTTAAATTAATTTAAAAATTACCATTTTTGTCGATTTTTGAAAATTTTAACGATGTAACCATGTAAAATTTTAAGAAAAAAAAATTGAAATAAAATGTTTTCTTCCTCATATGGCTAGATTGACTCTCCTGTTGATGCTGATCAAGAATATATATGATTTATGGGGTCGGAAATGACTCCATCAAGCGTTACAAGCTTCCCACCATAATAATAAATCCCTAATTTTTTGTCAGTGTAACCAAGCTTAGCTTGGTCACCTCAAGATCGTTTGTACTTTTGTCGCTGAGTATTCCACCTCGATTTACCCTTTTTTGCTGGCCTTTTTCTTCTCAGACTGTTGTTGTATATTTTTTTGTGTGTGAGTTTTGTTTCGTTTAACTATTTAGTTTGGCATTTTGTGCGTTAAGTTGGTATTTATTGCTTTCAGTGATGTCGGAATGTGACTGAGCCAACTGTCAGGATGAGGTTGCTGCCGCACTGATATGTTGCCGATGTTGCTGCTAATCATTGCACCGCGGCGGCATTAATAATAACGCAACAATCGGACCAATGGGAATCGAGTTGGAACGGACAATCGACACATCCGAATGTGTTTTGAATCTATAAATTGCCCTTGGGCCCAGGCCATATGGTCAGTGGAAGATTGTGGATTGGATTGAGCAATCGTCTTTAAAAAGGGAGCTGGGCCAATATGCAAAAGGGGTATTAAATAGTTCAAAGGAATTTTATTTAAAATAATCAAATCTGATTAAACGTTTTTTGAATTTTAAATTAAGTTAAATTGGGGTTTTGTTCTTATTCACATCGATATTTTGTCATCTGTAGAGAAGGCAAAGCTTTGATATTAATCGATTTAAAATCGATATTTTCTTTTGATCCTTCAGATTAATTTCTTCCTTAATTTTTAATGTAATATTTCTATAAATTTCCCAGCACAAAATAATGATATTAATCAATCTCTAGCGATTGGTTCTATTAGATATGGCCGAACTTTAAAAATAAACGATTCAAAATGAATGCTTGCTTTGCAGATTAATTTCTTTGTAATTTTTAATGTAATATTTCTATGAATTTGAATCTCATTCCCTGGCAATAACATTCTTAGTCATAAAAATCAAGCAACCCAATAAAGCATAAAAGTAGAAAGATTCTTCCGTATGATAAACTAGTTCAAGAGTCAAAATCCCGACTAATGGCCATATGCTATGGGCGCTATATAGAAAATCTCATGCGTAAACATTCATGCATATGTACCGCGCCTAACAGATCCAAAAGATATATATGCTGAGAATGCTAAAAATAATCACACCTCATCGGTACATTTGCGGAGGAGGCGGATGGCGGAGGTGGCGATGCCACATGTGTGCACATATACACATTTAGCCATTTATATAGACCTAGATATAGTCGGTATAAAGTGATGACTAACCCAAACAACAACAAATTTGGCAGGCTGTCCCGAGAGCAAAAAAAAAAAATAGAAAGAAAAATAAGAACAAACAGGGGGAAAATAATGCAGTCAAGAGAAACTTACAAGACTTTGAACAAGAATTTCATTATTTTTAGATATACAAACTACTGGAGAATGTTTGTGCTTCTCCAGCTTCTTTTACACTGTATACTCAGGTATTTGTTTCGACGGTCAGGTCGCATTAATCTTTCATGTGATACCAGGTGGGTGGAGAAAGGTTTACGATCGAATCTGATGTAGAATTAGTCACTTTTCGTAGAGAGAAAATAACAAGACATATCTATAGAATGTTGTCCCTGACATCCAAATGGAAGCTTTGCGTGAGAACAGCTGCCCATTGAATTATCCACAGAAGCTATATAATCTATCATTAACAAGGAAAACAACTCCATTTTCTGAATTAGGCCCAAGATATTCTGAGATATAGATGAATCATTCACTCTACAAATTATTCCTCTGATATTTCCTTTAAGTAGAGAAACGTACTCTTGATCAATGTTCATTCACACTGTTATACTTTCACCCTCAAAAATATGGTCATTCGATACTCAGAGTCGCTGCGTGTGAGTGACAGTTTGAATTTCGCTTTTCAAGGGATTCCCCTGCCTCTCAAATTACAGAATCACAACGAATCGGGTCTCGAATTATGTTCGGTGTGTAGTAAGGGGATAATCCCCACTATCAGGGGATACGGGAATAAGGATGGAGGTACTTACTTGTCCTGCAGGGGGAGACCTCATGGAAGCGCTCAAAGTCGCGCGAGGTGAAGCAGGTGCCCACGGGATCAATGCGGAACGTTGTGGCAGGCGTCATCGTATGGAACACATAGCGAGGGCACAAGCCTGCAAAAATATATAAATCACCAAAAATTAATTAAGATTAATACGTATATGGTAGAGTAAGAAAAATATTATAATGTTGAATGAGTTTCCTACCTCCTTTATGATAAACAAGTTTACCTAAGAAAACAAGACGTTTTAAATAACGACACTTCTCTTCCATATTTAAGGGTAATATTTCTTGAATTATGAAAAACATTTAGGTTTTTTTTAGGATAAGTAACTATAAAGAGTAGTGACTTGCTACTTTTGTAACTGCACACACATACAAACATTTCACATAACTATGATTTGGTCGGCAGCTTCACTGCACTTCGTTCTGGGGACGTTAGAACCAGTTGGGAATCATATGTGCTGGTGTGCGAGATTTTTCGGCACAAATTTATTTATTAATTTTTTATTGAATAAAAAGACGGAAATGATAAAAAACAAATAAAGGAGGTAGAGTAAGATAAATATATTATACTGAATGAGTTTACAACCCCCTTCGTGCTACTTTGCCTTTTATAATGAGTTTTCCTACTTTTAATTTTCATGCTATTATCAATTGTTTTTTATATATTATAAATCTTATATCTATATGTATATAAAATTTCCATAGCCTCTTCTACTTCCCAATGTTTATTATTATTTTTTATTTAATTTATTCTCGGTGTAGGCATGAAAATTATTTGGTGAAGATGAAGATGAAGAGACAATGGCAGGCTAGCAGCAGCAAAGGCATGAAGCCTCTCCTAAAATGGACAAAGCGAATTAACAGACCCCATATTCCCAGAGCACAGTGTGGCCAAAGTGCTTAAGGATATCATCAAGGAAGTATGAAACTTTCACCATCTTTTACCATTCATTTAAATTCATGTTAAAATTTTAGGATATATTTAAGAGAAATCAATAAAAATGCCTGCTTTTCTCTGTTATATTATTTCTAAACTGTATAAAGAAGTGTATTTAATTTGCTTTGAGACACTGTGCCTTGGAAAGGAGGGTGAGTTAACCTCTGCACATTGCATCGCTTCGCATCACGGCAGTTCTCTGTGTGTTTATATAGTTTTATAATGTATAAATGGCTGGCAGTTGGACATAAAACACGCACGAGACCCAGGCTCCCAGCCATCTCTGTCGCATTGGAGGGCCAAATATGGTCAGCCGCCTCTGGCTCTGGATCTGGAGAAGCTTTCTTGCGGCATGGTGGAGGAGGAGGGGCAGGCATGTGGCCAGAAACATTCAAGATCCGAAGATCCAACGGGCACAGGCATAGCCACATCAGCGTCAAGATCTTAGGCCGGGCCATTGTCTCCGCACTGCAATTACTTTTACAAATTTATACATATTGTGCCATTTATGGCAACCAGTGGCTCTCTGTATCTGTCGCCTTTTCCACCATTTTCCCTCTCCCAGGCCATGGAATGGAATGGAAACTCTGACATAAACTCAAAATGACGCGCTATCGCCAAAAATGCATGCTGATCGCATATCGGATGGAGGCCCGGCGAGAGCCAGGGCCATTCAAATGCCCCATTGAATCACAAATCTATGAGCCGGGCCAGGACGGGTCGTACCAACTATTATGCAAGTCGGCAAGGAAAAAAGGTAAAAAAAATGTACAAAAAATATTACAAAAAAAACATAAGAAAAGAAAAAGAAATCACTGTGCAGCTAAACCGGCACTGGAAGAAAATACGAGTATACAATAAAAGGTTCTGAAGTTACAAGAGATCAAGGAATTCCTACTAATGTTAATGTCTGCAAACAGTCTTTATATTTAATCAGTTTCCAGCAATGCTAAAATAGAGACCAATGGATACTGATTATATATTATTTATTATTTAAATAATTCGATCAAATTACTAAGAAGACATATTAAGTTTCCAGGGAATAATGGTAAGCAAATGAATATTCATAGACTATGAACCTGTGAAACCCATATGTACATATATATATTTACAGTTTACATTTTACATAAAACATTTTTCATTTAAATTTAAAAAGCTATTAAGCCACAACTATGGAATGAGTTTCCTACATTCTGCAGGCTATACACTCCTAAAATTGTTTACTAAAGTATTTATTTAATCGTTAAATAACGACAAAATTTACCCAAATTTAAGTGACTTCTTGATTTATCATAGCCATTTAGTTATTTTTAGGATAAGAAACTATAAACAGTAGTGACTTGCTATTTTTGGAATTGCACACACACATACACACATCACACAACTTAGATTTGATGTGCAGATTCACTGCACTTTGTTCTGGGGACGTTAGAACCAGTTGGGAATCATATGTGCAGGTGTGCGAGATTTTTCGGCACAAATTTATTTATTAATTTTTTATTGAATAAAAAGACGGAAATGATAAAAAACAAATAAAGATGGTAGAGTAAGATAAATATATTATATTGAATGAGCTTACAGCCTGTTTCGTGCTTCTTATAGCCCAACTACTTATTCTAAGGTTTCTAAATTCAGGGTGTGCTATATATTTTTTATTAAAATTCAAAAACCCTATTTAAACTACTAGCTAATTTTATAGCATTTTTCTATAGTTTTTACCTATACAAAAATTATTAACAAAAGATTTCGAAAAGAAGCATGCGCAACATCCGCTTCTACTTTTTAACAACACCCTTTTCGTATTTCTACCTACATAAAACAATTGAAAATCTAGTTTTAACTTTATTTTCCTAAACAAGAACCTCTTTTTTAAGTGTAACTGGGTAAATAATAAAAACAAAAAAAGACAACAAAAACCCCAGTCAGGCCATCGCTGCTGCCTCTGGGGCACTCAGAGCGTTGAAACAATTCAATTGAAATTCGCAACAATTGCCCGCATGGACCATTGTCCATTGGCCATGATCAATAAGTTAATAGCAATTTCCTATTAAAACCTTTTTATTATCAGTTGGCCAAGAGGACGGATGCCTTGTGGTGGACTGGGAGGACGACTGACTCTGGGCTGGATTCACAGTTCATGTTAAAATAGTTAGATATGCAAATGAGGAGCGGCCGGAGGAGGAGGAGGAAGAGTCCCCACAAACAGGTCTGACTATGGGTATGGGTAAGGGTATGGTTCTGAAACAGATTCCCAATAAGTTGATCTTTTTCCTTGGCTTTGAAAATCAAAAATGATGTTTATGAATATGGGTTTCAACCAGGAGAGTAAAGTGCTTTACTCTGGTATTATGCCATCATTAAGGAACGTAGTTTTTATTGCAAAAGACATATTTTTCCAGCAAGGAAAATAATGTTCTCAACAGGAGGGTACATTTTCCTGAAACCATTAGATGACAGTTAGAAAAACTGGTTAATTTTTAAGTTTTTAAAGAGATTTTTTATGGTTTAATTTTGAGTGAATTAGAAGACATTTATTCTTGCAGACTTTATGTCTTTTGCCTTTTGAACAAAGTCTCCCCTTCTTACATTTATTGCAAATACTTGAATTCTTCTACGTAGTGACCCCAAAATAAATGTTTATTAAATAATTTAAAGGCTATTTAACGATGCTGTCTCATTCCGCCAATTGCAAAATGTTGCCCTTAAATTAAAAATCGGGTCAGCTTGAATTTAGGCCAAGGATCAAAACTCACAAAAAATTAAAAGAAGAGAGTGGGGTATGAGATCATAGCCCCAATCAGCAACTTGTCGCAGAGTGGGCGTGTTGATGTGAATGTGGGCGATGACCACCAGTGACCACAATGGCCATGATCGGCAATCAGCGGCACAACCGTACCGAAGGTGACATCACTGTGAACTTTCCACTCTCTTCTGCCCTGGAGGCATGTGCCTCTGCCGGTGCTTGTCGTGCAGTCTCGTTTTTTGCTGCGTTTTTTTAGTCGTATGTTTTATACCCAGTAGTTAAATATTTTATGGGGGCATGACAATGTTTATAAATACCAATAATTATGGATTTTTTATAAACATTTTGTATTAATTTCGCAGCTTGAATTGATTACATTTCCTTTATAGTCTTAGCTTAGCTTTGTATAGTGTGACCAACTTTCTGTTTGCAGCATTATCATAAGCTAAAATTTGAAAGTGTGGCAGCTATCATTTTTTAAGTACGCATACCATTATTAACATATATACTAAACAGTATTATTTAATTATAAGTACCCTTTTTAACATGCTAATTAAGCATTATTATTTAATAGATTTATATAAGTAAAGGAAGAAAATCCTTGTAAATTATCTATAGATATCTTTGGGTTTTTCTAGGTAATTTACAAGTATAAATAGTACATATCTTGAGGTATGATGGTGGTCTGTATGTCTCCTTACTTTTGTGTTCCTTTCCTTTTTTTTGTTTTGCTGCTCTCCGATTGCGACATGATCATCGACACGATCTGTGAAATTGCCAGAGCTATTGAACTGCATTATGGAGGACTCAAAGGATCTGGAAACGAATCTTGGGGAGGGGAATGGAGGCCCGAAGCCTAGCCGATTTGGCATCCACATCCGCATCTGCATCTGGCCCCGGGGCACCCAGATACGAGTATTCTACGGTAACGTCTGCATGTCGACCATGTCAAACGTGTTGACTTTTGACTTTTGCTCGGTTTTGTTTTTCTTTTTTCTCATTCTTTATCTTTTTTGTTTTGTATATTTTTCCTTGATCGGCCAGAAACGACGGCGTCTGCAAAAGTGCAGTTTAATGTCTCAACAATTTATCGTTGGCGTTTTGGTATGCACTCTGGCCCAAACATGGGCAATAAACCACATGGAACAAACAACAAACAGCAGAAATCGACTTAAAAAAAAAACCCCAAACCCAGAAACCTAAAAAAAACTACTACTAAAAAGTCAAGGCAAAAAGAAAGCCTAAAAAAAAGCAAAAACAAATATTTAAAATATGTTAAGCTGGCAAGAAAATAAACTGAGAACACGACAAAACAATTTTGGCTTTAAGGAATGGTATTGGTTGACAACCAAAAACAAAAAAATATATTTAAAAAAATGAGAGGGGTTAAAAGTCTAAGGATTTTCATGAACCTCTGGAGATTTTGTTAAATTTTTTTTTTTGATATGAGTTTTATTATTCTATATTTATATTAATAATATTTCTCCTATTTTACATAATATTTTTATACCCTTCCAGGGTATTATAATTTAACTAAATAATTAGTTATAATTACATTTCCCAAGAGCAAAACCCATAGTTTCATTGCACTTTTCAACTGCCTGTCGACGACTGATGTAATGCCATGATGGTGATGTAGTCCTGTAAGTCACAAAAAAAAAAAATCAATCGATGACCAGTGCGCTGCTCCTGCTCCTCCTGCCCATCCTGTTAATGGGAATATTTGAAGGCCAGACTTAGTAACGGGACAGGGACCAGTCCCAGACCCAGTTCCAAGTTCCCATTTCCGAACGCGCGTGGCGGAAGTGACCCGACCTGGTCTCGCCTTCTTCCACCTCACTGTCCTTCTCTCTCGCTTCATAAAGGACAATGTACTGGCCAGCGTTTTAACGGCATTTGGTGTGCCATGGCCAAAATCAAATGGGCCAAATCAAAGTTAATTGAGAACTAAAGTGAAAATCAAATGTTTATGGTGGGCGGGCAGTCGGTCTCCCAGTTGGTCTGTCGGTCAACAAAGCCAAAGAAGCCAACGTCAACGCCAACGCAATTAACCAAAGTTGCGACTGAAAGGCGCACCTTAAAGCTGGCCAAGACAACAAAGCATTTATACACTGTGAAAGATAGTGTAATATTGGCCCAAAAATATCAGTAAATATTAGCTCGTAGTCTAGCATTATTATCACGTAAAATGATAAAGGTGATAAAGCTTAAATATTGGGTTGATATATGATATGATATATTATTTATAAAGTCACATAACTGCTTATGTTTAAAAGTGTATTAACCATGTTTGGAGCTAGAACCATATTGGCTAAAGATGGACTAACATTAATGGTTCCCAGGATAAACATAGATTTATATATATATCCTAAGCTTTAGTAAGTATGTCTACGCTAAAGAGAGCCCTTGTCCTGTTCCTTATTTCTTCTTTATATGAAAACCTTATACAAAAACAATATTTATATAAAACTTTCATTGAAGAAATTTTTTTTAACATTTTAACAGTCTGAAAAAATAACCAAATGCTTTGAAATATTTATAAATTTCCATATCTTAAGCATTTAAAGGTTTTTTTTAGTGTAACAACAACACGCACTGTGTGTTTGAGCATCGGTATCTTATGGTTTTCCATCTACTGGCTTTTCTTTTGTGGTTTACTTGACGCAATACCATGACCACAGCCGCAAAGATGACAAAACAAGAGATACGAGACAATTGGTAACAGAAATCGAAATCGAAATCCGAACGCATTGAGAACATTAAGGTATATATTCACATATATAGTAGGTCTTCTCAAACTCCCACTGACATCTAACGGAGAATGCATCGAGAGAGACATAAAAACAGGTAATTTCCTAAAGGGATTTCCCATGTTTTTCTTTACTTTTTTTGTTCAAAGGAAGGTGTTGGTTACCCCAACAAGGTGGGCGGACGACCCATATCCATACCAATACCACATACACATATTTCCCTTGCACTTTCGATGCGATCTGACAGTTTAACGAGCTCTATCCAGGGAACGATGATGCCATCATTATTGGATGCACATTAAAGAAAAATCGGAAGAGACTATGAGGTGGTGGGAATTGGGAGTTGGGAGGTAACGGTCAGGAGGTCAGGAGGTCAGTTTCCCTTTCCCTTCTGCTGAAAATGAAAGCATTACTCCGGTTTAGACCTTTGACTCACTTTGTTTGGCCCATAAAGTCGATAATTAGAATTACCCTCTAACTTTTTAAGACCGTTATAAAAGCAGAAAAAATTGGTATATTGAGATGAATTAAAATCCGCCCTTTGCCAGACTTTGGTAATCGTTTTTGGGGCAAAATTAAACCATAAAATCTTGTATAATTCGTTCAAAGTCTTCTCTAATGGATTATAAAAGAAGAAAGACATTAATTCTTGAAGCCAAATTGAAATTTAAATTTAGTTTATGAAGAATTTAGGTTATAAAGAAACTTTTATTCATAACAATAAATCTATAAAATAGGAGGTTCAACCTAAAACAGTATTTAAATTTCAACTGAAAAACAGTTTTAAACTCAACCAAAACTCATTAAATCTTTTAGGGATTGCACTATCCAAAATACAGCCAGATCTTTATAAATTATAGAAATATATGTATATATAATTTCCAGACTTACCACAACCATATCATTATCGCGTCCTGTGGCCACTGTCGCTCCTAGCCATTGATGGGACTTCCTGTCCACAATCTGATGGTCACTATTCCGATTGTTACCTAGTTTTTGTTTTGGAAAAAAACAATAATTTAATTAGCTTGGCAAACAAATAACAGGCATTTTGGATTTAACATATGAAGGAATAAAAGCTGCAAAAAATAAGTATAAATATAGAGACTTTACCTCTTAAGAATAAGAATAAAGAAAGAAAAGAAATCGCGAGGCGCAGAAATAATTCTGGCAAAAACAAAATTGTGGACGGAAATGAACAATTTACTGAAATTAATATGTATTTTTAAGAGGGAGAAAAGGAAAAGAAATGAAAAGCAAACTCATTAAGCTACACTGAGAATAACAAACACTTGAGAACAACAACAACAACAACAATGGGTAATGATGATGGTCACTTCCGTTTCGGTGATTTATGACACAATTTTCGGGGTTCAAAAGGGAGGGGATTTTGCAATAGGGGACTATGATTAGGGATATGGATAGGATATAGCATTTCTGGGGTGTGCAGACTATACAATTTTTTCGGTGACCTAATGAGGCAGCGAATAAATCCATCAATTGTTCAGAGGATTGAGTCTCAGTTCAAGGTGATGGATGGGTCCAAAAATCATAATTAAATTGTTAAAAAATATAACTTTATAATTTGATTATATTTGTTGTTTAAATAACATGTTACAAAGTATAAGAAGACTACAAATTTAAATTTCAAAATGAGTAAGAAATCACTCATAGTTTGAGTATATATGAATGCATCTTGAATTTGCTTAGACCTTCCGTTTTGTTAATAAAAATTCTGCGAATTGCTGACTTAGTCAACGGGTGACTATAATTGTTTACTCAAATATATATATATGTATTTTTTAACTAACAAAAGGTGTTTAAAAATTTCAGTAAATCAATCATTAATCAGCAACAACAAAACAAAACAAATAAAAAATCAAAATAATTTGGTGATTATTTATACAAATTTAGCCATGAATGGTGCATGATGTAGATCTCTCTAGAGGCTGAATCACTTCGAACAGCGAGATGAATCATAGTGCTGAGTTCAGAGAGTGACGAGTGGCCACAACGAGTGACGAGTGAATGATGATGACACAAACGAAACGAACCTGCGAGCTGAATGAAACACCTGTTGACTCCTTTTATTTTATACATTTTTTGGTTAGCAAAGTATAATTTTGAGCAGAAAATTTATATATTATTTTAGCGAAACAGAAGGGAGCTTGGTGGGGCAGACAATTTATGGGGCACCCCCTTTTGGATGCATTAACAACCATTAAGGCAGTCTGACACAGGCACGTGTCAATAACTTTTCCCCCTTTTTTTTTCTTTGCACATATGTATGTATGAATATATGTGTGTACGCAATCTTTGTGGCAAACACACAAATTGCTCACACAATGCAGCACAAGGCGCAACAGTTAATGGAAAAAATATGCAAAGTATTCAGAGGAAGTTGTGCGAGCGAGCTGATCATTTCCGTTTTATGCTCAGGATGTTTACTGGCAATTGTCTAAAAATATACTCTCTACTTTATCATATATAGTTTTATATGTATTTTTCTAAACATATATCTATAGATATATTGTATCTCTTCCCATTATTGTTGCTGCCTTGAGTGCACGTTGTGCATTCTTTGCATTTTGCATACTAAAGAGTTGCGCATGCGTGTAGGCCATAAATAAACTAATTGCAATTTGTGATTCTCTCACTGGCGCCAGACCCAAGGCGCCGGCAAAAGTATCTTAAAAAGAATATAAAAAATTAAATGACTTACCTTTCGAATCGAATGTCACCAGTTTGCAGTCATCATCGTTCATGCTGCACTTGAAGACACCGCCGCCCACCTCCACACCTGGCTGGTAACGGGAGGTGTCCAACTGGGGTGCTCCAACAATCAGGCTGCAGCTGAAAGAGATAAAAATTATATAATTATAAGTATATAAAATGGGTTATATGGTGGAATAATATAAACAACATTTTAAGAAAACTTCACTACATCATTACTGCCTTTAAATTTCACTTTTGATCACTTAAATTTCCATTAAAAAACTGTTATTTGCAATATCATGCTTAGCCCTTATTAACCTTCATTTGTTGTCTTTATTTCAAGACTAATACCCTTCTTTGTACACTCGAAATGGGAATTTCTTGAAATATTTCCTCAATAAACCTCCCTAATTTGATCGGTAGTCGACCCGCACCCGAGCACCCTCTCAGAGGTGATCCCTTCTCCCTTTTGCTTCTCGTGACTCTGGTAGTCAGGTTCTGGTTATTCTGATGGTTCTGATGGTTCTAGTGGTGCCCTAGGTCCAGCCTGGCAGCAGTTCATCATGGCACGCACATTGGCAGCTGTCGTTGAATGGCTTTTGAATGCGGAAGTGCCGGCGAATGGGTGCCCGGTTTGGTCTTTGAGTCTTTCGGTCTTTCGGTCGGCTTTAACCCTAGGGTGCACTAAATAGGCCTTCATTTAAATTGAAAATAATCAAACGGAAAGTGAATGTGTGCACTGAGGGAAAAAATATAGGAGAATTTGTATAAAGAAGCATAGAAATAGAGTCAGGAGTACTTGTAAGTATTTATTTAGAAGTCAAACTTAAGGTATAAAAATTCTTGAAGTAATTGTCGTTTATTATCTAATAAGGATGTAAAATATCCTGACATCTACCCATATATTATATTATCAGATTATCTTTTTCATTTAAAGCTAGCTATGGGACAAAGGAATATCCCATTCGGTCTTCGAACTGATATACTTTGATATATTTTTATACCCTTGCCGGGTATTATACTTTTAGTCAGACGCCTGCAAATTAGTGAAGGAGTCATTTTCGACCCTATAAATCATATATATTCTTGATCAGCAACAACAGGCGAATCTTTCTAGCCATGTTGGGAAGAGAAAAAAAATTGATAATTTTTGTTCAAAATTTTATAAGGGTTAGAATTGTCAAAAATTCAACAAAAATTTTAATTTTTTTAAAGTCCAAATTGAGTATGCAGAGTTATTAACCTACTAGAGCCTAACATAGTTCAGTTTTCCGAATTAAAATTAATGCATTTTTGGCTTAGTTATGAGTTTTTTAAACTTTGATTTATCGACAAAATTGCAGGGATTTATAAATTTAGTGCATTTTATTGTTTTAATACATTTTTAAAAACGTTTTTTAAACACCTTTTCTTTCTCTCTCTGCACATCTACAGATGAATGCCATTCAAGGCATATGCCGCCGCTGCTGATGCCGCAAACGTTTCCAAATCAAACACTTCAGAGTTGATTAAAAGACGCCCTCCTCCGACCCATTTGTAACCCCCTTCTGGCCGATATCCTCCCCCGTTTGGGCGACCTGCAACCACATATAGCCAACCCACATGCAACAATTTGACGCTTCACTAAAGCAAAAATCGCACATATGCGTGAAACTCGAGAGGGAGCGATGGACGATTCAAAAAACAAAAAAATACAGAATAAAGCGAAAAAGATCGCGAACTGAATTTCCTATGAATGGAAACACCTAAAAAATATTACAAATGCTATTAAAAAGGTTTTGAAATAAATAATACTAGTTGTAAAAAATTATATACTTTGCATTCCTGCCATAGGATATAGTTCTTTATTATATTTATTTCATCATATTTATTTAATGATATTTATTTCTTAGCTACTTTAATTATTTTCTGTTTATTTTACCCAAGAAAACTATCATATTTAATAATTTTATTATATATTTTTATTATTTCAGTGTGCCTCTTAAAAAATAAAGAACTGGGTGAGTTGGATCACTAAATAAATGAATGAAGCGGGCCTTCTGATGATCGCAAGCTTGCGATTCTACGTTGGACATTTGGTATGCATCAAGTAAATAAATACATGTATCTTTATATTTTTTTAGATAAACAAATAGGGAGAGCTGAGAGTAGAAACTCAAGTTTCGCCAGTTCAAGGTATTACAAAAAAGCTCTTTTATTTTTACTACTTAAGCTCTATTTTTCACTGAAGCTACGTTTTTGTCTTACTTCTTTTTATTTTATTTTTTTTTTTTGCTAAAAAGCTGACATCATTGGCATCCATCGAATAACATTCAGAAACTCGATTCGATCATTCTCTCGCGGGCAAACAATTAATATTAATTTATGAGCAAATACACACAGATACAAAAACGAGAGAAAAAAAAAGAATTTAAACCAAAACTGGTCCAAGTGAGACATTCTCCACCCACTTATTGCATTTTCTCTCACTTTTCTGCGAACGAGTGTTGTGAATAATGAAAACAATCAATGGAAATCATTCTTTGCTGATTGATTCATACATATATTTTTTGTGTATTTGAGTCATTTCCAAGAATGCAATGTTTTCTTTAAGCAAATTTTTAATCAACTGCCAGTCTTAATGTGTTTCTCCTATATCTTATCATTCTTGATTCACATATGCATAAAATTAATTTGAAATAATTCCGAGTCCCATAACCATTGCCAAACTAATTCAAAGCCGAGGCTTACGTAATTTATTTGTATTCGTAAATTGAAGAGCACGCGTCAAGCGGCTAGAATGCGTTATTGTTCGAGGGCCAGTGGACCGTGGAAAGATCAAACAAACACAAACCGATCGATTCAGTCACTGAGAGAATAATCAAAATCAATGCAACTCAATTGAAGAAGAGTGAAAAATAACATCAGGCCAGGCGCCAAGCCAACAAAAAGGCACATCTTCCCCTCAAATACAATTGCGGCGGTTTTTGTTTTTTATTCCGCCACAGGTCAATGTATCAATTTAAAAGGAAGTAGTATATGGGTAAGGTTATTTTGAAAACCAATTTTCCGCACACATGTCTCAGTCTCACTTTGAAAACCAAACTCAGACCCGGTAATTCAAGAGATTCAAAGAATTGAAGAAGGAGAATACAATAAAATAGGATAGGACTCGCCATGATCGCGCCTTGAATGCTAAATTGAGTATATTCCCAGTCTCAGTCTCAGTTCCAGTCTTAACTTCGACTTGAGCGTCGTCGCGTGCAGCAGCCACAATAAAAATAATGTTTTAAAAATAACATTTTTGTGTCGAAAATTGCTTTGGTGCCTGAGCCCTGGAGTCCGACTTCCGAGTCATTCCGTTGAACACATGCTCGCAGGATGTGACAGGCACGAGTGCTCATGAACACACTCACACAGACCCACACTCGTATTCATTCTTGTATATTCTTTTTCAGGTCCCCAGTGCAATTTCTAGTCCCACTCCCCGTATCCAGTTCCAATTCCAATTCCCTGTCCCAGTCTCTTTCTTGAATGTCGATGTGACGTGGGTGAGAGGCTGCGCATGCGCAGGCCCATGCTTCCTGCCTGAACTGACACTCTACAGTGGCGGTGGAGAGAGTGCAGATGTAAAATTTAGGAACAGGATCATTTGTCAGAGATATTAAAGAAATATTATAAAAACATATATTTAAAGGGGCAGAAGGTTAGACAAAGGTGAGGTATAGAACGGGCAGTATATTGGACAAACTAAATAGTCATTTTATTGTATAGTTTACAGAATATATAGTCTATCTAGTTGCCCAATGTAAGGGTTTCTTCAATTTTAAATATTTACAAAATGTTATCCAATTTAAAAATATAAACAGAAATAAACTTTATCCCAAACAATAGAGAACTAAAGAATCTGTTACAGTGCATTTCAATATCTCCCCGAGTCAACGGCTTTTGTTATAGTAAGAACTTTGAACCCAACTTCCGCTGGGGGCTGTCGCTCTCGAGCAAAGACTTTCAACAGACACTGTGCTGAAAACCTTTTCAAAAACCGAAAGCAAAGGGGTAGTTATAATCATATATATATGTACATATATTGTGTGTTTAACACACTTACAGGGAACCAAAGCGATCGTCTCGAAACGGATCGTATCGGATCTCCCATATGTATGAGGGTGAGGGGAATCGACTGGGAAAGTGCAAAATAATGCCGGAAAAGTGGGCAAAGGCGAGGGCGTGTCGGCGCTAAACATGTGTGTGCGCCTACCAATATTTTCCCGGAGGTCGGATAAAATAAAGCGAACCTTCGGGCACACGTGACAGGCATGGGTGACGGCTGAATGTGACTCTGGCTGACTGCACTCTGATGTTGTTTGTCCCTTTTCCGTACGCATTTTCCATTACCATTTTCCCCGTACCATTTACCTAAATGTGTTTTAAGTCCCTGACTTGGTCCCTCTCTCGGGTGTCTTTTGTTTGGGCGTGTGTGGTTTTCCTGCCTTTTTTTAATATTTAACACATTGACACTTCCGTTTTGCCTGCAGGCCCTGCACGCCAGCTGATCGGTAGTTCTGATCACTGATCGCTGATCGTCGATCGGTAATCGGTAATGGACGATCTCTGATGTCTATCTTTGCTGGGAGTCCGCAATCAAGCGGCAATTAAGGCGGCCAACGGCCAAAAACCAAACAGAAACTCTGAGTGGGCACTGAGTGAGGTACAACACACTAATAGTTTAGGTTGATTCTTTGATATTTTAAGCAAGTAAAATATTTTATATATTTTCTTCTTCAGTATCCGAATACTAAGCCACCTCACCATTCAGATTGAGTGTCACTAAGTTAGGACTAGAACCACTTGTGAATTATTGTGCAAAGCTAAAGACAACATTCTTTTAAGAACGGGTTATAATTGGTTAGAGCTGGTCAAGTATTAAAGATTTTAATATGAAAAAATCTATTCCAAAAATTAAAATTTACGTTTTTTACACATTTACCATAGAAAGCATATATGTTTCGCTGAATTGACATTATTAATATTAAATATATTCAAAAAAATAAAATAAAAATTGTAATTGCATAAAAATAAACTTTATCAATCAAAGCTGAAAAAGAGTCTAAATTTTCGATTTGGAATCGAATAATTTGCGTAAATTTTCTGGTCTAGCAATGATCCTTTGTTTTTTCACCGTGTACGTACCGCAGAAATATTTGAAATCAATTACATTTTTCATTGTCTGCGGCTGTTTTTTTTCGTCTCTTATTTATTTTTTTGCTATTTCATAACCACAACAAAAGGCGACCCGACTTGGTGGATGGATAAACGCTCGACACGATCTCATTGCCGCGGCGACGGTGGCGGTGGCACAGCTGCAGCTGACAATAGTTTATGCAATAGATGGATTGCCCAGTCCTAGGCCCAGGGAACCCACTTACTGGAGACCCAGAATCTATGGGCAGAACGAGTGTGTGCTGCAAGAACAGCCGGAGCTAATGATCGGAGAGCTGGAGCAACGTAGGTGGGCCACGCCACACTAGAAGTATCTAAAAATAAGATGTATTTCAAGGGGAAGATTCCCGAGTTTCGGCATTCAGTGGTAAATGCAATGAAGAGACACTTATTCTGTAACACTGAGAACGCGCTTATCAAATACGGCTAGTGAGAGATTACTGAGACTGAACTAGATACTAGATACTGGATATAGATACTGGATACTCTGGCAGAACATTAAAGGATCTAGGCAGGCCCAAAAGCAGCTAGAGATCTTTGGGGGAACGGGGTCAATCCGATGGCCGAACAGCTAATGAGAGAGAGAGCCATTATATGCGTCTATAAGGAAACCTGAACCTGTGCCCGCCATCCACTCTCGTTCTGGTTAACGGACAAAACGACTTTATTTGGCCAATTGGGTGAAGCTGCGACAACCTTGGCTTGGCTTGGCTTGGACACACTCCACTTGGCCCGTAAATAGCTCAAGCGAAGTGTGTCAAACGGAGAGTTGCAGGTGCAGATACAAAATACTATAGGTAGAGATAGAGATACAAGGTAAATCGGAGGCGGCATAGCAAGCACAAAAGCCTCGTCGTCTGCAGATACAGATACACGGATGCTGTATTAATTGCTAGCTCTTTGCACTCAGGGCAAACCACATATACTGTCTTATAGACAATAACCACAACTAGTTACTTAGCAAATACCCCTCGCTCTACGCTTGCCTCGGATTGTTTCTTTTATTTGTGGACTGTCAACACACAATTATCTCTTTTGAGTGGCTGCAGAATGGTTTCAGGTAATTTCAAGCTTTTAAAGCAAAAGCAAATAGCTCAGACTTGAGCAGCTCACAGTTTTCCGATTTATTTTACATATTTATTATGAATATTTTAAAGTATATAGAGCATTCTGGTATTGAGATAGTGCTATCAAGGTTGTACCGGTAATAAGCTATATATAGACTTATAATGTCACATAATTTGACAAAACACGAGCTCGGTCAATCTCTCACTCTCTCTCTCTCTCTCTCTCTCTCTCTCTCTCTCTGCGATTCACTTTTCTCTGGGGAAAGATACATGCGTTGAGATACATTCTCTGAGTTACATATAGTACTTCTCAGATATGGTATAGAGCATCCAGAGTTCACAAGCAACTTGGGTTATAAGTCGCATGATGCTAACTTTTATTGTTCGCTGCCTTTATTTGTATCTACAACTGACTGTGTATCTTTGTATCTTCTGGGCAAAGATCTTCTTAATTCTTCTATGTACTTCTTACTGTGTATCTTATGGGCAAAGATCTTCTTTATTCCTCTACTTCAGGCTGTATGTTTGCGTCTGTTTATTGAATTGTAAACATTTTTAACGCTGCATTTAAATAATTTTCGTTGCTTTTAAAATGCACTTAGCGCGCTTCGTATCTGTATCTTTGGAGTTTGGAGTGGGGAGTGAGGTGTGTGAGTGTATGTATATGGATTATGGCTAGGAGTAGTGAAGAGAAAGAAGTGCAAACGACGACTCAAAGGCCATTCACACACCTAGCGGCCAGATGCTGTTGCTCCGATACCCTCAACAGGCACTCTCTCTATGAAGTATCTTTTAGCTACGACCTCGTCGTCTTATACGAACAACACCAGCTTTTTCGACCATCCAGTGAACGTGCGAAAAATCTAATTTCAAGTACTATAATACACTGAAAATTAATATATTTTATTATAGAAAATGTTCCCTAAACATTGCTAAAACTTTTCTGAAATATCTAAAGATACTTTTGCCATTGTAACTGCATTTTCTGAGTTTTCTTCAGTTTTTCAAAGTTTTCTATCCGATTTCCGCCATTAATCTTTGTATAATTAAAAGTGCTATAGTTTTCTCCAAGTGCAAAACTGAGACTAAGACTGAGACTATACTGATTAACACGCTTCAGCGAGCTGAGCCTGAGACTAAGACTGAGACTGAGACCCAGCCTAAGTTCACAGAGGCTATCGATCAGAATATTGAACGAACCAAGAGAGCCGTTCACATGGGATACTATTGGAAAGTGTTGGGTGAGGCGGCCTGGACTGGGGCAATATTTTTCCTTCTATTGCAATTTTCTTTTTGGCTGGGGTCAGGACCCCGTCGCACTCGATAAAAGTCTAAAGTGTGTACAACATATAAAGTAGTATATATTAATGGGGAAACTCGTAAATTTATCAATGAATCTCCAGCAATTGCAGCCACAATCTGCAGACGGGCCTCCGCTATCTTCGAGAGATTGAAATTAATGGCGTTTAGCATTCTGAATGCATATTTACACGCTCGTTGAAATAGGGGAAGTGCCATCAATGGCTCCCAGCACGAGAGCATAGTGCAGATAGCTAGAATCTCTGCAGAGATTATAATGTCAACATTATCGTTTAGGACTGAATTGACGGGCTCTGCACAAGAAAGCGGCATCGCCGAGTGTCTATCTATCAATGCAGCTGAGAGACTGTTCACAAATGACATTTAAATCAATTTTTTTAATAGCAGAAAGTATCTCAAAAGATGTCAAATAACTTGGAAAGCTGTCAAGTCAATTGGATGTCACTTAAACAGCATTAAAATATTATAATTGGCTTAAAAAAAATATATACTAAAGACATCTTATACTTCATACTTGGAATGTTGATAAAGAATATAATAACAAAGATATATATTCTTTAATCTTTACATTTTTTAAATATTTTTTCCCGAGCTTATTAATTTTAGGAGAAGCAAAAAGAAAAAGTTAAATTTAATATATTTGAAGAGGCAATATTTAACACCCAAACTTTTTAAAAATATAGATATAGATATTAAGCAATCTCGGTAAGTCCTAAGCAATCTGCTTTGTCTTTGCATATAACTATAAACAAATGTACATGAATATAATATATACTTATTTATTTATATATAAATATATAAATTATTACATGTGGGTATGAATATAATAAAATATAAAATACATTAAAACATGCACATATGTATTTGAATATACATCAACATTTAATTTATAAAGCTGACATCAGTAAATCATCTCCTTTTTCTTTGTACAATCTTTTTAATACAGCCAAAAAAAATTCTTTTGTGTATTCAATGATAATTGGGGATATTTTCACTATACAAAAATGTAGTTATTGTATATTTTAAGTAAAAAAATCGTAATAATTAATACATTTTAAAATAGAAAGAAAGTTTACTTAGAAAAGCCAAAGCTTGAATACCCTTGCAGTTTCGATTGATAATAACTAAGTCAAATATGCATTCATTTCAATTCGGAAAGTTTTGCTGTGCTAGTTTTTATTAGGTTGCATAATAAATTTTAAATTTTAAAAATTGAAATTTTTTGAAAAATTTAACGATGTAACCCCTTATAAAATTTTGGAAAAAAACATTAGAACAAATTTTTTCTTTTTATTTTGTCTAAATCGATTTGCCTGCTCATGCTGATCAAGAATATATATGATTTATAGGGTCAGAAATGACTCCTTCACTATTTTGGAATCTTCTAACTGAAATTATAATACCCTGCATTGGTACTACTATTATTTATAAAACTTTCCCAATCACTTTCTTTTCTCTCAGTGTATATGTAAGATAAATGATTCAGTCGGGACTGAATGTTAATCATGTCATGTTAATCAAGACTTTGTACTCTCGAAATAAATGAGGGATATTCCATTTTATCATACTGAAAGGGAAATGATTGCAGCTTGGCGCATTTCCAACCTTCTTATGGTGACATATCTCTGAAACCCGATAATTTCCGGATTTATGAATTAAATACTATATATTATATACTCTCTACTCACTTGTTCTGATTGCTGAAGAAATTGCTGCGTGCCTTGTGCATTGCAATGCTGAATCCAAACATGGAATTGGTGGCTTGCCGGAAGCGAACATAACTGGGCAGATCGATGTTGTAGCCATCGGTGAAGGATATGGCGGCGATTAGCAGCAGCAGGATGCTCCATGGCCAGGACACGTTCATTTTTGTCCTCATCCTGCACGTATTTTGGTTGCGATTTTTCACTTTGAGTTATTTTCTTCAATAAACTTTCGATTGTTTCGATTTCGTGGGACTTGCATCAAGAAACTCGGGCTATTTCACGCTTGCATCTTCACAGCTGTCGATCGAGATCGAGAATTACTTTAAACATATGGTCAGAATATACAACACACAGCGGCGTCAAGCTTTTATTTTCTTATATAAAAATCCAACCTTGGCCGAAAAAAGCTTGAGCACAAAAATCAGTGTGGAAAAAAAACGACAAAAAAATATATAAAAACAAATATTCTTCAACTCAGCAAAGAGCAACAGCAACAGCAGCAGCAGGCAGCTAGCTCTCAACTCTCAGTTCTCCGATCTCAAAGTGTGGTGTGTGTATTTTTGTGTGTGTGTGTTGTCCCACAATATCTCCTCTATCTCAGCAACGAAATCTGGCGGCCTTGAGCCACCGCCACCGCATAGGTGGGTGGGGTGGTTAGGGCTGGTCGGATATCGAGGCAATTACGATAGCCCAAATTGGTCTTTATTACACTTTTCCATTTATTTTCACAACTCTGCGTCTGCGTTTTCAATGGCAGCAAAAAAAAATGTATGGGAAAACGAATAAGATTTTATTATATCATCCACACATGTTCTTTAACTTTTAAGTCACTCACAACATATTTTTTATTTTCAATTTTATATTATTTTATTCAAAAATCCATTAAAGTTTTCTTTGAATTTGCTTGGGTTAAATCTTAGATTTGCTTGGTTTTTGGTTTTATTTGTTTTCATATTAAATATTTTTACATGTTTCACATTATTTATTAATATTTTAAGAATTTTCTTTGTTAAACAGGGGTAACATTTAGTCGTTTTGTTTGTTATTTTTTTGGCAAATCAGTTTTGAAATCAGATTTGTTGACGGTTTCTTCTGCGTGTTTGTTTGCTTTTAAGTTTTTTGGCGTTCTTACTCGGTTCAGCATCTCATTTCAATGACGTAATGGTCCGCCAAAAAAACAGGTTGTTCAAAAAACATCTAAATAACGGACAGGCCACAAAAAACCAGACGGACAGCCCTTCCCACACACACACACGGGAAATAAGTTAAGAAAAAAATGTGTTTTATGTCAAGATCAATAAAAGTAAGAAATAAATGCAAAGGAGATAGGAAATATTTTAAATTTTTCAAAGAAAATGAAAGGTTCAATTGTGGTAAATAAAGATAATTAATTTGTCAAAATCCAGTGGAAGTTAAATAAATAAATATGAACTTTTCTAAGAAAGAAATAAATAAAGAAAAGTATACATGTACTATTAATACAGTTTCGTTTTAATTTCATTTTATTATGAACTGAACAAAAAAAATGAATTAAATTTCAATGAAAACTATATAATTTTATAAAAACTTAATTTGTTTTAAGCCTTCAGGTCTCTTTTTTTCTGTTAATGTGACCAAGTTTCCCTTGCCTTGCATTTTCAATGAGAAAATAAATATGTAAACAATTCGTAGGCGTCAACTGCGTGGGCGTTTATGTTTTAGTGCAGGTGACATTTGACACATTTTCATTTGCCGCTCTCCACCGTTTACATCTACACAATCTTTACTTATATTTATATATCCTTCATGTGTATAGTTTTTCCGGCAAGTGTATGGGCGCCACACGAGTTCATTGAGAGACTCTATCGCCCCTGTCATTCATAGAAATAAATAATTTTAAAAATGATTGTAGAACGAACGCCATATGGTGTGGGAATATAAACATATATATCTATATCCATATATACATATATACATAGTTAACAATTGATCACATGAGCTGCATTTACAATGCCTGGGCGACCGTTAAAAGTGTGTAGGCCACAAATTGCAAACAAAAAAATAAAAAAAGTTAAGAGAAAGAAAACTAAAATTCGAAATTTATTCGAAACAAGAAAAAAACTCATTTGTAAGCCAAGCGTTGCTAGTTGCAAATTTGCATAAAGACTTGCGTAGACCGGGGAGTTGGAGAAATCGAAAGAAATGTATAGAAATTGAGAGAAATTCTTAGAAGCCAAATAGTTTGAATTTAAATCTAGACTGGGTTTTGAAATGAAATCATTTCTTAAAGATTATTTATAAATTATTTATCCTTATGCATATTTGGGCTAATACTTCAAATCTTTACTGGAGTTTCTTTTAGAACCAAAAAAGACAGATGGTGCAGATACAAAACGTAAAAAAAAACACATCAAATTAGTGGCAGGCAACGGCAGCAGAAATACAAAAAAACATCATTTGTCTAAAAATAAATTGAAAAGTTGGATACTGATGCTGCGAGCTACGCCCAGCACTGCCTATAACTAGGTGTATATCTATATATATTTATATATATATGTACATATATAGAGAGACGTGCATATAGAGATCTTTTGCCTACACTGGCCAAAAAAGAGCTGAGATCGAGGTTTAAAGCTGCATATTGAGTCACTGTATTGATTTAGCATAAATGCTTGTCTTTGCTTTGAATATTTGATTTATTTTTTTATTTTTATGATTATTTTGCACTGGGTTTCTTCACTCGAACAAAAAAATGTGTTAAAAGCGCGTCGCGGTATTTATTTATTATTTTTATTATTTTGTTTTTTATCGCAACTCGACTAGTTGTTAATTAGTTTTTATTTTAACGAGTTAGCTCGTGCTACGGCTCGTGCCCGTGCTCTACCTTAGCAGTGAACGCAGCAGCATTTAGGCACCGACTACGCGAGCAAAAAACACTGTTGTATCTGTTAGATACATCTCAGAGGCAGACAGATACATAGAGGCATCAGCAGCGCTGAGCCAGCCAGATCGCCTACACAGGTGAGAGACAGAGACACGGCAGAGAGGAGAAACACAATCTCAAAGCTCTCTAACGGCCAAAATGATAGCAAAGTTTATTTTTCATTATCTATGTTCGGGCTTCCCACTCGAAACAAAAAAAAAAGGAAATAGACTTTAAGGTGTTGTGTGGGAAGCATCGCTGCATAAATGAAACTGCACAGATCTCAATTTCTATACCCTTTTGGTGGTCTTATTTCTGTATAACTTAGCAAAGAAGCTACTTAACTTTACTTTACTTTTAATATCTATTAAGTTCTTTTAAAATTTAAGCTTACTTCAGCATTTATTTTACTTCAAAAGCAACCTAAATAATTTATTTTATTTATTTAAAACAAAAAGGGTACTGTTTAAGCTGTTAATAACATTGCAGGGTATTCTAGTTTTAGTCAGAAGCTTAAAACTAAATGACGGAGACATTTCCGACCCTATAAATCATATATATTCTTGATCAGCATGAACAGGCGAATCGATCTGGGCATTTTTGACATTTTTTTTTTCAAAATTTTATAAATAAAAATTTGTAAAAAAAAATTATTAAAATTTTAATTTTTTTACAATTTTATATATTTATATATTTATATTATTATAAAAACTAGCAAAGAACAGCTTTCCGATTTAAAATTAATGCTTTTTTGATTTGTCATTAAGTATATCGATTCAAAGAATATTTGTTTGTTATTAATATATCATTAATATTTAAATGTTTGAAGTAAATTAATTAGACAACCTGTTCTTCATTTATTTAGTTTAGGAAATTCCTTTAAATTGTTGTATTAAAATAAAAAATATTAAGCATCTTTCCAATTAAAAAAATGCATTCCATTTCGAATTTTCTTAAAATTCCATAGCCTTCCGCACAAAAAAAAAAAAAAAACATAAACATATATATATAACTCAACATGGTGCTTGGAATTGAATTTGCTAATAATCGGTTTGATTTTGATTTAATATTTGTTATTTTATTGCAATTTGCCGGCTATCTGAGGCTGAGCAATGCCACTTAAAAACAAACAAATCCACTGACGTTTCCGACACACCAACAAACAAACAAACAAACGAACGAACAAAATCGCACAGAAATAGCTTCGCTTTTCGCATTTTAATTACCAAATTACATTTGCATATGCACACGATCGTTTATTTAAATCTTTGAAATCGGGCGCTCTCGACTGGATTCGAATTTCGCTCGCGCTCCGCACGACGACCATCTGATGGGTTTCAACGCGAACGAGTGGCGGATTGACGGCAATCCGTGAGATACTTTCGGGCCTAGCCACATCACTACTACGTTTTGTCGGCGTTGCCAGATAATCGGAGGAGGGTTTGAATGAGGGCGGCACGCGGTAATACCGATAATCGCACTTAAAACTGCACACGTTTAACTTCTGGGGTTTTCACGATGCGGAGTGTGTTTATTATTAGGGTGAAAAATGAGTACTGCAGGGTACGGGACTTAAGACAAGCTTGGGAAAGCGGCTTGAAGAGCTTTATCCACTGGAAGTCTAGTGGGAGAGCGAGAGGGAGCGGGAGAAAGAGCGAGGCTTCAAACGGGATGCCTCTTGAAAATAAGCTCTCTCTTGACGCGAGATATATGGAATATTGATTATTTAAGATACCAAATAAATCAGTTCTTGTTAAATTTCATAATAAAAGGTGTTTTGTTACAAGGAGGGCTCAAACTAAAAGCCTGCCAACTTGATTCATTTATCGATGTTGCCAGATAATCGGAGAGAGGTTCTTTGAATGATAATAATAATAATTGTTTAAACTTCAGAAAACAAAATATTAAAATTAAATAATAAATAATTTAATTTTAATATTTTATTGCTTTGCAAAAGTTTGACATTTAATTATTTTCGATTTAAAAAATACCAGCCGCTGCTCAACAGCTGGCAGCCACAATCCCTTGGTATTTTGTAACGAACAACGGCCACACTGGCTGCCAGATTACGCGACCAAGAAAAGGTCTGCGTATCCCCCCATTGAATTTCCACGATTTCTTGAGAGGAATCTAACAAACAAACAAAAGATGCACAAGGTGATCCGGCAGATGACGCAGCTGCGTTTGCAGCCGCTGCAAGGAGCGGCGCTGCTCAAAACAGGAGATACCCCAGCGCCTATGCTAAGCCAGCTATCGTCGCCACCTGCTTTCAATCAGAAATCTATTCACACGGGAGCTGCGGGCGGAATTCTGTGTGCCAAATGGAACAAACACAATTACGGGCCGCGAAAGTGGCTGGAATACAACAAAACAGTGCATCCGCCGCAGGAAACAGACGAGGAGCCACGCAAAGCTGTACGCAATACGAATACACTACGATAATACCATTTAATACATACCTTCCTTTCAGTACGTCTGCCATATGCGCTCCAATATTAAATACAGTCCGGACAAAATGTGGTACATCGCAGCCTTCGTCCGGGGTATGTCCGTTGATGAAGCCTTGAAGCAACTGAATTTTGTGCTCAAAAAGGGGGCGACCGACGTAAAGGAGACTATACTGGAGGCCCAGGAAATGGCTGTGCAGCGTCACAATGTTGAATACAAAAGCAATCTGTGGATAGGTAAGAAAACTATATTATTCCACACGAATAGAAAGCTTATACACCTAGCCTCTTACCTTTTCCAGCCGAGTCCTTTGTGGGCAAGGGACGCGTCTTTAAGGGTATGCGGCGACATGCCCGTGGTCGGTTTGGTCACGTGGAGTACAAGCACTGTCACTACTTTGTGAGACTGGAGGAGGGCGAGCCGCCAAAGCACTACTACCAAGAGCCACAGACACCGGAGCAGCAATACGAACACTGGCTGGAGCAAATGCGCAGTCGGAAGATCATCAACTCGCTTTAGTTCCATTTGCTCCTCTCCCAAGTCCAGCCAATCCACCTTCCGTTGTACTGCTCCCTTTCCTTACTGTCTTTCCGTAATCCCACATATATATCTTTTGTTTTTAGAAATTGGTTTAATAAAAAAAAAACAAGAGAAATTTTTGAAAACTAATTGGAATATTTGGCTTTATGTAACTTTAAAATTTAATGTTAGTTGAAAGTATCTGGTTTTTATTAATAAATTACTTATTTAAGAAATAGAGAAAGGTGGTCATAGTTTTTTAGGAGAGAAGGTTTTTGTAGCTTTTACCTGGTTTATAAAGCGCAATTTATAAAGCGGATTATTCGTTGATTTTTGTACGAAATTGATTTTGAACAGTAAGGATTGGGTATTATTTCGAACCATACTTCCACTGTAGGTATTATATTCACTTCCTTTTCTGTTAATCTTAGTTGATATATCTAGAATTTTTGTCTTTCTTACTCCAGTTCCTCTTCGTTTTGTAGAGTCTGTGCTAGCAACTCCTCGACGGGATCAGCCTCCAGCGACTGGGTCACCTTTTCCAGTGCCAACGGTTCGCGTTCTCTAACCGCCTCCTCTTCAGCCTTATCCTTGAGCTGAAGGCAGGCTAGCTTGGACAGTCTGGACTGCTTGCTGCGACCAGCATCGCGACGTCGCTTTCGAGATTTCGATTTTTTGTCTTTGGCACTTTCCTTAGATTTTGTTTTCTTTTTAACTTCCTGCTCTTTGTCTGGGTTATCGTTGGCATTCTCGTGGTCCCTGACTACATGCTTAGCCAGGTTCTGGGCACTGCTGAAGCAGCGTCCGCAGTCAAGGGCCTGGCACTCGAAACGCCTGCCAGTATGAGCAGACAATACATGCTGGCGGAGATTCCTTTCGTAGGAATAGGTCTTATTGCATCCCTTCTCAGTACAGGTGAAACTCGACTCCGAATCCTTGTGCTTTGCCTCGATGTGCTGCTTCAGATCGCTGGGTTTGCTGTAGCAAGTGCCGCAATGCTCGCACCGATGCCGATTCTTGCCGTGCTGTGTGTCCTTACAATGCTTGGTGTACAGCGACCACTTTTCGAAGGTCAGGGGGCACGACGGACAAGTGTAGAGTTTGCAGCTGCCCTCGTGACTCTCGCGCTGCCACTCCTGATAGAATCCCCTAGCGCACTTTGAGCATCGAAACGGATAGTCCTGCGTGTGCTCCCTAATCTCGTGGCGTTTCAGCTTCAATTTCTGCGAGAACTTGCTGTCGCAGTGGCTGCACGGATAGACCCGCGGACTCTCGTGGGCCTCGCGCATATGTCGCGTCATATTGCTAAAGGAGATAAACATCTTCTCGCACTCATTCAGCAAGCACTTAACAGTTTTCTGGGGCCCCGCCTCCGGTCTTTCGTGGGTGCTCCGCAAATGGCGCTTCAGATGAGTCAAAATCGAGTAGGTCTTGTCGCAACCCTCGTGCGAGCAGGCGTGCTTTTTCTGCAAGGGAAATCATTAAAGCTTGCCCATGTATTTATTGGATGTGTTGGTAGAGCTTACGATTCCCGTATGGTGATATTCATGGCGGTCCAACTGGTCCAAGCGCTTAAAGGTGGCGTCACAAGTCCCAATACTGCATGTATATTTTGCATTCCCAACGCTATTGCGACGTTCTTGGCGCTCCTGGCGCTGCTTGAACTCCTCCAGGACACCGTCCAGGTCACTGTCACTCGTTATTTGCGTTCCCGGCGGCATTTTAATTAAATGTTTCTCCCAATTTGCAAATTGTTTTTATGCCGGAACTGTATATTTCGCTTATCGATAAGTGTTGTTTACAAAGTGTGACCGTCTGGCAAGCTAGTGGCAATCGATTATTAAACAGTATTTGATGGGCATCACTTAAATATTTATCGATTATCACAGTATTTTATGGGCACCATTTAATAATGGTATTTTAAATTGTTGATATTTTTTATTTTTTATGCCGTCTTCTGTCTCAAAAATCAATAATATGTAAGAATGTTTGTTTTATTTTTAAAATTGATAATTATAATATTAAGAAATATAAATAATATAAAATATACCACTATTGTGGTAATTTAGTATATGTTTCTGCTGGTTCGCGTGGTATATTCCACATAGGTTCCAAGGGTCACACTAGCTGAAAGCTCAAGTAAAAAAAAACACTTGGCAAAAATCAGATAATAAACAAAATCAAAGATAGTTGAATTTGTAATAAGATGGAATACGAAAGTGTGCTGATCGTCAAGCCGGAGGTGTTCATCTATAAAATACCACCGCGCGCCAGCAATCGAGGCTATAGGTGAGTCAACAAGCCACTGGGAAAGGCCCAAAAAGACACGAAACGAAACGAAAAAAGTGATTGCTTATTTTTCACTTTTCGCCAGAGAGAGATTCTACTACAATTGAAAGTTTTTCGTATGCAAGTGCTAGAGAGACGCCCCCACATTGCACTCATAAGTGTGTGTATGCATAAATTATGTTTTTAATCAAGGTTAAAACACCCGACTTGTTGTTGCTGTTGTTCTTTTGAAGTTCAATTCCAATTGATTTTTTATGTGTGTGTGATGTGTGGTGTGTGCAGGCTGCAACAATAAAAATATTTGTGGTTTTTCTTGTACATTTTCCCTTACACGTATCCAAAAACAAAAAAAGACGAAAAAGCTCGGCTGCGTGTGTGTAATTGTTGGTTTTTGATGCTTTCTTTGTTTTCGTTTTGTTGTTGCTACCACTACTTATTTCACAGTCAACTGCGCTCAGGTGAATAAATATAAATGTTTAGCGGCGGCAGGGTTAACTGAATCAAAGAATGCCTGAGCCCCCATAAAACATATTACTTTCCGAAGTTAAGGTAGCTAGCCGCCCCGTTATAGGAGCGATAAGAGGTTTATACATATATACATTTATACATATACATATGTACATATGAATGTAATGCAATGAAATGATCTTAGCAAGCAAGTTTACCGGTCTAATTTTAATTCCCTAGAAAAGAGTCTAATCAGTTTTAAGAGTTAATAGATAACCATTTTCCCCACACAGAGCGGCAGACTGGAATCTAAAGGAGCCCACCTGGACAGGCCGGATGCGGCTGGTGGCTAAGGGAACCGCCTGCATTCTGAAGCTGGAGGACAAGACCAGTGGCGCATTGTTTGCCAACTGCCCCATCGACACATATCCCGGCGTTGCCATTGAGGCAGTATCCGACAGCTCCCGGTACTTTGTGATCCGCGTCCAGGATGATAATGGTCGCTCGGCATTCCTTGGTTTGGGTTTTGGTGATCGATCGGACTCCTTCGACCTTAATGTAGCGCTGCAGGATCATTTTAAGTGGGTAAAGAATCAGGAGCAAATCGAAAAGGAGAAATCAGAGCCCAAGCAGGAGCTGGATCTGGGATTCAAGGAGGGCGAGACCATTAAGATCAATATGAGAATAACGGTGGGTATCTTAATTTTGTCACTACAATTCGTTTACGTAATTAACGAGCTCTTCTTCGCTTTTTGAATGCAGAAAAAGGACGGCTCCGAGGGATCCTCGCGCACCGGGAAGAACAAGGGATCATCGGGCGTTTTGCCACCACCACCCGGTGGCTTAAGCAAGATCGCACCACCACCGGCCGCAGCAGCCACGACGGTGCGGCAAAGCCCCGGCGTCTCGCCCGCCCACAGACCCGCCGGAGGTTCCGAATGGACCGATTATGCATCCGCAGGGTAAGTGTTAAATGGAAATTAAGGCGGAAAATAAATATTTATGTATATATCATATACTTTTAGCGGCAACCAGGGACAACAGAACGCGGCCAATGCCAACGCCAACTGGGTGCAGTTCTAGATAGACATACAACATCCTGTTCCTCCTGCTGGTGCTGCTGCGCTTTTTTTCTACCCCAACATTATGGTTTAAGATGATTGACCAGATTTCTTTCTACATTATTATTCAATATTGATTCGCATGTTTTTCTTTCGGTTTCGATTTTAAAACACGACCACTTACACAAAAATTGAAACGGAAATCCATAAAGAACATTCAGCAGAAGCGCCGACAAGCGTAAAACGTTAAAGATAACATTTATATATATTTTTTTTAAATTAAATTGAAAGTGTGTATTAGCTTACTCGCCCAACCACTCTCCCTCTCTTGCTGTCTTGCTTTCTATCTCTATCTTTCTGACTCGCTCTATTTGATGGAGAAATGGGAAAAGAAAGTAAAAGAAGAGAAATTGAAACAAAAATAAATAAAAAAGAGGCTGAGTTCTCAGTGGGCGGGGATTTTTAGTAAAACTATGTATTTAGTCTGGTTGTTATTTGTATAAATGAAAAGAAAGTAACGAGTATAAAAATTAAACTATTCAAAAGTGTAATTTGTTAAAAGCCTAAATCGTGAGATATTGCAACTAAACATGAAGAGAAAGTGAACTAAGTTTAAATACCACGTTACTAAAGTGAGTTTAATTTAAATTATTCAATTTTTGAGTACTTATTCACATGACACTTTCTGACACACACACACATAAAAGGACATTCCGCAAAACAAAAATAAAAGTATCGTTGTAACTGACCAATTTATAATTTATTGTTAACACTCCCTTGAAATTCTATCAGATCCACGAGTTATATATGGCATGCCGCAAAACAATACAGATTATCCATATATAAATATATTTTTTGTTTCGTTTACAACACACCTACACACACACACACATGCTTAGCAATTAAGTAAATCAAATGAAATATATATATATAATATACAATATGAAGAAATATCCATATGTATTTAATAAACCACACACATACTTGTAGAGAAGGAAATCGTGCTAGCTCTGAATTCAATTGTTGTTAAACTTGTTTGTTTCGATCCAACAAAAATTCAATCACCGGAGGACTCTGTGTCTTTGTTTCTCTGTTGCCGTTAAATGATTAACCTTGAAACTGAAATTAAAAAAAAAAAAAACAAAAAAAAACGAAAATGGGGCAAAGAAAAAGTTACAACACATAAACAAAAAAAAAAAAAAAAGTTATATATATTTGTTCCATAAATGTTTATAATTAGAGCTGCAACTGGCACATACTTTCATCGCTATATCTATAGTATATTTACTTGAATAGTTACGGATAACTGTTAGAAACAGTGCGTTTTATGGAGTGTTTATATAAACATTCCTGGATTGATTAGAAGATTCTGTAATTAATCCATATTTACTAGAAACCATATCGATTTGCATCAACTTTTAAAGAATATTCCAATAATTGTATTCAGGTCGTATAAGGATTCTGTTTTTGAAATAAAAGATCTCTCAGTGAATTTATTGAAACAGCTTATTTGTTAGATTAAATACGAATCTATCCATCTTTTTTCAAACGCACTGTAATCTAGCAGTTATTTACTTGGCATGTTTTCTTTTTTTATATTTAATATATTTTTTATTAAGCTCAACCGAAAGAACCTTCGAAACGAACATATTCGCCAGCTTTGAGCAGTCAACAAAAATCAAGAAACGAAATAAATTAAATGGAAATAAAATTATATATATATTTAAATAAATAAATATATACAACATGTAATTAATATAAATACGAAATAAAAATAGCAATGAATTTCAATGTGTGAAATTGTGGTTACTTTTTTTTTTTAATACCAACACATTTTAAATCATTCTGAAAAAATATTTCAAACATTAACTTATGTTCGATATCCAATTTCTGATACTTTAATCCAATTACAAAATACAAGGGTAGACAAACTACAAAGGCTTCCTTACGTCCTTTATACCCTTTGCAGACAAACATTTTTTTTTTATTTTATTAACTTGGATTCATTATAATTTATCTTTTCAAATGAATAAAATATTGCCCCACCAAAACCACTAGAAACGACTTCATTTGATACTTTGTTTAAATATTTTTTCGTATGTTTTTATTTAACTTACAATTTTTGCCTTCTGTTTTTTTTGTTGTAGATTTTTTTAATGATGTTCTCTTGTTTAATTTCTCATTGCTTGTTTTTAATTCTTTAGGTTTTATTTTAGTACATGTAATTACAACGCAATATTTTCATAGGACTTCCATTTCGACTTTCCACTTGCCACTTGACTTCGCACTCCGGTTTTATTAAAGCTTAGTACTAACATCGACCAAATTCGCTTATAACGTTTTGTGTATTATATATATTTCATTCGGGAATCCGTGTTGCCAAAGGTATTAAAGAGAAATCGGTTAAAATGACCAACAGGCCTTTGCATTGTTTGTAAACAAACTTTGAACGGAGAAACATATTCAAACCCAATTGGTTTTTGGTAAATTATTAAAATATTACACATATTACGTTATTACCAGATTAATGAATTAAATGTTTTTCTAATTAAAACATTTCTTGTGACTTAAATCCCATAAAATGGGTCTTTAACACCCTTTTCTTACATTTGAAAGAATTTTCAATGCAAGCAAATTAATGTTCTTTAAATTTACTCTTCTTCGTTCTGTGCAATTTTTTATTTCGCTTACAAAATCACAGCTGTATGTTGTTTTGACCTTTTGCAATATATCGCTTATCCGTGGTACTCGAAAAATCTTCCTATTGCTCTATTCGTCTTTTTGAATTTACAAAATTGTTTGTCGATGCTAGTACTGAGCTTTGGGTATTTTTCTTTTCAGATTTTTTTTATTACATATGTTTTTGTATACCGAACAGTATGGGATCATCGATAATATATAATCGTAAACTATTCATATACATGGGTATATGCATAAATAGACGTTGTGTGTGTTGTGTTTATATGGTATAACCTGGCTAGCTAGAAGTTGGCGACCTCACCCACAGATTTTTGTTGTATATCATCATACTTAGGTTTCTTGTTGGATTCAAATTGTTATCAATTTTGGATTAGTGTTAGGTGGAATTTTGTGTTCATTTTTCTGGTTGTTTTGTTGTTTTTGTTTCGGATTTAAAGACACACAATATATATAGCATCTTCAGGTGAAGGATTTGGATCTTCGGGATGGAAGTATGATAGGAATGCGAGGCGGGTTAGACTGTTTAAGTAGCATATATATATATGAATATATATGTGTATATATTAACATTGAACTTTTCCTCTGTCTTGGGCTTCGTGATTTGTTTTTAGTTCTCCTTTGTTTTATTTTGTTTGTTGTTTTTGTTTTTAGTTTTGTTATTTACACAGCTGCATATTTGTGGGGTTTGCCTAGCTTAGGGGGGGTTATGCATTTTACAACACATTCACTATTACTCCGTCGCTTAATCTTAAGTCAGACGCACAGCTGGCCTATAACAGATATATCCTTTTTTATCTTTTTTTTTGTCGTTACGCTGCCGCTTATGATGACAATGATAATTATGATCAACAGTTGGCGAGATATTGCCCACTCTTTGGGTATTATCTTCAAGACATCAACATCAACATCATATCATCATTAAGGGCATCAATTCATAATTTGTTACTTAAGTGCTACGAACTAAATGTAACTTAACCTTATATATGTATGTGTTTGTGTTTTACGTACATATGCTGCATGTGAAAGGAGTGAACGGGAGGGGAAACAAATATAATAACTAACTTGGAGGATACAAAAAAAAAGTGTAAACGGAATAATTAAAGAATACAATATAATATACAATTTGTTGTTTAGTTTCCCCCACAAGGATCTCTTCGCGTTCACTCAACTTCCATATCATCTAATTCCCGAAGGAAAGATCCTTTGTGTCTGTGTGTGTGTGTGTTGTAATTTTGTTGGCTTACTGTGTGGTGTGTGCGTGGGGTCCACGGATGAGGGCGGGGTATGAACGGGATTACATAAAGCGCTGGCGCTTACTGCTATAATGACATATATCCATTTTGTCGTCGATGGGACTGCCCGGACGCTTGCAATGGCGCGCTATTTCGTTGGCAACAAATGCAAATAGTTCCGGACCACTAAAAGAATATAAAAAACATCTAGATTAGGTAATGCAGTATGAGAGGTAAATAAATCTTGATCTAAAATAATATCTGGAAACATCACCACAAAATAAATGCAATATTATCAAGTTACCATTTAAAAATATATATATACAGAATTCCAATTGTGCAGATTTTCCAATTTTTTTAAATTTGCGAAAATCGAGGTTTCGCTACATTCACTTCAAAACTAAACATTTTAACATTGTTCCAAATTATCAAAAATTTTCTTAAATTATTGCACATATATTAGAAAGTCCAAATAAAGATTTTTGCTCTGTCAAATATCGAATTATTCTGGCATCTCTACAATGAGCCTACATAAGAAGTGTCTTCATTAATTTTAGTTCGTATTAAAAATTTACATATTTTTTCTTTTATATTACTTTCCAGAACTGTTATCGCGATCATAGAAAGGTATTTACAATTCGACTAGCTTATATAAACTTTTTTTTAATGCACACGCAGTTATCATAACAAGGTAATATCCAAAGTAAGACATTTTAAGGTTAGATGATATGTTCAAATACAGCATTTGATTGGCAAAATATTTAAAAAGTAACATTACAAGCAGATTCTAACTCTTTGTGTATTACATGTATTTTTCAAGGATTAACAACATAAATTTACCATTTTTTTACATTTTTGGTCATACATAATTGAAAACTAAAAAATGTGCCACCATAATGTTTAGCTTTAAATATATACAAATAACGATTATACAACAAAAAATATGGGGCATAACAAAATTTGCTAACCAAATTATACATATTACTTTCATAAATCTATTTAAAACCACAAGTGCTTCGACATACAAACATTTAAAGCTCAAAATAAAAAAAAAAATAATAAAAAAAACCAACCGTGGACGCAGAACCAAGGCCTCCTTAAAGGTGTGCAAATCATCCCCTATTCCACCGCCGGTGGCTCCGCCCGCTCCCGCCTGACCGCCGCCACCTGCGCCGGCGGAAAGCAAGTGACCAACACCGCCAGCGACAGATGGCGGACCACTGTTCAAGCCCAGCGCGGAGCTGTGAAATCCGAGTCCAGAGCCACCACTACCGCTCTGATGATGCTCCGGCTTGGGTGACCTAGTTCAAAAATCAAACAGAAAATATCATATTTAAAGAGATTTTGTTCCGAAAGTAAGGCCATAGCAACTCACCGACGATTGGCATGTGGATTTGTATTGGATGGCGGTAGAGGTTTCCCGGCCAAATAGGCCAATAGATCCTCTCGGCGGATCATGCGGCGTTTTTTGCTGCGCGCCCAATCGGCCAACTCCCGAGTACGTCTTTGGTAGCCGCACTGAACGGCAGCGTCGCTGGTGCGTTTGAGACCATCACATGATTCTGGAGAAGATCGGATCGGTTAAATATTAGCATATGGATTGATTTGAAGCCAGGACTACCTTTGTAGAGAGTTGTCACAGTGCCAGCTGCGGTTTGGAAGGGCAGCCAAAGGGCGCCTGTGTCTGATGAGGAAAATGTGTTCGATGAGCGCTCTGTAAGGAGATAAACAAAAGGTTAAAATTTTATTGAGAGTTTAAGAAGTATAATATATAGGCGAGTCCTGGCTGGCGAGTCACATTAACTTGAAACTAGAAAGGAAACTCACTTCGAGAAGCCGATGTTTTTATACACATCAAGTTAGAATTATAGAACTGAACTTAATTCGATTAAATTTATGTGCATTTTTTGAATATTTATTTAAGCCAAACAAGCATTTATTTTAATTCGGAAAGCATTCCAATGTTAGTTTTAATTAGGTTAATAAATCTGAATACTCAAAAAAATTTGTTTTTCAATTTTTGAAAAATTTAACGATGTAAAAAAAAATTTGACTAAAATTAAAATACCCTTGCATATATGTATGTATAAAAATAATTGACTTGACAAGTGAAAAAAAGGGGAAAATTTACGGCATGACAAAAAATACCCAACTAAATCCTTGGCAAATTTAATGCGCAATATCGAAAACAAAAACAGGACAGGAAAATTTTGATCGTACGGTTCTCTTTTTCCTTTTCCTTCGTCTAGTTTTCTCCATATCTATGGGTCTTACATTAGTCTCTTACTCTGCCTTCAGGCACACCTGCTGCATGGGAGGAAAAAGGACGACAGTAGGAGAAGAAAGGGAAGAGCAGAACAGAACAGACCGTCAAAGAGGAGGCTACCTCCCTTGTGCCGTTATCGACCGAAAAGCAGTGGAGGCAGGACAAGAAAAAGCCGAAATGATTGGAGCAAGTGCAAGTGGGATGGCAATAGGCTCTTACAGTCATAACCCAAAATAATTTGCAATAAACTTAAAAAGACAAGAAATCTATACACCAGCGGTGTTCAGAAAAAGTTATAAAGTAAAATAAACAACATATGCAGCCAAAAAAGCTTCAAGACTTTATCATTACTATTATTAATTTTATTATAATTATATTCCCCTTTTTAGCCAGGTCGAACGCAATGACGAAAGCAGAACAGCTGTTCGGCACACACACGCACACATACTTTCGCCTGCACGCACATGTTGATTAATTATATCAACAACAACAACAAGACAGTGGAAATAAACTAGCAAATAACAACAACATAAGGGAAGTACTTGACGCCTCTTGCCCTCCAGCTGCTGAGCCGCATCTCCCTATTTTGCCACTGCACTTGCCGTCGTCTTCGTCTCCGTCTCCGTCTCCGTCACTGTGCCTCTCTAGCCATCCCTCTTTTTCTGGCTAGCTGTTCTATTGCATCTCTCTCCGCCCCCGTTCCAACAACAACACAAACAAAAATCCCTTTTCTGCATTTTGATAATGCGTAGATTGGGAGAGCGAGAGCGATAGTGAGAAGGGAGTTGCATGAAAGCCGGGCTGCTGCTGCTTCTTCTTATTATTATTCTTCTCCTTCCTCTGACTGTTCTATTAATACCTCGCCCAAAACTATTTTTGAAGAGAGACTGCACACGCACACACACACACACATTAACAGACACACACAATCACACACATGACCGAATGGAAACACAAAGAACATAACAAAAAAAAAATGTTGAAGCATGGAAGCCTACGCCCTTGGAAGTGGAAAAGAGGAGAATTTAGGGACATGTAATTCCCTTTTAACGGAACATTACCTCTATAAAGCTGGGCAACGGCTGTGGCCGAATCCTGGAATGCTCCCCATACGGTGCTCAGGTTGTTGTCTCGCTGACGCACATATTCCCGTTCGTACTCATCGTATTGCCCGTGGATTTCACGATGACATTGCTCCTCCAGCCAGCTCTCCTCACCACCCGACTCCGGTTGCTGTTGCATTCTCTGTTTTGCCTTCTTAATCTTCTGCTTTCTCCGCGGTGAGCTCTGAAGCTCTTGGTTTACAGTTCTTTTCCCAATCCGGCGAATGCCTGGACTCCCTCCGCTTCTTCTTCTACGCTGCTGCTGCTGCTCCTTTTCTGCTGCTGTTTCTGCTTCTTCTTCTGCTACGACGACAGCACCAAACCAACACACACGCACACGCGAAACACACCACTACACAGGCAAACGCAAGTAAGATTGTCCACTCTTGGTTTCGGAGTCACCAGGATGCGAATTGTGTTCCTTTCACTCAACGCACTGAACCGAACCGTAGACACGCTGTTGGATAATAAATTTCTTGAATTTATTAACTGTCAGAGCGACAAGCAAGTAGCACTTTTGTGTAGTAAACCAGCACAAAAAAGAACCAACACTTAGTATCAGTGCTGCCAGATTGTTAGCGGGTTCCATTCTAGTTCGATTTTTGAGGAGCAAGTTCTGAACCAGTGACTCAATGGCGTTTTAGAAAAACAAATATCTCGACAATAACATTATTGGTACCAATCAATAAATATATAAAATTTATTCAAATTATTTTATTTGCCTTTTATCTTTATGACACATACGGATTTATTTGTAAAACAAATAAAAGTAATGAAAAATCTATTCATGTGAAAATATCTTATTCGTTTGCGTAATAACAATTATTTTTTAGGCAATTTTTCTATTAAACCATCTATCCTCATATTTGATTTAGCCCTATTCATAAAATGTTTCCAGTGCAAGTGATTAATGATTAGAGGAACGAGTTCCAGTGCTGCCAGTTTTTTAAACAAAGTGGCAACGCCGCCCCAGTTGTCTGCACGTTTTTAAAAGCCGGCTGTCGGAACCCAAAACAAAACGAGGATCCTCGAAAAACCAGGATGTTTTTGAACAGCAATTTTTACGAACCAGGAAAAACTAGGGCAGAGAAGCAGTACGTCCACGCAGCGTCGAAGCAAAACCAGCGATACGACAAAAGGCGCTGCAACGAGTGGCGCGATGTGGAGTTAACTTACGGTGGAAATTGGGGCGTCGTGGCTGTTACCCTCATGGACACCAAGGTGCTGGCCCAGGTTAGCTGCGACATAGGACCACCATCTGCGGCCAGGCCCAACGAGGGCAAGCTCCAGTTAAACGTGAGCATTGGCGGCGTGGCCTTTCTGGACGAAGCGCAGTCCACATATGAACAGCGAAACCTTACATTGAACTCCCAGCTGGAACGGATATTCTGCATTTCCCGATGCCTCGATTTGGAGTCCTTATGCGTCGCTGCCGAGAAGCATGTGTGGTGGATCCGCGTAGACATCAATGTGCTGAACCACGACGGGAGTCTACATGGTAAGAAAGAAGAATGTTATCAAAATAAATACTATGCTAATTCTTGACGTTGACTTGTCTAGATGCATGTTCTATAGCCACATTAGCTGCCTTGATGCACTTTCGCCGACCGGATGTCACATATACGGATGATGAGCTGCGCATTTATACAGAAAAAGAGCGTGAACTGATTCCCCTGTTGTTCCTCCATTACCCCGTGAGCGTTACATATTCCATCTGCAAAAGCAGTCCACAGCCATTGGTGGATCCGACCCTTATGGAGGAGAATGCCGCTGACTCGGTGATTGTGCTCAGTTTCAATTCGTACCAGGAGCTATGCACTTTAAATTTGGGCGGCTGTGCACCAACCAATGTCATGACTATCATGCAATGTGCCCGCAATGCAGCGACTCGCTGCAAAGCCATGGTGGAATTCATAAGAAAGACTTTGGGGTTAGACGAGGAGCGTCGTTTGCAGAGCAATGTACCGAAACCGGCACTGTTGGCTCTTCTGGGAGAGAATAAACAGAAATTTAGCTTCAAGCAACTAATGGAGGGCTATCAAAAGCCAGAGACTCCGCGTCCCCGGGATTCCCCAATGGAGGTAGATGATGCTGAAGTATGTGAAAAGCCGAATGTGCAGGAAGTTTCAGTCAAGAAGGAGCAGCCCAAAAAAGAGGAGTCAGGCTGGAAAACGTTTAGTAAGAAGGAGCAGCACGCCGCCCTAATGGAAACCGGCAATTGGCTACCAGAGGAGCCTATGAACGACCACGAACTGCCAACGACCTCGAAGGCAGCCACGGTGAAAGCGGCCAAGGCAAAAAATCTGACCAAAAACAAGGCCATCAAAAGGCCGCAGCAGTTCGAAAGGAAACAACGTAAGTTTACCTTAAAGTAAGCCCAGGTATTATGGACTATTAACTAATAAAGCTTTCACAGATTACAGCATTTCAGATTCCAGCGATTCGGAGGAGGAGACCACGCAAGTCATCTAGACACATACATTATGATGATAGTACCGTAGATAAGTGAAAATGTTTTCTGTTTAATTTTATTTAGACTTAAAAGTACGGCTAAAATCAGTCTAGGCTTTAACAGAAATCGATTCAAAAGTAGTTCCAACTAATTGTATGGAACTACCAGTAAACTAAGAGCTCTAAGTATATGTATATGTATATATATATATATATATATTCCCCCTGCAAGGGAGAAAGATATTGCAAGTTGGTTTCATTTAAACTCTATATTCTTACAGCGATAACGACTGGTGGTTTCTATTTTTCTTTCATCAATTGTTTTTCTCAACAACTCCCAAGTAATTTAATTTTTGCGTCGATATTTAATGGTTATTAGTGTTTGGGTTGGTTATCTGTTCGTTGTTTGTTTATTTTTTTTTTATAAGCCAGCCATTCCAGCCCCATTGGGTCGAGCTATATTGCAAACAATCGCCTAAGAATACGAATTGCTATTTGATTTTGTTTATGTTTTTCGGTGTATTAATTCTCTTGTAAATATACATAGTTTATTTTATGTAATGTGTATGAGTGTGTGTTTGTTGTTGTTGTGTACAATTATAAAGAGCTATTAACAACGGACCAATGCTACAATTAGTTTTGTAAAATCTGCTTAAAACTAAGTTTATATTCAATCGCGTTTAACTACTACATATTTTATTGCGAGCACCGATTGCCACTACTTCCCTACGCGGTTTTTCCATTTTTTGTTTAAGTTTTCAGATTTTTTTTTGTTCGTGTTAATTACATTGCAGCTTTTCGTTTGTTTTTCGGGAAAGTGGACTGGACTGGGTAGGATTTGTGAGGCAGTGGTGGGTGCGGGAGATGAGAAGGACATTTTACTATCATCAGTGTATCAGTGTATTTACGTTTTCCATTAATTTTTGTGGGGTGAACAATGCCGGAACGGCCCGTGGACGTCCGGCAAAGGCAAATGCAGCAACAATGTGTGTGTGAGAGCTCTCTTGAATGACGGGTGGCGGAATGGATAGCGTTAGAAGGAGTAGACATCGTCGGCGTCCTCCTCCTCTTCCTCCTGGTTAACCCTCCGCCCGCCGCCGCCACGCCTTCAGGTGGTGTCATTGCCGATTCCATTTTTCTGGTCTAATTTATTCGAGCCCATCTTTACCCTGTACACGAAAAACGTAATAATCTCCTTCTCTTTGATGGGTATCGTCTTGAAGTGCTTCATGATGGTCTAATAAACAAAACGATGGAGATAAACAAAAGACTGGATTAAATAGGGGATCACAATGGGGTATTCCGTAAATTGTGTGTAATACTACTACTATTGTGCTGCTGTGCCAAAAAACATATTTATGAATGTACATAAAAAGGAAGGTACAAACTCACATCCGCCAGCTGTGCTCGCTTCATTCCTTGCCGCGTCTGGACGTTGAAGTGTCGCTTGTAGCGGCGCAGCGCACTGACGCCCAGCTTGTGGAGATCGGGAAATTCGTGCAGATCCGTGTCCGTCTCGTTGCTGTCATCTTCGCTGTCCTTACGTCGTCGCTTTGTTCGCACCGATTGGATGCGGTCCTTGTGATGGTCGCAAATGTAGATGTGCTGGGCACTAGGGTCGCTGCTCAGCTTCAGCCGCTTCTGGGCCACCGTCTTCTGGATGCGCTTGCTGTAGCTGGCGTAGCCGGCCTGGTTGCGACACCGCTCCATGTCGTCGATAAGGCAGCAAGTTTGATCCGTGTGCCCGCGGCTATCCTCCTCGCCGGTGCTAAATCCGTTATTCATCCTGTTCTTTCCGAGTTGCCTTCGCTTTTCTATCCACTTGCTGTTTCTCCCTACTTCTGCTTTGCTTTTCTTTTCGCTTTTTGCTTTGTGTTTGCGTCGCCAAGTGTGACCGCAGCCAGGTCACTCAAATATACCTTCCGGCAATAATATACCGAAAATGGTTGGAACGACAAATGAACGATGAAATACTTTCTTTAAGGAAATGCAGAAATTGGAAAAGTAAACACAAAAGTATTTATCACAAAATATAAATAAAACAGAAGAGAAGCTACAATCTTTGTGGAAGATAGAAAAATATTCAAATTAAATATTTCTTTATTTTATACAAATATCGATAAATTAGCATATTTTGCACATCCCTATATATTTTTTCAAAACACGACAAAATTAATAAGATTAATAACAAAAAACAAACAAATGTACCTACAACAAAATCGCAATGAGTAATAGAGTGCGCATTGTTATTGTCGGTGACTCCGGTGAGCATGGCTTTCTCCGCAGAATTTGTTGCCGCCTAATCCTACCAAAAACCCGTTTCCAGGTGTGGGCAAGACCTGCCTGACGCACTTGATCGCACACCACGAATCCCTGATCCGACCCGGCTGGACGGTGGGCTGCAACATCCAGGTGAAGATCCACGAATTCAAGGAGGGAACAGCCCGGCAGTGCCCCTATTTTGTGGAACTCTTTGACGTGGGCGGCTCGTTAAATCACAAGAACACAAGGAGCGTTTTCTACGCAGGCGTGCATGGTATTATTCTGGTGCACGACCTCACCAATGGCAAATCACAGGAGCACCTTCTTGATTGGCTATACGAGATCGTCAACAAGGAGGGCAAGGACACGTACAAATCCCGCGGAAGCTCCACGCCTAGTTCAGCGTCTCCCCCGCGGAGTACGTTCTCCTCAAATGCACCTGAAAGCGCATCTGCATCCAACTCGGCCGTACGGTTCGATATGGAGGAGTTCCTGGGCGCCACACAAACACCCATTTTGGTTATGGGTACAAAGCTGGATCTTATTGACGAGAAGCGGCAGCCCAAAACGGCTGTGAAGAAGGTGGGCGGAATAGGTACGTCCTTAGGCTTCAGGAGGAACCTTTAGGTATCTTTTAATAACCGAGTCTTTCTTCTATGACAGCCGACAAATGCGGGGCAGAGGAAATCTGGCTGAATTGCAGGGACACCCGCAGCCTGGCCGCCGGCACAACGGATTCTGTGAAGCTATCCCGCTTCTTTGACTGTGTGATCGAGAAGCGTGAATCCCACTGCAGTGGCAGTGCGACACCAGACTTTGGAAGCTTTGGATTTGGCGCTCCGCCAGACCGACGTCGACCAGTCTATTCGGCAGCCAGCTTGCCGGAGTATTCACTTTACGGTGGTCCGACCAGTAGCAATGGCATGAGAATGGAGCAGAGTGCCATTCCTCTATTGGATACCAACGACCTCAAGTGATGTTTCCCTGATGTGTGCATACATATAGCTTTAAGATTACCTTGTAAATACTCAATATTAAACAAATTAATATTGAGTTTTGCTGAAGACCCAGCCAAAAATGCAACTAGTCCCTATTTATTTATAAGTTTAAGCTAAAGTTAATCTTCCTAAAAGCCACCGTCGTTTTTTCAAGATTTATTATCACGCCGGATATCGCGATACCAGTCGGGCAGGATCTGAACCTTCTCGCCTCTGAAGACTTTGTATTAAAATCCACCTGAATCACGGCATGTGGATCATTGATTGCCTGCAGTAGACCTATCAGCTGGTTGAGGAACTGCACCAGAAACAAGGTCATTGCCGATGGACTCCACGGCTTGTTGCGTGCTAACTGGCGTACATTATACTCCTGGATGTCATGCACCATTCCCCTGTCATCCCGCAAGCCGTCGAAAATAGTTTCAATGTTCACGAGGAACGATTGGCTCCACCAATTTGCCGATTTGAAGTTGTCGAAGGAGCGTTTTTGACCACCAGTTTTGTCGATGGCGCTGGTCTTCAGCTCCACAAACTTGAGGGAGTCCAGAATCGATAGTATCCATGTTAATATCGACTTCGATTTATTTTTTAACAAGGCACCGCGCGTGCTAATTATTTAATTTAAAAATTGGTAAAAAGCAATCGGTGTTATACTGTATGTAACGCTGTTATTTATTTTCAGTTGCAACTGAAACCGGGGTTTTTCGAGGTAACACGATTCCTTGCGAGAATCCTTGCATTAATCTAAACTAATAAACGAATCTCGTGCTCAACTAAAAATTGATTTAACAAACCTGGACGTACATACATACATACATCGTGAACAGATTTTGTATAGCTTATTTACAGAATTATTTAATTTTGGCGTTGGTTGGCGCCTCCTGCTTATGTGTCTGCTGTATTCTTAAAGCGAGGTCCCTGGATCCCGAATGGGTTGGATGGCTAACCAGCGAGCGGGTTCGGGGTGTCCTTTCATATATATCTCTCTCTATATCTATATCTTATCTTTCCATGTGATGCAAAGTCGTAACAAGAACAAAGTGGGTTTGGGATGTGAAACCAAGTTGGAATGAACGGAAAGTGGGCGCAAACAAATAACAGATAAAAAAAACAGGTGAAATGTACATATAAATGCCTAGAACGCGCACCTACTTGTAGGCGTGCCAACAAAGTACCAACAAGTAAAAATAAATAGACTAACTCTATGCGTACAGTTAAATATCAACAACTATCGCTTCGGATCTATGCCTGCAGCCCGGCAGCCCTGTCTCCGGATCCGGCGCCGTCATTGCCATTGCCCAGAGACTCCATGTCGTTGCCAATAAACAGACACATGAACTGGACGCAGCGGTTGTGGTAGTCCATCCAGGCTGTGCACTCACCGCTGCGCAACAGAATACGGCCAAAGGTGGAGGCTGTCAGGAACATATAAGGTATAATACCAACTGATCGATAAGATGTACGAATTATGTATATACCCACCAACTTGATGCAGATCGTAGTACTGGCTCTCGATGCCCGCGCGCAGAAACATGCACAAGTGCATAAAAACATTCCGCTTAGGCGGACTCAACAGAGATATGTAGTCCATGGCCCGCGACTTATTGTTGCACGACAGCAAATCCTCGACGAACGGCTCTAACAGCGCCTGTTCCGGTATATCTAGCAGCAGCAATAGTGCTTGCGCAGCAGTCTCCGCACTGACGGCTACATACATAGATGGATTGGTTAGATAGAGCATTAAGAAGGGCAACAGCACACTTACGAAACGGCTCATCCGACCAACTGTCCAGCCAATCGCGCAGCAAGTTGAACTGGCTGTTAAGGGACTGGCGGGACTCGTATGAGGGAAAGGCACCCTCCTGTTTGGGACCTTGTTTGTACAGAAAATCAATCAGCAGAAAGAACTCCCGGGGCATGGTCACGCGATATTCCGGCGAATCGTCGTTTATCTACAGTATTATCGAAATAAATTAAATCAATTTAAAAGATCACAAATGCTCAATTGCTCACAAGTTCCTTGATCTGCTCCTGCGTGTACTCGCACAATGGCCGATCAGTGCGGCACATCGTCTCCATGGAGAGGCCGAAGCAACTAGGCTGATAGTCTCCCGTGACCGTTATAAAGATATCTCGACCATTCTCTACATGCAGGATGAGGATGTCAAAGTTATCGCTGTGCCGAATCTTGCGCAGCAACCCGGCAATGGTCCGGACACTGACATGCATCCTTAGACGGATGCTGCGGGCGGAATCAATCAGCAGCGAGTCCTGCCGGGGATCGACATGTAGCCAGGGTTCACAGATGGCATTAATGTCCTTCTCCTTGAAGCTAAAGTCCACTGGCAATGGGCAATTGTTGAAGACGGTAAAGTTCTGTGTGACCGGCTCATTAAATCGCACGCTCCCGAAATCGATGACCGTCTTCTCCACATTTATCTGTGGCTGATTGTCATTCTCGCGCTTATCCACCGCCTTCAGCACCTCCTCCTGCACCCGCTTGTACTTGATGGCGTCGCGTGTCTTGATTTTGACGCGAAATACTGCATAGACCGGCTTGTGGTCACTCTGTCGCATCTCCATGATGCTGTTGTAGGCCAGCTGCTCGATGCGCGTTCCCTTCCAGAGTACACGGTCACAGTAGGCCGGAGCCCGTTGCTTCTCGCTGCTGTCATAGGTGTCCGTGCCCGGATCGTACTTGTATGTCGGCCGGAACTTGATATCGCCCTCGGTGTATCCCTCGAAGCATTTCCCACGTTGCATCTCCTGACGCAGCTGGTCGTACTGTAGTAGCAGCTCGTATGTCTGGGCATCGCTCATCGGACCTGGTCGCTGCTGTCCCGGTGGCTCCTGGATGCGATAATTCAAGTCGCCCACCCAAAAGATGTGACTGAGAAAGAGGATTGAGAGCAATTAGTGTTAAAAGTTAAAGGAACGGAAGAAGGGTAGACTAACTCATGATCGCTGATGGTGCGTCCGTCGTCAAAGGTCATGCCCTGAACAATGGCATTGTAGTCGGCATTTCGCTCTTCGACATTGGCCATGTGTGCGGCCAAATGGGAGTTGATGAAGCAGAGATTGCCCTCGTTCAGCTGCAGGCTTATGCCCACGCCCCCTTTGTTGCCTAAAGCATTAAAGACGCCACGGGCTACTGTCTTCAGGCGACACCGGGTGATCTGCGGTCGGATTTGTTGGCGAACAATCACCGTTAGCATGGTGGCAACCAGACGCTGTGTGCCCAGGACCTCGTACTTGGCATCCGGATGAAGGCTATCCATTATTTTATCGCTGCGATATAAGAAACAAGTTATTTACCAACAGCTTGCAAAGTTCTATTCTGTTGCCACTCACATCCACATCTTTTCGATGCCCCCCATCTGGGTGGTCTTCACCATTTCGTAGGCCATAGCCTTAGCGGGTGCATAGAGCTCTTGCAGACCAATGGCATAGATATCAGGCGGTTGAACTGTGTGGCCCAGCCAGGATCTCAGCGGATTCTCACCGTCGCCGCAGGGCTTGTTGTTTACATTCCAGGTTGCGCAGAATATGCTGCAAGATGTTAATTATAATCAATGTTCGAAGATAGATTATATGTCAGTCCACTCACTGAATATCCTCGTAGACAATGTACTCGCTCTCCCGCTTCTTAAGCTCCTGCTTAACCTCACCAATCTGACGGTAGTCATTTAGCCACCTAAAGTTTAGCACCGACTCTGGATCGTACTGGGCCATGGAGGTCTTACAAGATATAATTCTGGCGTGGAACTCCTCGAAGTTGGAGGTCTCTGAGGGAAAGTAATAGTACTTGACGGGCCCATCCTCGGCCGTGGACAAGTCAAACTGTTGTGAATTAATTGATCCCAAGTAATCTGTTGGGCAACAAATATAAAAAAAATATTAATGTAATATAAGCAAACTAGTATTATTATTGATACGTTGTTGTTATTGTCTTGTTACTTAAATCTTTAACTTACTTAACTTCGTTCAACCTTAATTGAACTCCTAATTAATGCTGAGGGTTAACATGCTTGCTAACCCTAATCAAAAACAAACTAAGATATGTGTGCAGTCTTGCCTTTAGTATCAAGTTAATTAACTAAATATTTAACTGGATTTATTGTTTACCAATTAGCAAGCCTCTATGTCTATTATTTGCTTAATGAAGTACGTTATTTGTTAAGTAACTTTGCAAATGCGAGGTAACGTAATCTTCTTCATAAACTCGAGTGGATAATTGTTGACGTCAACGATTTACAAGCTTCTTAAACAATGTTTAGTGTTTGTTTAAAACAAATTATTAAAATGCAGATAGATATAGAACTACAACTAGAATCCTGGCTCACCTTGCCGTATCTGGAAGCTGCTGTCGATAGCAAACACCTTATTGATGATCAGCTCGTTCACCGAGGTAAGTGGCGGTGTTCGCAGGTAGGAAAAGGCAATAATCGCGAAGGTCCCACCAGAAGCTGAGGACACTAGCGCCAGCAGACGGTTGGTATACTCATGTCCAATGATCTGATAAGCATCGAATATCTGTCGAAGGAGAAGATAAACATTATTATATACTGGGAAGAGAGAAGTAATCTTTGTTTGCGAACTAAAAACTACTGGGTGGGTTGTTCCTATCTCAAGACAGAGCAGGCAAAATAACAGGCCAAATAAGTCTCCACCACCACCACGTAAGATGACTCCGCCGTATTGGTTGCAAGTTGTCAATGCAAACAATACTTGCAATATGCATTTGATAATACTAATAGGGAGGTATATTACTCATTAATTAAATAAATAAAGCTGCCTGGGAACTGACTTCCTGGGAAATGACATGCTTACACTTAGTATAACTTCGTCCTCCTTGAACCGCTCCTTGACAATGTCCTGCGTCGTCCTGGCCGGAGCTGTGCCGTTGGGCGCACTATCGCCCACGGTCTCCATCTTGTCTTGTCTTGTACTACTGATATGGATTGAATTAAGGGGATTCTCCCAATACTCCTGACCGCTCCGCCTCCTTGTCTGATGAATACTGGTAGCTGCTGCTACTGCTGCTGGCTAATCTCGGAATGAGGAATAATACTTGCAGGGGTTTCACTTCTTTTGCTTCGATATGGATATGGACAATAGTTTCGTTGTCCCCCTCTTGCTGGTTTCTATTTTTAGAGTTGGCGTTGCGGCCCGCCAACGATGATTGGAATTCTTTGCCCTTCTCCTTCACTTTTCCCTACCCTTCTTCGAGGCTTCCGGTGGCAAGGCTAGCCAATGCAAGGCCTGGTGGCCTGACCCTGCTCTTCGTCAAGAGCTCTGCAACCGTAATCTCGCAGCCGTAACCGTAACCGCAGCCGTGGCCGTCCGTTTGTTTGTTTTCTTGCTGGCTATATTGTTGTTGTTGTCCTCGCTCAATGTGGGTGTATCGCTCACGCATACGCTTGCAATTTCACACGCACGAAACGGCAACACTTATTATTCATCGGGCAATGCGATGACAATAATTACAGCTCCCGGCTCTCTTGCTGCTTCCTGTTGCCTTGCTCTGGGTGGCACGTTTCACCGTGGAATACGATAGGGTGCAGATCGCTTCTCACAGACAAACGGGCACGCGCGCTAATTACGGCGCTGGCTCATTATTTTCAACTTATTTTCTGGGGCCTGGTAGCCCTTACTTGTTGTTTTTTTAGTTGTTTGGGCGGCAAGTGTGCCCAGAGTTGCATGGGCTAAAAAACACCAATACCATGGATAAATGATTTATCGAATTATCGACCATGCCGGGCGAAGAATGTCGGTATGTCGGCACTCTGATATGCTGGCCATTCATTGTTGCTGTTCAAAGCTCTTGTTGACGTTGTTGTTTTGGCAGCAGCTGCGCTGCTGCGAATTGTATGATTTATCGAATTCTAGAGTGACCAAGCCAGGCGAAGCATGTCGGTATTTTGGCACTCTGATATGCTGGTAGTTCATTGTTGTTGTTCAAAGCACTTGTTGTCGTTGTTGTTTTGGCAGCTGCCTTGCTTTTTGTTGTTGTCGACTGACAAACAAGTGTTAAAAACTATTTGTGGTGCAATATTTTCCGCAATTACCGCTCGACCAGCGTCTTCGCCACTTGCCAGTCGTCTCAAAATTGCTTCAATTGTAGCTACAAAAGCAACCAAACAGCGGTGGTAGCAGGGAACAAACCCAATCAGGTGAACAAATAATTTAATCTCCTTGAGATTGCGGGACTTAACCGCGCCAACGGAGGCTATCAATATAGGACTGAAATGAGCCAGAGACAGAGTCAGAGCCAGGGCCAAGGCCAGCCGGAGCAGAAGGAGGCATCCAAGACAGAGGTGGACGAGGCAGCAGCAGCTAAAGGCAGCGCCAAGCAACAGCTGGAGACCTATCGGGTGTACGTGGTCACCTGGAATGTGGGTAGTCGCTTTCCCGACAACATCTCGCTGCGCCAGCTGCTGGGGCTGCAGGACGTGAATGATGACACCACCAGCAGCAAGGACCATCTGCCGGATATCTATGCCATTGGCCTGCAGGAGGTCAACGCGCAGCCACAGCAACAGGTGCTGGGCCTGTTCAAGGAGGATCCGTGGACGCACAAGGCCAAGGAGCTGTTGCGCGCTTACGATTACGTTGCAGTAAAGACGGAACAGATGCAGGGGCTCCTCCTCAGCATGTTTGTGCGGCGCCAGCATGTCGAGCATTTGCATGACATCGAGGCGGAGTTCACGCGCACCGGCTTCGGCGGCATTTGGGGCAATAAGGGCGCCGTGAGTGTCCGCTTCACCCTCTACGGCTGCGGACTGGCCTTTGTGGTTGCCCACTTGGCTGCCCACGATCATCAGCTGGAAGAGCGAATCGAGGACTATCGTCAGATATTGGAGAACCACCACTACCATGTGAAGCGTTATCGGGAGATCTACGATCACGACTATGTCTTCTGGTTTGGAGATCTCAACTTCCGGCTGCAGGGTGGCGACTCAGCCACCGAGGTGCGCGATCTGGTGCGGGACGAGGCCCAGCATGAGGCTCTAATCCAGCGAGATCAGCTGTACCAAGTACGCGAACAAACACAGCAGGCCTTCCAGGTGCTGCACGAACGCCTGCCCGCCTTTCCGCCCACCTTCAAGTTCCGTGAGGGCACCTCTGACTACGATCTGAAGCGACGTCCGGCCTGGACGGACCGTATCATGTACGCCGTTCAGCCGCTGAACAGACAGCCTGGAATGCAGCTATCAATAGAGCAGTGCTCGTATAAGTCGCACCCGGTGTACACCATCAGTGATCACAAGCCGGTGACCAGTGACTTCACGCTGAAGATGTATCCCAACGTTCGGGTAGCGGGCGTGGTCTTCTCTCCGCTGAGTGTCTGGCGAATTGGGGATGAGAACACCGTGGAGTATCGCAAGCAGGCCGAATTCGATGAGGGCCCCAACGATTGGATCGGCATCTATCCTCTGGAATATGCCAGCTTGGCGGATTATGCCGCCTACGAGTACGTGAATCAAGCGGAATCGCCCTCATCATCCGATTCCAATCACGAGCCCGATCATTTCGATACGCCATCGCATCACCGTCGGGGGCGGCATCATCACAAGAATCGGCAGCGGCTGAGGCGACACCAAGAGGCCAATGCCCAAGAGCAGGTGCGCCTGGATTTTGCCGACGATGTGGAGCTGCGACATGGCGAGCAGTATGTGCTGATCTACTTCCGGAGCACAGGAATCAGGGGCGTTACAAGCTTAGCGGGCATCAGCGGCGCTTTTGTGGCGGAGAAGCGACACGGCTCACCTCACCGAACGGAATACCATGTAGACTAGCTGGCCGAGGCCCTGGACATCTTCATACTTTAGTCCCAATCCTTCCCCTGCTATATAATGTAATCTTTATTGACTCTGTTAAGTTTGCCTTGTTTGTATGCCTGTTGATATACATACATATATAGTACCATATACAGCCCCACCCCACAGATAAATATGTTTTATGTGTAATAATTGTACAATTAGTTAATCAATCGTGTTCTCTACTGTCTCCCATTCCCGTCCCAGATTTCCTAGACCAAAATAACCAATCCCAGAGTCCTGCTTTCGTTTGCTCATGCGTTCTGTTTTGGTTCTGTTGTCATTTTGTTATTTTTATGTGCACGACGTTGTCACTGGAAATATTTAACCGGTTTCGTAAAGGTTAATTACGCCACACAACCACCGCAAGCTATGACACACCCGCACAGTGGGTCAAGAACTGAACGCTAGGTTAGATCTAATGGGAATATATCTATATGTATATAAGTGATATTTTTGTGTATGTCGAAGATATACTTGGGCAATTCCATTCCAATTGGCGGTTATAAATACTTCCTTAAAATAGCATTCGATCCCAATCAATCTTTTACCAAAAATTTCTCCTAAAAGCACGAAATTATTTAGAAACAATTAATTTCTATACGCAATTACAAAAGTTTATATTTATAGAAAAACTACTATATATTTTAAGGAAAAAATATCCTGAGACCAAATATGCAAGAACCAGAGACAATTTCATTATTAGGATATGGAAAGATATAAAATAATTTTTTTACAAGGGACGATTTAAATTCCACACAAGACTTTAGTTTATATATATCTTAAAAATTAACCCAAAAATTTGGCTTGGAAAAACAATTAAAAATGTATCTGAAAGATGTAGATGCAAATTTACTGACAATTTTATGTATACACTTTCTATCATAGTTTTGTTCCGAATTTTAAATGATTTACAGCCACAAGTTATTTCTTGTATATAATATATATAAAAAAACTGGTTTTATATAAAAAAACTGTATCAGTAGAACTGAAAAAGATAAATATTTAAAGTACTTTCTACCCACCGTGCGCCATGGGTTATTTGCAGTCCAAGCGCAACTGCGCGTCAGAGAAACGGTGGCTCCATAAAAAGCATTGGCGCTTGTGAAAGCTTTGCTGGTCTAGTAAACCTCGGTGGGATGCATGGTAGATGCAGTCAGAAACGCAGACGAAGATGTCATAACGCTGGCATGAATTTGCATGCTCAGCTCAGTCAATTCAATTTGGGTGGTGACCTTCAACGGGAGCCAGCTATTAGATAGCCAGCAGCACTTAAAGAATGTCTTCTCCACATACTTAATATATATAAAACACATACAAACATATATACACAGACATAAGCCTTATCACAGTGTACACATTAATCAATTTACTTAATCAAATGAAGACATTTACAAACATGTAGTAAAAATATACATATATGATTACATAGAAGCGATACAAGTTACTTGAAAGATAAAGAACGAATAACAGACAAAATAAACTGAAACTAGCAACTTAAGAGTGCAGTCTTTTGTCTTTTAAACTTAAAATTATTGTGCTGTGGACCCTAAATGATAATGAGTTAAAATGTGGTGGAGAAAATCCTGTTCTAACACAATACAAACTCTTCTCTATATTCTTAAAACCGACGAACGAGAAATCCGCAATCTAAAAAAGGTTATTGCGGCTCAGAACGTGAGCTATATTCTGCGAGCTCAGGTTTAAACATAAAAAATAAACATTTATTTATAGGAAATATATGTAGGATTTGTTTTACGAACTTTTCACAATGTTCAACCTTCTCCGCAGGATAATAAGAGAGTACTTAGCTGTAGCAGCTTCATAGCTCACATACTGTAGAGCCTGGAACAAGGATCCCAATTGCCGGATTACAACTTAAGAGGGTTATGTCGGATGTTACTTTAAGGTTTTGTTTTCCGCTAATGTGAAACGTCTTTTTGCCATGTGTCTGTGTCAGCCAGGAGTCCAAGAGTGGACCATTGAGGGAACTATGGTTTTAACATTTTCGTAAGAGGGGCGTCGGAGCTCAATAGTGGAATCGTGTGTTGCTTAGGTGATGGTTGTGGGTTCAGCAGCAACAGCAGCAGACCTCTACTGCGGCAATCCAAGGGTCTTACGCACCAGTCGTCGGGCGATGCTGTTGAACTCTTCTCTTCTTTCACGCCACATGATGGCCGCATCGACATTGGCGCCGCTCTCATCGTTGGGTTCTGGTTTGAAGGAGTTGATCGATCGGTTCTCCAGGTTTTAGGAATTGTGGCACAACTTACCCGCCAGCATGCTGACCACACTGAGTAGAATCTTCTCAACGCTCTGCACGGGACTCCAGCGTTCCGCGGATAGTTCGTAGCCCATGGGATCATCTCCGGGTGCGTGTAATATTGATATGCAGACGCGACCATCGGCGAAAATGTTGGGGTGGAACATATCACAAGTGAATTTCATTTTTGGCGGACTCAGTGGGTAGTCGGGTGGAAAGACCAAACGGGCGGGAAAGACGCCGCCTTCGAAACAAGTGCCCTCGGGTCCGCTGCAAAGGGCAAAAGGCATTTTTAGATCGAACTGGAGTAACCAAATGGGATTAACATAGTCGGAGCGGGGTACTCACGCAATCAGGGCCTCCCACTCAAAGAAGTTGTCTTCGCTGATCGGTCCGGCCACAATGCCCTCAGGCGGGTCGAGTGTTAACTCTGCAAAAAAAGCGCAGAAACCCTGGGTTACTTAGCTGCGCTGCGCTTTGGACTTTGACGTCCCCGCCGCCCGCCCTACTTACGTTTGTATTCCGCCATTAGGCGGCGCAGTGCGGATCCAGCCATTTTCTTGTTCCTTGTTCTGCTTCGCGTTCCCCTGTCGATTGCCTACTGTTCCTGCTCCTTCTCCACCCGATGTCTCAGCTCAGCTCCTGCCCCTCTCCTTGGTGCTCGTGCCACTCCAAGGCACGCCAAGATGGTGTCTTCGTTGTGGTCGCAACGGGGCGCACAACTGCCGGAGAGCTCCTCGTCTCGGGCAGTGGATTTATTGGAGACACGTAGGAAAAGGCGTTGTAGTAATTATTTATACTGAATGTGGCATTTGACATAGAGCTGCAAAAACATCTATGTCACTATCGATACTATCGATGTTTTTGAAAAAGGCGATAGGCTGAACAAGTTTTCACCATCGATATTGTATCGGCCACAAAAGTGTTGACACAAATTCTGAAACTGGGCTGTTCTAGGTTTTTAAGCTTTAGAAGCTTTATTTATTGACATTTAACTGTGCAACTATCAAAATAGAGGTGGTTAAGCATGTTCTATTGCGACTATCGATGGTTGTGCCAAATTCAGGGTTGCCAGGCCTGTGGGTCTGTGTTTATGCAGTGCTCCAATTCACGATAAAGTATGGTCAAAATCGATAAAGAATTCAAATAATGGTATATTTTGGATGCTATAACTTTTAATGGCTCTTAGGCTTAGCCTGTCTAAACTAAATAAAATTCAATTTTTTAGTAAACCTCTTATATTCTGAATTTAGTACGTAGACTTCAGATTGCGAACATAGAACTGCATAAACTTAGAACACTTCTAGGGTTGTCGAGTTACTTAAACCACAACAGAAAACAGAACAATAACAACTTTTACTGAATAATTAGCTAAATCCTAAGAAACTTAACCACAGAGTGCTTAAACAAGGACAAGGAAAAGACGCAGCGCGGTACCAACTAGCCTTCATGCAAGAAACCCATAAGGAACCACTTACTTAAACCGGAAAACCACCCCGAAGCCGGCATGTCTCATCAACACCACCCACGCAGCCTTCCACCTATAAATGGACCACTGCCGGCCAGCGGTGGCTCCTCCCGCCTGGCCCTCTGCCTCATCCACTTCGTGCTGGCCGTAAGCTCAGGGTGGGGACTGAAACGGAGCACTGGATGCCAAGCGATGGCTGCATTTGGGATCTACTTCGGTCACAGTCTGCTCTGCCTGCTGCGACACACACATCCTAATCCAGGCACGCTCCAGAGGCTGGTATGCGACAAGTCGCGTCGGTATTCCTCCGTTCTGTTTGTCACTTTGGTAGTGGGTGAGCTGCAAGCTTTGAACCCAGCCACCCGTCTGGGCGACTTCTTTGGCGCCGATTGGGAGCGCCTGGCCTTTGGTCTGTGGAGCGGAGCCTTAGCGCTGGCCGTGGCCAGTCTATGGATGGGCGGCAGCAGCGGCAGTAGCAGCAACAACAGCAGCAGCAGTCGCAGTCCCCTCGGTGCCGCCTTCGTCAAACTGGATGCAGCACAGCTGGGTCTGTGTGTGCTATGGAATGTCCACTGCCTGTGGCGCATTGCCGTCGTCGATGAGCATTGGTGGTCACTCGGTTTGGCTCTGCTCGTCCTGCTCAATCACTTTATCCTGTGGCGGCTCCCATTGCACTTCAACATTACTCAGCTGGAGGTGACCACCGTAGGCATGTGCTTCTCGGCCATCTTTGCGCTGAATGCCATCCAGGAGCAGGTGGACGCAGTAGCTAGCTGAGAGGAGTTGGGGCTGGTGTTGCCAGCTGCCAGCGGCAAGGAATGGAATCCCTAGTTTGAGCGCAAATGTATATTCTTCGTTTAGTAGTTGAACTTTAAGTTGTACGTTGTTTATATAAAGACTTTTGTGTGTATTTAATAAATCATTAAATGACGCTTTCGTAATTGACCGTGATCTCACCTTAAAACCTTAATAATTTATTTAATTAATTACTAAAAAGGTATTTAAGGGGTATATATATATTTTCTAGAATTAAGATGCAATATTCTTGTAAAGAAAGGATACTAACTTGGTTATATACCCTTGCAGTTTGTAATTGAATTAAAGGGATTATATTAGAAATTGATCATAGCAAACCTTAAAATATTTCCATCTTTGAACCGATATTTATGCATATACATTTTTAAATGTACATTTTTTCGAAAAATTTAATTTTAAAAAACTCATAACTAAGCCAAAAATTAATTAATTTTAATTCGGAAAGCTTTTCATTGCTAGTTTTTATGGGGTTAATAAATCTGCTCACTTAATTTAAAATTTAAGAAAAATTATTATTTTTTTTTTTTAATTTTTAAAAATTTTAGTTTTTTGTCTGAGGTGGCTAGATCGATTCTGCTGATTATGCTGATCAGGAATATATACAATTTATACGGTCGAATGCATTGCATGCTTCTGACTAAAATAATATTACCCTAGAAGAATATTATAAAAATAGACATGGTAGTAAAAAACCCACAATTCAATCATATTTGGGTTGAAAATGCCTTTTAATACACACTTTTATTTTAAATATATAATTTATATAGTTAATATTATTTCTCTATGTGCTTTATTACATATTGATCTGGGATTTAGAGTTGCTCAACTCCCGGATTCCTCGCTTTCGAGGAGAGTCGCAAAACGAAATTAGCTCTGATTCTTGTTAAGGAAAATTGAATATTAAAAAAAAATAATATATATATATATAAATCGAAGGAGAAGAATGTGAAACAAAATTTCTAGACCTAGGACACGGGTGAGGCGGGATATATGGATGGATGGATGGATAGATGGGTGGGATTTCACTTAGAGGAGTAGCCATCATCTATGCATGAGTGCTGTCGTCCTCAACAAAGTCCTTGGCCTCCTCCCGCGTCACACAATCGATGTGGCTGACCTTGTTGCGGAACCGCACGCCATAAAACTTGTGCGCATTCTCCAGCAACTCCGGCCGGAACGTCGTCGTGATGAACTGGGCAGTGTCGCTCAGCTCGTGGATCATGTCCGCCACCGCCTTACGATGCATGGCATCCAAGGCCTGTTAGGGGAATAGGGAAAATAGTTAGATATAAGATTTTCAGACAGAGAATAAGTAAAGACTTACCTGATCGATCTCATCGAATAGATAGAATGGAGCGGGATCGCACTTCTGAATGGAGAATATCAGGGCCAGGGCGACAAGGGATTTCTGGCCACCGGACAGCTGGTTCATCTCCCGCATCTCCGCCTCTATACCGGTAAAGGAAACCCGAATACCGATGCCCGTGAAAGCATCCGAGTTGGCCACCTCCTTTTCCATTTCCTCACTGTCGTTGTCCTTTGTCTTCAGAATGAGATAGCCGGCGCCCTGTGGCACCAGCTTCTTAAACACCTTGGTGAAGTTCTGGGCCACCTGACGGAACGTAAACTGAATAGCCTCCACCTTTTGCATTTCCAGCGATTGGATAAGCATGTGGATCTTCTGGTCGCCAATATCCAGCTCCTCCTTGCGTCTGTAGAGCTTCTCCTTCTGCTCGGAGAAGCTCAGGAATTGATCGAGGGCCTTCTTGTTCACATGATTGTACTTCTTCAGATGCTGATTGGCCTTCTCCAGCTCCTTGAAGATGTTCTTCAGCGAGATGCGGCTATAGGCGGCGTCCACTTGCGGCAAAGCACCCAAGCTAGCTATCTTCTCGGTGCACTCATCGATTTTCTCGTTAAGCATGTTCTCCTTGGTGGTCCACTTCTCCAGCTGTTTCGAGTCCTTGTTAATATTCTCCTCGGCCTCCTTTTCCTTGCGTACATGCGCCTCCAGCTCCAGCTGCAGTGCCTTTTGCAACTGGACGGCCTCACCCACCCGCTTCTCAATCTCCTCCAGATCGGAATTGACCTTCTTGATTCGCTTCTCGGCGGATACCAGCTCCGTTTTGCAATTGTTCAGCTTGCGCTTCCGATCCTCCACAGAGATCTCCTGTAGGGCCTGGATCAGCTCGTCACGGCGCCGGAACAGATTGTTGATCAGCAGATTATCCAGCTTGTTCTTGCGCACCTCGAACTGCATACGCTGCGTGAAGGCCTCCTTGTTTTCCTGATTCAGCCGACGAATGTCGTCATTCAGCTGATCAATCTCTCTCTGATCCTGCACGGACAGCGTGGACATTAGCTCCTGCTTCAGCTCCGCCTCCAGACTCGACTTGGTGCTATTCATAGACTCTAGCGAGGCCTTGCACTGCGCCAGGGAGCGCTCCTTGGGTGCCCGATACTGCTCAATGCGCACCAGCTCCTCCTTCATTAATCGAATTTCTCCCTGAACCTTCTCAAAGACATCCTTGGATTTGCCCTGCTTCGTCTCCGTCTTTTGCATTTCGGACACTATCGAATTGATGTTGTTCTCGGTGGACTTGAGTTCGTTGCGGAGTTTGCCCAGCTTCTTTTCAAAGTCGGTGATCTGCTGCGTGTATTCTGTGCGCTTCTTTTGCATCTCCAGGCGGGAGCGTGATGTATTGAAGTATCCGCCGGTTAGAGAGCCCTTCGACGATACCTGATCGCCGTCCAGTGTCACACAGTCCAGTCCCGTGCTCTTGGCCAGTTCGGTGGCGCGCTCCAGGTTACGGCATATCAGCGTTTTGCCAAAGATGTAGCGCAGCGCCTTATCGTGCTGCTCGTCGTACTTCAGCTTGGAGATCATCGGTATGGAGTCAGGATCGTCGGGATAATCGTGTATCTTAACCTGCAGACGATTGAGCGGCATGAATGTCACCTCACCGGGCAGCTTTAGTTTGTTCATCTCCTTTAGGATCTGTGTGCCCTCGTATTCCGACTCGACAATGTGATGGAACAGCCGGTTGGCGGCTGTAACCTCCACGGCCGTGTATATGGTCTTGTCGCAGCTAAAGTTTTCAATGACTGGGCCATAGTAGGCCCTCGCTATTTCCGCCGACTGCCCACCGCGCTCTACGAAGCTGTCCAGCACCTTCCGCACCGAATCGCAACCGTTGAGGATTGGCTTGCCGGCCATGCTACGTAGCGCTTGGTCCGCCCGCGATAGCTCCTCCTTGTGCGTTTGCAGTTGCTGTGTCATCTGGGTCTCCTTGCGCCAGAGCTCGTTACGCATGGACTGGTGTTGATCCTTGGTTTTCTTCAGCTCGTAGTACTTCTTGTTGTGCTCATCGATTTGAAGGCGCAACTGCTCCAGCTCAGAAGAATGCTCCTCGATCTTCTGGCCGAGATCCTTCTCTGAGGTGGCGTCCTTTTTGAGATCCTCCACCAGTTTGGCATGATGATTGATCTTATCGCGCGTCTGCTTGCTGATAGATTTTAGCTCGTTGGTTATCCATTTGTCCCGATCCTCGCGCGACGAGAACTGCGAGCCACGACCCTGCTTGGCATACAGCTCCTTGCGCTTCTGTTCCTTGAGTTGGAGCTCGCGGGAGCAGTCCTCCTCCTTGCGCTTCATTGCCTCGTACTTGGGCTTAACGTCATCGAGTTCCTTTTCACGCTCCGCTATCGTGACCTTGAGGTTCTTTAGCTCCTGATCCGCTCGTTCTTTGGACTTGTTGTCGCCCTGCACTTCGTCGTTCAGATCGACAATGGTCAGATCCAGCTTGGTTTTCTCGCGCAGCAACTGCTGCTGCTCGGTCATTAGCACGGATTGCTCCTCCTTGGTGCCCTGCACCTTCTTCTTGGCCTCCTTTAGGTTCTTTTGCACATCCTTGATCTTCTCCTGCGCCTTCTGGATCTCAATGTTGTAGATCTTCTTCTTGTCCGACGAGGATTTGCGCTGCAGCAGGAGCTCGTCCAGGGCCTTGCGCGTATCCTTCAACTCGGTCTCGTAGCGTATATACTCGAGTGTGCGTCGGGTTTTGTCCCACTTCTGGTACTCCTTCAGCTCCTCTTTCTCCTCCTCGAGCGTCTGCAGCCGATCCTCGATGGTCTTCAGGTACTCAGAGATCTTCTCCACCTTTCCGTCCGTCTCGCGCAGCAAATTCAGCGACTCCTCCTTGCGTTCGTCGTACACTCTTGTTCCGGCCACTTCGCGGAGCAGCTTCAACCGATACGAGTCAGCGGCGGTGGCCATTTGATTGATCTTGCCCTGCTTCACAATGTAGTAGGGATTGGAGCTGGAGAACCCGGCAGATTCGAGCACGTTAACCACCTCATTGCGCGGCACCACCTTCTTATTGAGAAAATACTGATCCTTCTTGGCACCAATCACGCGCCGCAGGAATATCTCCTCTTTGTCGATCTGGGAAAGACAAAAAAAGTGTTTGTTTTTAACTAAGGCCATCGCTCTTTTCGCGGGAAATCAATTTGAAAGGAATAATAAAGGTTTAAATCCTTATATTCGCCTGCTATCCCCGATTACTCACTGGAACCCGGTTATCCGAGTTGTCAAAGATGATCTCCACATAGGCGGAGATGACGCGGGCTCCGGTACCCTCGTGTAGCAGCGACTGGCGCTGCTCTGGACGCAGGTGGGTAAACTCATCGCTTAGCACGAACTGTATGGCTGTTGTAATAGGGAGAAAGTGCGCATGTTAGCATTAAAATCAACGCTTTCCATCGAATGACTTACCGTAGAAGAAATTACTCTTGCCGGAGCCATTGCGTCCCACCACGACGTTGTGTCGCTTGTCGAAGGGTTCCACCACCGTCTGGTCCTTGTAACTCTTAAAGCCTTGTATAATAATCTGAAATTGCGAGCAGAGTTGCGGTTTCAACTATCGTCCGGGGTGTGTGCAGCATGGCCAGCAAGCTCACTCACCTGCTTGATGTGCATTTTATTATAGTAGACGGCGATTTCTGCACGAAATCGCGCTCTTTTTGTTGACAACAAAAATTAAAACAAAAAACCCAGTGTGACCGAATAAATATCTCGCTCCATTTTACTTAATATCGATATCACACATCGATAGCTGTTACAGGATAAAGAATGATAATCGACGACAATCGATAAGATGTTTACTTGGAAAACGGATAAAGTCGTTAAATATTTGAATTACTTGGCTGGATATCCTTAATACAAATTGCTTTATGATTTTAAATTTATATTTATAAGATATAATAATCAAGGTTAAGACTTACCGCAGTAGAGGACACGTCATTGCTTAATTCCTACCAGTGTAGATGTTCTTAATGACATTTATTAGGATGAGAGAGCTATATGATATAGTCGTTCGATCCGACCCCATACGACTTAAATACTAGTGAGAGTATGTAGAAGACTAACTGCAAAATTTCATTCACATAGCTTTGGCGCAATCAGACATAGTTAAAAATTCAAAGTTTAAGCCGTATAAGCACCGTATACTAATTTTTGGTGTTATAATTTCTCAAAACATGCAATTTTTCGCTGAAATATTTAAATATTTTGATATATTTTGTCACCATTCTGCTTGGCATCGTAACAGACTGTTATGTTAAAGTGTTCACTATGTGAAATCTGAGTTTTACTATTTTGTTTAGGGAGAGCGCCTAATAGAAACAATCGATAAGAGGACCCGCTACGCAGCCAGGATAAAAGACAAGGATTGTTTGTTAATAGGAGGCGTCCTGAAATTAATATATTGCTTAGAATTTAAATATTGTAGTCACTGCAAACCATCTATCGTAACGATCGTAGCAATGAAGCGCTCTCAGGAATTAACATTAACAAATTGTGTTATACAGTCTGTTAAAATGAGAAAAGTATATCAATGTATCGATATATTCTGTAAATAAAACAATCAGGCAACATCGATATATCGTCAATCAACATCGAAGCTCTTCCAGCTCTAGTTTGTAGAGGTGCAAAAACATCGATGTCTTCTAACATGTCTCCATGCACCCAAAATAAAAAACATATATATAATAATTAAATAATAAGTTAAAATGAAAATCACACTAAGGGTTGTATTAAAAATAAGAGCGAAATATTTATTCACTTGGCTCAATAAAAATAAACTTAGAAATCGGATAACCGATATTTGTTCATATAAAGGTCTTAAACATTATTAAAAAAATTTTGCTTTTTTTGATAAACATTAGTTAATAAATTATGTCCAGGTTAAGAAACATTCTTGGTCCCATAAAATAAACTTAGAAAACGGATAACCGAAGTTTGTTCTTATATAGTTCTGCAACATTACTAAAAAATTTTTAATTTTTATAAATAAATATTAGTTTATTAAATATGTCCTAGTTAACAAGCTTTCTGCGGTCAGATAACATGTGCCCAATTTTATTTTTATTAATATAATATAATTCAAAAATAAAAATATCTGCTCGTTCACGGACGTTTCCCTTTCTTTTTCGCTGGATAGTGCACAGAAATATCGTTGGTCGAATAAAAATATCTATGATATTTTTTACATTTATAACATTGAAAACCGACTATTATTATAGTATTTAATGTTTTATTAACAATTTAATTAGTTTTTGTTACCAACTAAAAAATATTAATTAAAAAATAAATAAAATAAAATTACATTTAAATTTTTTTAGCTATTATTATTAACATATTAAACAAAAAACTCATATTGAACTTGATGTTTACTAATTATCTTATTGTTGAAGACTAAAAAACGAAAATAAATTAATTAACAAACTCGTGATTATGTCTATTACCAATAAAACAAATACAATAAGATAAAATAAAACATCGTTACTGCAAAAAAATCGATGTTTTTGATTTTATTTTATTTGTCTTCCTAAGACAAGTTTAAAACCTATAAATAAGTGCGCTAGGCACAATAAATCACAATATGTAATTGGTGAATAAGATATTCTTAATTTAATCTTACAATTTGAAATATAGTATTACTTGTGTATGTATGTATTTTATTTGACTTAATCCCAAGTCGCCTTTAATATAATTTAATATGATTTGTTTTGAAAACAAATCCCAAACATCTATAGTATTGATAATGTCCGGCGTTTTGCCAGCACTAATAATAGGCACATCTCTGTGAGAGAAGGCAAGACATCGATGTTCTGAAAACAAAATTCAACGATAGTATCGATACTGGTCCGACGATAACAGAACAGTGCTGGTAAATTACAAAAAAAAGAGCTTCTCCTTCGCCTGCACACACATCTTCGTTCCGTGTCTCCGTGTGTTTTTACCTGGATTAAGCTATTTGTCTGCTCCGCGTTTGTTTACTGGTATCTGATATGATATCTGGCGTCTGGCCACTCATCGCGAAAATCGAAAATAAATTCCGAGCGGTATCAGCAAAGTTAAAACAGCAAGAAAAAAACCCGAAAAACGAATAACGGAAAAGGCGTCGGTAGAAAATTGAGCAAGCGAAGCTAAGGTAAATTGCAAGCAGAATTGTTCGTTTTTTTTTGTGCCATTTTGTTCTACTTTTAATCTCGTCCCCGCTCCCCGCTTTTCCAAATCGTCAAATTGTGCAATACGCACACACGCATACAGACGCAAGTGGGAGGCTTGGGAAGCAGCGGTTGGAAAAGGAGGAGCGGAGGAGGAGCAGCTTCAAACCACCAACAAACACACACATATTCAGAGGCACGCGCGCATATACATATACATATACATATGCATACATACAGCTGTATGTACATATTCCCAATAAGAATGAGCCAAGACGTGAAATGTTTTTTTTTTGTGTTCTGTTTTTTTTCTTTGCTTGCCATGTGAATGCAAACGCATACATACTTTAATTGCATTAAACTGGAAAACACGCAAAAGCCAGATTCACGATTTAAACATTTTTTTAAAAACGAAAAAGGAAACTGAAAATAAGAACGAAAGCAGAAAAAACGCGAGTGCAACGGTTAAAATAACATGATACACACACACGGCACGTGCGTGTGTGTGTGTCTCCAACATTCCTTTTTTCCCCACTTTTATTAGTCATCTTTGGTGTGGAAAAAGGAAAAGGCAATGAAATTGAAGCTGAAGCTGTATGGACAACTCTGTGCCGCAACTTTTTTTTCGTGTGCAACAGAAGAGCGTTAAAAAGTGCAAAAATCATAAAGGTAAAGCCCCAAAAATGAAAATATCAGTAAAAATTCAACAAGAAAACTTTCGTGCGTGAGTGTGTGTGTGTGTGCAAACAAGAGATTTTCCCGGAGAGAGCCGCACGGAAATTACGGTTCTCCTCGCCTCAGTGGGTGTATATGTGTGTGTGTGTTGGTGTTTCTGTGGCTGTATGTGTGTGTGTGTGTGTCTCTGGCAGGACACCTAAGCAAAAGCAACGAAAATTTCATGATGTGGCTCAGCGCACATAACGGTTCTTCCTTCGTTTTCATTTTCTGTTCTGTTTTTTTTATTTATATTTTTTTTTCTGTGCTTTGCGCTGCTGCTGCGCAGTCGCTGCCGCCGTCGACGTCGCACCGTGTTCCACAGCGCTTTGAAATTTGTTTGCCCAACTCGACAGTGCTCTCTCGCTCTCTTGCGCTCTCCCATTGCTCTCTTTTTCTTGCTCTCTGCACTCCCGGCCCCCCCGATTTGCTGTCCTTCGACTCCAACGGAGCTCTCAACTCCAGGGACACGCCATATCAAGGTTTCACTGTGCGTGTGTTTTCCTTCTCGAGAGCTTAGTTCCAAAGTTCCTGGCTCATCTTGTCACTGCTCCTCCGTCCTCGTCCTTGTTCAATCTGCTCCTGCAGTTTCCTGCATTCCACGAGAAGGATGAAAGGCATGTGCACCAGGAATGGCTTTAGCATTTCATTAGTAACTGCAGGGAGGCCGGGTCCGGTCAATCACTCAATAATAGCTACGACACACACTTTCCTGCCATTCTACCAATTCATTCGATTCGCTATTCAAAATTTTCGTACACCCTGCATTCCGCCGCCCACCTAATTAAAGTTTGTACACAACTGTCGCCAGTGTGTACTTATAACTAGCTTTAGGTTTTGAATCTTCTTCAATACAAATAATAATAATAATAAATAATTGAATTTTTTGAATATATATTTATCGTAATTTTTGTATGATATTTTATTCGACAAATCAATGTTTGAAAACGCACATCTCAGTCAAAAATGCATTCATTTTAATTCGAAAAGCTTTTCAATGATAATATAAATAAATAAATAATAAATAAACAATAAATCTGCATACTAAATTTAAAATTTAATTTTTTTACATTTTTAATCAATTTTTAAAAATTTTAATGATGTAACCCCTTAAAAAATGTTGCAAAAAAATTGTAAATTTTTTATTTCGTCCGGAGATGGCTTGATCGACTCGACTGTTCATGCTGATCAAAAATATATATAGTTTAATATATATATATATTAATTTAATTTATATATATTAATTTAATATATAACTTCCATGCAAAAGAATGCACTTTAATTTATTTTGTTTATTTATCTGGCATTTATTTGGCATCTGTGACTAGTACAATTAGTTGGGCATATAACATACAGCAGCTGCATTTCCCAGCAATTTTTAATCATTTTAACTAGTCACAAGCTACAAAGAAACTATCCATGTCCATGAAGAAGATCTATTTTGTATATATACATTTTCATAGGCTCAACTCAATCGCTTTTTCCGCGAACACATATTTCTCAATTCCATAAGCTGTGTGCCCTGTGTGTTTAGACCATGAAATATTAATGCTTGGCCATGCCGATGATGTTTTTCAATCGATTGAACAGGTGCTACTCCTGTGTGCTCAGTTAGTGTGAGATGTTTTGTTCCCGAAATCACCGACATAACAAGGGGGCGCGAGATAGGGCGATTTTAATTTCCTACGCAATGTGCGAGTGGGTGTTTGGTTGGAAGGTATAGACCATCTCCATTGTTTTAGGCCCGAATGTGTGTGTGTGTGCTCCTATTGTGTCATTTTAAAATGCACCCGACCTGTCCATTACCTCACTGTGATTGAGTGGCCGTGTCCCATCGTCGAT